ATTTTATTTATTCTTCTTTATTCTTTTGTACTCTGTGTTCGTTTATTGCCGATTTTATTTTTGATATCCTCTGGTATTCGGGCGTGGGCCTGGCCAACCAACATTCGGAAATCCGGGGGTATCATACATTCCAGTCATTGAAGATCCTTCTTGTAGCTGAGCAGCCCTTAAGGGAGTTTAATTTGAGGAACGAGGTTATGGTGGTGCAAATTCGTGCCAGTACAACTCTTTGTGATGCATTTTTCTTTTGAAAAATTCGATCATTGCGTTCTTCCCAGGTGTGATACACCATTGAAGATGGGCAAATCTTACGAAGAAGGTTCAGAAGAGAATTTTCCTTCCATGCAATACTATTGTGTTGGACTAGGTAATCCCAAATTTGGATTAGATTGTAAAATTGACATTTATCTCGGATGTGACTCCAACTTGGTAAGATGAAGCAGCATTTGAAGAATAAATGTTCGTGTGACTCAGGGAAGATGTTGCATAGTACACACAAGTTGTGATGTTGTGCCATAGACTTGTTATCAATAGTAGGTAATTTGGATTGAACAACCAACCATAGATTGAATTTCATACAAGGGATTGTGGGAGATTGCCATACAAGATTGTACCATGGGATTGTTGGTAATTTGACCAAAAAGGTAGGATGAGGTATGATTGAAGTTGTAACAGTTGAAGATGCATTCACACTTTTTTATCCTTTATTGATAAACAAGGTGGATTCATGGATTGCAGTTCTGGAATTGAAGTGGAAATGCAGTATGGGAATGACCGAGTTGAGTTGATAATGAAGGTGCTGACAGTGACCTCAACATTTAGCCTTACATTAGTGAGAATGGTGGAAGGAAATCTTGTGCAAAGAAGGCCCCCTGGAGCCTAATTGTCCTACCAAAAGGATGTATTCATGCCATCACCAATTATATGGTTGATGAGAAGCCTTGTAGGGTGTCTCATTTGAGGAATTTTCCTCCAACTCTAAGAACATGGTTGTGGAAGCTTGAGAGTCAATAGATTCCTAGATTTGATGAGGTAAGTATTACACCATTTGATCCAAAGTTTATTTGAGTCATCATTTTGGAGGTCCTAAAGTATCTAAAAATACTAGCCTTATTGGCCAATTCCACGTTTAGAATTCTCAATCCACCTGAATCCTTTGGCTTCCAAACTTTACTCCAAACAATTTTAGCATTAGTAGAATTCATCTCTAGGCCAAACCATAGGAAAGCTCTAAAGATTTTTTTTAGCTAATTGATTATACCTTTAGGCAGTATAAAAATGTTGGACCAATATATCCGAGTGGAAACCAATACAACTTTGATAAGTTGCAATCTTCCAGCATATGATAGGGATCTAGATGACCAATGTGTGATGCGTTGGGTGATCTTATTAATAAGAAGACCACATTGAGATGATTTGAGGTTGGTGGTAATGAGAGGAACACCGAGATATCTAATTGGTATAGTATCAACCTCAATACTTAGTAAGTTGGTAATGTGTTCTTTTTTGCGTAGCTCAGAACTAAAGAAGAGGATGGAGCTTTCGCTAAAGTTAATTTCAAGGCTAGACATTCTAAAAAAAATATCAACAGCCAATTTCAACACAGATACAAAAGTGATGTCTGCATGACAAAGCAGTAAAAGGTCATCAACATATGACATGTGAGTGATCTTCAGTTCTTTGCATCTCCAGTGGTACTTGAATGCATTAGCTCTCAATCAGTGAGATGAACCTCTGTGGGAAATTGAGCATTGAGAGGCAATTGAGGATGAAATCCCATTTCACATAATCAAAAGTTTTCCTTAGGTCAATTTTGATAATACATCTTGTTGGAGAACTATCCTTGTGATAACCCCTTAAGAGCTCAGGGGCTAGTAAGATTGGATCAGTGATCTTTCTTCATTGGATAAAAGCTGATTGTGATATGTCAATGATGGAAGGTAGAGTAGCTTGCAACTTGTAGGAAAATAACTTGGCTATGCATTTAAACTGTGTTACAATAGGAGATTGGTCTGTAGTCATGTAGAAATGTAGGGTTTTAACACTTAGGGACAAAAGCAGTATAGGTGTTTGCCTCTGATAAAAGCTTGTTATTCTTAAATAATTCAGAAATTGATCTAATAATTGATTTCCCAACAATATTCCAAGCTTTGTGGAAGAAAAGAGGATTTGTAACCATCCGGACCTGGAGCTTTATCCTTTTTGAGCTTCATCATGTAACTTTGGATGTCATCAAGGAGGTTGTGGAGATGTAAATGAAGCTGATTAGCGATGAACGGTTGTAGGTCAAAGAGTTGATGAGTAGCTGGTGGTGAGCTACCAAGTAGATTATGAAAATGTGTCACAACTTCCTCATTAATGACTTCCATATCATTGATCAGATTACCTGATTCAGTGGTTAGATAAATGATTTTATTCCTATTATTTCTGGAGGATAGTGATTTGTGGAAGAAAGAGAAGTTTCAATCTCTGAGTTTCAACCAATTCATCATAGACTTCTACCTCAGCATATCCTCTTGGATCTTTGCAAGTGTTAGATACTCAGAGATGAGGGACCTTTCCATTTGTTTGAGTGAGAGCATACAATTTGGAATCAACATATGAGAACTTATTTTTGTAGTTAGCTCTTAGCACTGGCTTCAATCTTTTGAGCTTTTGAACCACTTGGAACATTGCAGTGCCCCTAATGTAGGTGCACCACACTTTATGAACAGAAGATGAAAAGTTGGGATGAGAACTCCATAAAGAATTTAAAGGGAACACACCTGTTTAGGATATTGAAATCCATGGTCACCAAGATTGGGTTGTGATCTGAGATTCTTGGTGGTAAGAAGTTGCATTCGGATAATGGAAATGAGGAGCTTCACATATGATTACAAGGGCTCTATCAAGCTTCTTGGCTATACATGCATTGCCCTGACTGTTGTTGCTCTAAGAGAATAAGGTCTTGCTTGGTTTGTAACTCTGAGAACAGTTTTCTGTTCTCCGAAAGCTGAAAATAGAAAACTGTACAAAAATATCTGCTTGGTTCAGTTTTCTAAAAACTCAGTTATAAAAATGTCTGTTTTCAGATAACTATCTTTTATTTATTATTCTCTAAAAATTGTTTTAGAGTTACAAATCAAGCAAGCCCTAAAATGCCACTGAATTTCAAGTCCGCAAGCTTAACCTGTTGCAAGCATCCTTTGAAATATGTCATTGCTAGGCACCATTTCATTGACTCTCCACGGGTTTCACCAGTATTAGGGATTACATTGAAATCCCTCGTGATTAGCCATGGTGAAATGGAAAAAATACCAGCATAGTGGGTAATGTTATCCCAAAGGAGTTACCTTTCATTTTACAAGGTTAGAAGGATATATAAATGAGGTGAAAGAAGGTGATATTTTGTCCTCTAGTTGAGATAGAACAATGAAATGCCTACTTGTTAGTATCAATGATTATTAAGTCAATTTGGTTTGATTTCCAAATGACCCAAATTCTACCAAGATGTGAGTAGTTGTAGTTGTAGTTGTGAGTGATAGACCAGGTAGGTGCCAAAAACCAGAGGATAGATGCAACATTTGATGGAGAGACCTTGGTCTCCACCATTTAGACAAATGTTGTGTTTTTTGTTTTTCTTTTTCGTGGTGTGGCTACAAGTTCTTCAATTTTAATTTATGCATGTTGTCACTGGAAATGAAATGAAATGCTAAGTAACTCCGTCTGATTTTATAGAAAGGTTGATAAATGTCAGATAACAAGTTGATCTTACAAACCAAACTTCAGCAAAATCGAATTCGCTAAAAGTGAGAGTTCTGAGCATGTACTACAGAAATTGTGAAGTAGTAAAGATTGAATTAAATAGCTGCTAGTGATTTGTAAGTTGTAATATAATAGCAGACAAGATGGAGAGAATATAAAGCCAGGACTATCTTCTTTTAGCTGACCTCCAAAATAAAACAGTAAATGGACTGTGGACATTAACCAGGTAGCAAGAGGCATGTTCATGCTAAACTGTTCTCTCTAAGTTGTGTGTGTGTGTGTGCAAATGCACACACATATAGGGAGAGGGTTTTCCACTTGGTGATCAAGATTGCTCAACAGAGTATGGAAATATAACATTTTCTTTTACTTCATCTTGGAAAAAAAGTACATTAGAAAGAAAAAGTGAATGGAGAATCCATCCATGTAGATTATATCACATGGCCACTCCGAAACTTGTTGCCGCCCTTTTGTTACTTAGTGGATTTATAGATTCCCCACTTTTTCGATCTTGTGTTCTTCCATTAATAAGATGTGACCACTTCAATTGGAGAACAGCTAGCTTTCTTAGGTCTTGTGGGGATCAATTGGTATATCACTTGCAAGCATGATTAAAAATAAATAAATAAATAAAAATCACTCTCTACTTCCTTTTCATCGAATTATCAAATCACCAATAACCTAGCCGATACAAATTTATTCAAAGTTTAGTCTCCTATGCATGAATTTTCTTAACATTTTAAATAAATAAAAAAACCCAACTGATAATGAATAATATATTTATACGTGATAATTGTACATATCTAAAATTTATCTTTTTATAATGAATAGTAAATTCAAACGTAAAAATTATACATATATAAAATTTATCTTACAGTCTTGTTTAAATTACTGACTTAGAATTTGTAATTTTAGAAAATAATAATAAAGAGTAGAACATTGAAAATAACTAAAAATGATTAAAAATGAGATGGAAGGATAAAACTTCCCCCAAAAAAAAAAAAAAAAAAGAATCCTTGAACTGGTATGCACTGACGACGGCTAGAATAATCCCGTTCGCATATTAGGAATTTAGGACCAGTCTAAACTTAACGCGTGGACCAAGTTTTAACCAAAAGCCTTTACATCCACACGTGCCAAATCCCATCAAAAACACACCCTCGGTCACTCCACACGTGTGTAGGATGACGTCCGATCAAAGATAGTAAAATGGAGAAAATTTGTAAATAAATAAATAATAATAATAAAAAAAGTCAAGTGGACGCTGTTACGATTTCTCCTCTCTTCATTGTCTCTCTCTCTCTCTCTCTCATTAGACATAAACGGTGGTCGGTCAGATAATCAATCAGTCGGTTTAGAGAGAGAAATAAGAGGGAGAGGAGAGAGAAAGACCAACGTCCCTTCTTCGCCTTCCCCTCTCTCTTTCTGTGACTATATTGTTAATTCGTAATTTTTCATCTTGGGCGCATCAGTCACCCACCATGAACGAAAAGGCCAACGTCTCCAAAGAGCTCAATGCCAGACACAGAAAGGTCTCATTTTTACCCTTATAATGCATTAAATTATCAAAATTTTGATTTGGTCATTATTTTTCTTAATCGTGTTCGATCTAATGTAGATTTGATCTCTACGTATTGGACCCTATATTATTTTGTTGTTGATTGATTGATTGGTTGGCCGGTGCAAAACCTTCAAATTATTGTTTTTACTACCAATTAATTTCTCTCTCGATTTTGTTATTGTGACTTTTTGAATTTGAGTTGGGGATTTTTATGTTTATGTTGGATCTCTGAGTTCTTTAGAGTTAATTTTTCAATATATATATATCGGAATTTGCGTAGTTTGCCGAATCAAACAATTGGTTTTTACTGTGGGTGCATTATGAGCTGAAGGAGTCATGGTATTGTTACACCTATGTTGAAAAGCTGTGATTTTCATTTTCCGATTGCGATTTCATGAATATTTTAGATCAATACATTCGAATTACGTCTTATAAAGTTTTGTTCTGAATTTATTCTTTGATAAGGGGATTCAAACCTTGAATGGGGTGCCATCACATAATTCCTGTTATTTGTTTCACAAAAACTCTACATTTCAGAGATTCCAATTAAATTTTACAAACATTTCAAAGATCAAATTTGGTAAGAATTGGATTTTGGCATGGATGGATAATCAAGCCTCCAAAAGGGTCTATTAGGGAATTTTTATTATCGCTCATTTCAGTTACATAAATGCATTGTTCTTGTATCTTTTTAATGCCCAATACTTTGCTCCGTATAACATAGCTGGCCTAATGATCCTCCTATAAATTATCCCTTTTAACTTGGTTGGGGTGTGTGTGTGTATAAGCACTTCTTTCTTACTAGTCTGGCAGTTAATCTATCTAGTCTTAAGCAACATAAGTACTATTTTTGCACATAAAATAACTATCTACTGTCTAGCATAACAGTTAATAATTACTCAAACATCAAAGATAATGCATAAAATAGTATAGTGGAGACAAATTAAACAAGCAATAAATGCAAAAACAACCCAACAAACCAAGTTCTTCTGTAAAAAGTAAAACAATAGTAATAACAATCAAAAACAAATGATAACATAACCACTTTCAAGAATAAAAGTCAGTTTACACACACATATGCATAAATATATAGAAAGGAAGAATAGCCGTGGTGTTCTATAGGTCAATATACTATAAAAATCAGCATATTCCTCTATGAATTAGTATATAATCCTATATTTCTATTTTTATTTATATAAATCAATACATATATCAATAGATATAACAGTAAATATTCACTATATTAATTTATATATGTGTATTTGTGTATGTATATATATATATAGAGAGAGAGAGCTTATTGTTTAAAATACGGTTTCCTATCCCCTGTTCTTGTGGAATCACGCTCTCAATTACAATTTTTTGGAGATTCTTTGCTCTCTGTCCTCTGTTTTCCTATTCTTGCGGAATTGTAGATGGAGGGACGATTGGGGTGAAATCGTGAATCAAGAGAGAGGAAAGAAAGAAGACAGAATTGCTGGCTGTAGATGGTAATTGCCAACGGGATGACATTGTTCGGAGAAGTTGTAAGTCGGTCTTTAGTGCCTATACAAGAGAATCTGTACAAGAGATTTAGGAAACAAATAAAATCTGTACAAGAGAACCTGTAGCTAATATTTTGGATCTGTTAACTCTTTTTGTTTCCCAATTTGTTGAAAACTTTCCTAAATGGGTGTAATTTTAGACATCTTCATGTATTTGTTTGAGTGAAGTATAAACCTTATTTCAAAAGGATCCAAGGAACTAATGCATATCTAGGTTTTTTGGATGTTGATTCTCAAACTAGAATTTCTAAATTCTTCCGACTTAATTCAGCATCATCAACTGTTGAAGATGACTTTAGTGTGCTTGATGTTCTCATATGTCATTTCTCCAATATTTAAACTTCCTCAAATTAATTTTGCTTTTGGTGTTTCGAAGTTTCATAGAATTAAAAGTTCGTACAGCCTCTAGTAATTGGGATTGCTTCTTATTTTTTTCCCCAAAGTGTTACATCCACTTTTGGTGCCTTAAAATTTGCATTACGTCCAGTTGATGATTGGGAACTCCACTCCAATGACAATCTGGTTCAGAACCCACCCACCCCCCACCCACCTACCCCGACCCACATACACCCACACAAAAAAATAAAAAATAAATAAATAAACACATAAAATTTACACCTTTTGGTTTGTTGATTATGATTTCCCCTATTTTCCCTATTTCATGCTCTATATATTAAATGGCCTTTTGAATTTGGAGTTCCCTGAAGCAATTGCTAGTGTTTGTTTTGTTGCTTCTCCACCAAAATTTACACTTTTTTTTGGTTTTGTTGATTATGATATCCTCAATTTTCCCTGTTTCATGCTCTATATACAAAATGGCCTTTTGATTTGGAGCCCGCTGAAGCAATTGCTATTGTTTGTTTTGCTGCTTCTCCATCAATTTTTTCCCTTGATAGAAATTGATAGTATATTCTCTATTGCACTTATTTGCAGATACTGGAAGGGCTTCTTAAATTGCCTGAGAATAGGGAATGTGCTGACTGCAAAAGCAAGTATGTATCTGGGAAAAAACAAAGTTGGCTCTATTGATATTAAAATTATGACGAAATAAACACAAAGGGGAGGGCTAAATTCAGAAACAGTGGATCTTAGTAGATTACATAGCTCAGAAATAAGTTTTTATATTATTATTTTTTTTCTATGTGAGTAGCTAACAGTTACTTGTTTTTTATGCAGAGGTCCTCGATGGGCTAGTGTGAATCTAGGCATCTTTATATGCATGCAATGTTCTGGAATCCACAGAAGTCTTGGAGTGCACATATCTAAGGTGATATGTTGCTCCCTCGTTGTGTGCTTAGTTGTAGATTTGAATTTATGTGAACATAATGGGAAGTCAAGTGTATGGGTCAGGCCCACTATGTTTTTTCTTAAACGTTAATGACGTAAGGGACAAAGGGGCAGACTAGAACTATATGGGATAAGTAATATGAAAAAGCCTTGAGAAAATAATTATAGTAGGAGACATTGCTTGTAATAGAAAAGAGAGGGAAAAGATGATTTATGCAGCCAATCCATACGAGATCAGCCACATGTATTAGCAAGTTATATATTCTTGTCTCCTTATTAACTTATGAATATTGTGGAAAATGTTCTGGAAAAGATGTGAGCCTATAGAAAACATAAAATTATACCTCATGGAGTACTTTTTATCGACATCTCCGAGTAATAAATTGCTAATTTTGATCAATGATAATGAAAAAAAAAAAACTTGCAGTATTTGAAAATTATATGAGTCCTTTAATTTTTCTATTACAAATCGGTTTTAGTTAATAGTGAACCAGGGCTAGATTTGCCTCATCACATAAGAAATTTTTTTTTTTTAAAATATTTTTTCTCTTCTCATGTACTTAAGGTAATTCTTTTTAATTTTACATTTTCTATCAGGATGTTATTTTAGGGGAAAAACTGAAGTGCCACTCATCATATGGTAGAAAACAATGGTAAATGAAATGATTATACTTGTGTGGTGCTCTCAAGACTTGGGCCTGCATAAATTCATAATCATGCTTGTCATCCAAGCTTTTACAATTGCATGGCGCAATGACCCCTATGTAGAGCATAATAAATAAACCTTGATATGTAGCAATAGCTTAATATCGATAGATAGATTGATTAAAGGTCGGAATCATTTTTGAATTCCTTGTAAATTCAAGACCTCTTGTTTTTATTTCAAAGACAGATCTATCTTATGTGGTTTTTCACTATGCCATCAAATTTGTATGGTTAAGTTTTGAAAAAATATATATAAATAAATAAATAAAAAGAAAGAAAGAAAGAAAAAGAGGATATTGTACATGCTATGAAGCATGGAAATGTATATGCAATGCAGATGCAACACAATATCAAGTATGAACTCACCGATTATACATTTTTTTGTTTAAAAAGACATAAAGATATTGATATAGCAGGGACACCCATATAATAAATATATTAAATAAAGGGCTAGCCCATTGCTCAAGGCACAAGGCTTCGACCTTTGTTGGGTCTTGGAAGGTTCAAATTTATACTACCTTACCTCCGCAAGCAGAGAGGTTTTCCATTTTGAACTCGTGACCTCCAAGTGACAGTGAAGTCTTACCGTTGTGCCAGTATATACTAATATATTATGAACATTTTTTAATTATTATTGTTTATCATAATATAGATTCATGGACTTAGTGAGTAGATACTCATTTTTCCCTCATTGTACCTTCTTTTTCTTTAAGTGGTTGAAGTATTTAGAACCCTTATGTTTTGTTTACAAGTACACTCTTAATTACATACTTGTACTGATGCTTTTCAATGTTAGACATGTTTTAAGACTTGTTTAAAGTACAGAACTATCAAATAATGCTTTCACAATTTAAACAAATTTTAAATTATAGATAAATTTGGATGTGTCGGGCATGAGTTTGTATATTTTAGAAGTAGTGTAAAAGCTGTTTTGAAGAAGAATATGCTACTGCTGCTTATTATAGATCTAACGCCATAATTATTATTATTTTTGGGTAAATTACACTGAGCTCCCCTGAGGTTTGGGCAAATTATGCACGGGTAAACTGATCAATGTTTATTACTTTGACCTCCCCTCAGGTTTGGCGCATGTGCTCAATGACACCCCTGTTGTTATCTGGCATGACCGTGTACTAAATTTTTCAAAACGGCCATATTGCCCTTCCCTTGTATGAAAAGACAATAATAGCCTTAGGTGTTGCCATGAAATGACAAAAACCCCCATTAAGACATGGACAAAAATGCCCTCGACATGATTCACTAATCTCTCCCTCCCGAGGGAAATAATCTCTCTCTATCTTACTAACGTGTGCCATCAAAGCACAGGAGAAAAAGAGAAACTCATCAAAACCATCATCCTATCTCTCTATAAACCATCATCGTATCTCTCTAACTCTATCTATTCAAGTAGATGGATGGGTAGAGATTGCTGTTGTTGTGCTTGCTAATGTGCGCCGGCCTCCCACGATCCAGCCTAGATCCAGACGACGAAGCCTGCTTGACCCACCTGAGCGAGTCCTTACAAGACCTGAAGAAGAACCTCCGGAATTGGACTAGAGCCACATTCACCAACCCCTGCTCCGGCTTCACCTCCTACATTCAGGGCACCACCTGCAACAACGACCACATCTACTAGCTTTCTCTCACTAATTTCTCTCTAAAAGGCTCCATCTCCCCTTACCTCTCCAGTTGCACCAATCTTCAGTCCCTCGACCTCTACTCCAACACCCTCACCAGACCTATCCTGCCTGAGCTCCAGTACTTCTTCAACCTCGGCGTCCTCAGCTTCTCTGCCAACAGCCTCTCTGGCAACAATCCTCAACGTCATCAATCTCCACGACAATTCGGTCTCCGGTCAAATCCCTCAGCAGCTGGGTCTTCTCGTCCGGCTCCCCTTCTTTGACGTCTCGAATAATAGACTCTCTGGTCCGATTCCGGCTTCGTTGGGGAATCGGATTGGGAATATATATATTTTTTCCAGATATAAATAATATAAGGCATGCACGTGAAGAGAGAGAGACAGAGAGCCCTTCACAGCTTGCATCTGACACAAAAATCATCATTAAACATGTAAGGGCATAAATTATTATTTTTTAGTTTAGCAAATATTTGCAATATTATATATTTATTATAATATAATGGCGTGACTGACTTTTCACACTCAAAGTGACCTATAATATAATGGCGTTACTGACTTTTCACACTCAAAGTCACCTTCAGGTAGCCAACGCACGGGTTTACGGGAGGTCAAAGTAATTAATGTTGAACGGTCTATCCGTGTGTAATTTGCCCAAACCTTAGGGGAGGTCTGTAAGTTATCCCCCTTTTTTTTTTTTTTACCGTAATAAATGAATAAATTTTTTTCCATTGCAAAAGGTCTCCCTGACCCCTCTTCTTTCTTGTGTTGATACTTGTGTGTATCTGATTATATATTAACTATCTAATCTTGGATTGACTTTGTAATAGACTGACACACATTGACCTGGATATAGTTAATTGACTCTGTTAATTTATCCTTTAGGTTTCTAACATTAGATTAAAGTTTATACTGCCACCAAGTTGGAATTTTATCTAACATTTGGTGCTTCAAAAAACTGATGTCTTTTCCAACAATATCATCTAAGTGAAACTACATGTGTTGGTATATGACTAGTGGTAAGAATGGTGTCTGTGGCACAATGGAAGTATAAGGTGTGCGAAGAAAGGCCGCCCATGATGCATTTCCCTGTTCAAGTGTGTTTTGCAGTCAATCAAGCTTGAGCTTGAGCTTGAGCGCGATTCGTAAAGGTGCGAAAATTGCATGAAGGAGAGTTCATTGTCTCATCACAATTGCTTTATATCGGTTTTTTTTTTTTTTTTGTTAAATCTCTTTGATTATTTTGTTTTGTTATAGATTTTAGATTTTCTTACTTGATTGTTTGAATCTTAATATTTGTGCAATAACATGTGTGTTTAATTTATTTATTTTTCTATCATTGCCTTGTCAGAATATACACACACACACACATAATGGAAATGTAATTTTTTCTTGGTTTATTCAGGATCGAACTGACAATAACACGTTAGTCAATGAAGCTGCAAGGCCATACCAACACTATTTTGACTTCTGATATTTGTGTGATTGACTTCCATTTAGTAGTAATATAATTTCATAAAAGGAACATGGAGATTACTGTGCTGAAGTATGGAACTTCAATGAGGCAAAAATTATTTTGATGCCTTGCACCTTGGAAAGTGGAAAATTAAATACGTGTTGAACGAGTTACAATAATGCTTGTGGCTTATCAAGGAATTTACACAATGAGTTTGAAAAAAGAAAATAAACTTTCATCCTGTAAAGGATGTGTTGTTCTGTATTATCTGCCCAAATTACCATTTCTATTCGTTGACACTGCTCCATTTTTAAGGAAAAAAAAACCTTTTTTGTTGTTTTTTTTTTTTCTATATCTATGAAAATGGCTACATAGATACTGTTTGATCAGACCTCTAAAATTATATCCTCTCACCCTTTTGTACTCCTTTTACATTCGTTTATTAGAAATTCAGGAAACACAAGTACCATTTGCAACATTCTTTGATGGATTTCTTCTCAATCGTCTGCAGGTGAGGTCTGCTACGCTGGATACATGGCTTCCTGAACAGGTTGCATTCATTCAATGTAAGCTTGTCTATCAGTCCATAATTTTGAATTTTCTTGTTGTTGCTGATTGAAGATTATGGAGAGCCATACTTATCGAAAAAAAAAAGAAAAGAAGATTATGGAGAGCCATTATTGTGATTTTGGTTCCTTTTTGTATGCAGCAATGGGAAATGAGAAGTCAAATAGTTACTGGGAAGCAGAGCTACCCCCAAATTACGACAGAGTTGGGATTGAGAATTTCATTCGTGCAAAGTATGAACTTTCATACCAATTTGATGAACTTTCGTGCCAATTTGAACTGTATTCCTTATTCAATTTATGTATTCTGATTCTTTGATTCCATGACTGTCTAGTCTTATTCTGTGTCTTTTTAATATTGTCAACTAAGATATGAAGAGAAGAGATGGGTTTCTAAGGATGGCAAAACAAAGTCACCTTCTTGGGGACAAGAAGAAAACTTTGCTGTGCAGTGGCAGAGACCTGCTGAAAAAAATGGGCATGGATATGCCGGCAGTTCAGAAATTTCATTTGAGGAAAGGAAAAATTTTGAGGCACCTAGTACAAAGGACAGCATTCCTGCTACAAGAATTAGTATACCTGTGCCTCCTAGAGGACCGGAACCGGTAATATTCAGTTGTTTTACCTTGCTAATCTCCATAGATTCTGTTAAAAAAAGGAAAAAAAAAAAAAAAAAAAAAAGCCCTCCTCCCTCTTCCTTTTTTCATGTTGTCTTGGCTATATTTTCTTTTCCATTGCACGGGTTTACTAAAACCTGTTTGTGCTGATTCGTGTATAAAGGATAGATCACAATGCTATTATCTGCTTGTTTGTATAAAGCCTTCCAGTTCACAACCAGGATTGGTATTAATAAAATAAATGGGACTTGGGGTTTCGGTTTGGATACCACAAAAGGTAGGTGGTCTTGTGGGCCAAATTAGGTGGTACATTCACTAGCATATAACACCAATCACATGCTCGTCTTTAGTGAATGCATCTCTATCATGATTACTCAGGCCTGGACTCCTTCCATGAATTGGTTATAATTTTTCCTATGCGGTTCTAGTTGATGTCTCACTTGTTTTACTTGGTGTTTGTTCCCTTCTCTCTGGTTTCCCTTTTAAATGGCTGAGGAAATGATTAAAATATTATATCTTTGGACCTTACATATTTGAGTTACAAACAGATCACACATGCATCAAAGCCTAAACAGGTTACTCAGCCATCAGAACCAGCTGCTCAGCTGGATGAATCAGCAAAGCAGGGTCCAGTGTCTACTCCAGTTGCCTCCCCCCCTAAAGTTGATTTTGCTACTGATCTTTTCAACATTCTTTCCATGGATGGTCCTAGTGAGAATGGCTCAGAGGCAGTTTCTGCTGATGATAATGCATGGGCAGGTTTCCAATGTACATCTTTCTCCCTTTTTTTTTTTTTTTGTTAATGAGACCGCTTAAGCAATACAATATCTGCTTTCAAGTTTTTTAACTTTTATATTGGGGGTTGGGGGTTAAATTTTTTGTAACAACCATGCTTTGAGTTGCAGAGGCACTTTTTATGTTTAATTCGTTGTTGCTATTGACTTTGGTTTAAACAACTTGCAGCTGCTGAAGAAGCATCAACAGCTGAGAAAACTGAAGTTACGAACCCAAATGATAATACTACCCCTGCATCAGGAATTGAAGATTTATTTAAAGACACACCTTTGCTAGCGCCTTCTACAGTATCAGAAAACCCTCAAAAAGATGTTAAAAATGATATTATGAGCCTTTTTGACAAGGTATGTGCTACGAAATGTTTGCCGATTTTTTTAGTAGCATTTATAGAGGCGGTGATTAGCTCTGTCTTTTCGTTGTTTATTTGCTTGCTTGGAGAACCTGGTTTAGGCTTTGTTTTGGTATTTAGGTTTAAAGCGCATGAATATATTTGTTGAGTTCAGTTAACTTAGGCTAATATCATAGAAGAAGAACTACAATGTTGTTTTGTCAGAGAATTAGTATTGTTATTGCTACTACTACAATTACAACATCAAAGGTAATACCTAAACTTATACTTTGGCTGTCTTGCAGTCCAATATGGTGTCACCATTTTCTGTTCATCAACAACAGCTCGCTGTGCTGGCACAGCAGCAGTCACTTCTTATGGCTGCTGCAGCGAAATCTGCTGGTGGGTTGCCAAAATTGCCAGTCAATGCACAACAACCAGGGTCCAAAGGTACCAACTCACCGACTCAAAACTGGCCAAATGTTGGCTACCAGTTTCCTGGAATGATGGTGCCAGCATCTGGAAAGATGGACCTGCAGACATATATGCAGCAGGTAGCATACATTAGTTCTTCATGCTTTGTAAATTACAATTACATCTGAGCACTCATTTTTCCATTTTCACTCGAGACAGATGGGGAACATGGGGCCAGCACATCCAGTTGGGAACTCTGTTCCATTTCCAGCACCCAGGCATGCTATTCATCTTTGTTTTTTACATGTCAAATTTTAAAGCATTCATTAGTAGAAACGTCTAATTGGCTGTTTGGAGCACATAATATTAAAATTACTATGCTTTGTTATTTGAAAATGACTTATTTTGATTCTGGCAATCATTAGAAAATAAATTTATTTGCATTCCATTCTAGTATGTCATCTAAAGTAAATTTTAAGTGGTTTTGAATGCGTTTAGTTTTATTTTCTGTAAAAGCTTACCTTATGATACACATATACACTAAGAATGTTCGGATCCATCATTATTTGCATTCCTCTACTGCAGCGTTTTTGCTACGGGACAAAATGCTTCCCCAGTTACCGGTGCAGTTACGAGTGCAGCTCCTACACAGACGGGGAAAGATTATGATTTCTCCTCACTGACACAAGGGATGTTCTCGAAACCCTGAGCAATCTTGAGGAAAACGATGCTGGGGTTACTCCATAGTACACCAAAAGAGTATATTTACAGGAAAAGTAGCTTTTGGAGGTTTTTCTTCTGTGGTGGGTTTGTAAACTATCTGTAGAGGAGGAGGCATGTTCAGTTTTTTTTTTCTGTTTGGGTGGTGGTGGCTTCATTTATACCTGTTCCATGTATGTTGAGTAATAAGTCAGTTTTAGATTGATTGGAATAGATTTATTTTTTTCCCAGTTGATGTGGATGATTTGATTACTTTCATGTATGGCAATTTGATATACCTCGAAATAAAATGGACTGTACAATCCCCGGCCGGAGAAAAATTGTGCCAATTGAGAAACATTGTCTACTCGTTTCATGGTGTTCTGTGGACAATTGTGTGGAATGTAGCTGCCTTTTCCTTCAATACCCTGTTTGGTAGAAATAGAGAGGAATTAAATTTAAATTTTTAGATTTCTCTGTTGCTTATATTCCTTTTCTATTGCTTCGGTAATGACAACAGTTATTTTTCCTTCACTTTAATCGTGAAGCAAAATAAAATTGAACCTCGCAGATGTCACCAAAGCTTGTTCAAATCTTAGGAAATACCTACTTACTCACGGGTGAGTAGGGGGTAATTTGGGTTGGGTAATTCGAACTCAATTTGAGCCCGATCGATTTTTCGTAGGCTTGGACAATTATTTTTATTAATAATAAGGTTAGGTTTGGATTAAAAAATCAATCCGAATTTAATTAGGGTTGGGTTTGGGTTGAGGTACTAGCAATCCAAACCCAAATTCTAATATTATTTTCATATATATTTTTAATTTTAAATACATTATATATATAATATTTAAACTACAATTACCATTTTTTTTTTTTCAACTTCATTCGTTAAATTTTAACTTATTGTATGTTAATATTTAAGACAATAAATTTTTCAAGAATTTGTCTGTAATTTATATAAAATTTATAAAATGTCTTTAAAATTTATTTATTTATTTATTATTATTTTCTGTTTAAGAGTAATTTAATCTAAAACTAATTCAAATTAAATTTTTTATGTGAAGATTAGTTATACGAGTAACTCGAATTCACTCCAATTTTTAACATGAAATCTAAGCCCGAGTTGCATGCCTGAATTTAAAAATAGAAAGATGGGTTGAGTTGGAGTTGAGTAGTTAGAGCAACCGGTATAAATAGATTTTTGTTAGCAAATTAGTCAGTATTGCGATACTAAGGGACTGGCTAACGGTGGGCCAGCATATTTTGCTAGCAAATTGCATCGCAACAGATAACAGCCTGATTGCTATCCCAAAGTAGGCCCAAAGCTTCCCTGTTTGTTTTTTTCCTTTTTGTTAATAAAAAGGCATTAGATCTGGACCAACAAAAATTAATAAAATAATAAATATCTATCATCATACCATCAACTTTTCCTAGCAAATTACTGTAACTAATTGCTGATGTCGCTAGCAATCAATATATGCATTGCCAGTCAGTATAGCTATTGCCATGCCGGCTGCCCTTGGGGTCGAAGATAGGGCTGTGTTGAGGTTAGGTTTGGATTTAATATTTTGTATGGTGGATTAAATTCAAATTATACTTCAAATTTAAATTAAATTATAAATATACAAAATTAGTAAAGTAATAAATAAGATAAATAAACTCCAATAGATCGGCTTTTATTTCTTTTCCTTCCAACTTTTTAAATTAATTTTTTCTTTTCAACTTTTTAAATAATTACTAAAAAGAGTATCTGAGTGGTAAAAAAATTTATAAATCTTTATTGGGTGGGGAGGGAAAAGAAAAAATAAAATCTTTCAGGCTAATCACATTTTTAATTCCAAATCACATTTTTAACTCCAATCATTTCAGGCTTGTATTATCGTATGGTCATGGTTTTTAGGCTTTTTCCACATATGTAAAATTTAGGTGAGAAATTGTGTCATGAAACAGAAAAGAACAAACTTGTGGAATAGTTTGTTTTTCTTTTTGTTCTTTTCAGAATTTTTTTTCTTTTTCTTTTTAGGACTTTTCAGAAGTTTGGTAGAACTTGTAATAGGGAGATATATCATATATGTATGTATATGTGTATATATATACTGTATCACGATAATAACTCCGCGAGTCACACTTGTCACTCATCTGTCCAACGGACGGTGCTGTCTCGTGTGGTACCTCCAAAACCACAATAACCATCTTTGACTCTGCACGTTTATTTCTACTCATTACTGGTCAGTTTTTTTATTTTTTTATTTTTGGGCAAATTGCATTGATATTCTTGAAGTTTTGATTAATGTCACTCAGATAACACTCTTTTTAACAATAACACGTTTTATAATTTCAAATATTACATTGGCCATTGATTATTTAATTTAATTAATTTATAAAATATCAATCATTTTTATTTACAAAACTATCCTCATCATTAAACCTTTTTTCTACCCTAATCTTTTTTTTTTTTTTTTTTTTTTTCTAGTTGTCAACACTCCCTTTTCTTGATCTCATACATGGTTTTTTTTTTCTTTTTTTCTTTTTTTTTTTTTTTTCTTTGGGTTTTCCTTGTTGTGGTGGGTCTGGGTTGGTCATGATTATTTTTATTTTTTGTTCTACTCCGATGGTGGTTATGGTGGTGATGATGGTGTCTAGGTTAACAGGGTGTTTCAAATTTTTATTTATTTATTTATTTTTATATTGTGGTGGTGGTTCTAGTAGTGTCTGGATGTGTTGGTGATGTTGTCTTGGTGTGATGATTATAGTGATGTACAGTTTATCTGACAATTTTAAAATAAAATAAAAAATTATTTTTTTTTTATTTTTTATTTTTATGTTGCGGCTATAGTGATTATGGTGGTATAAGTATTATTATTATTATATAAATATCTATATGTATATATAGAAGAGAGAAAGAAGTTAGTTAAATCCATTAAATTTAGTTAGGATGTTAAATTTGTAATTTCATAATTTAAATGGAATTGTAGACATGTCAAAGGATTAAAAGGTAATTTCATACGATTTTAGAGGTCTACAAGGGTGTCAATGCACATTTTTGAAACCTCATGGGGTATCAATGTAAAGGCGTTGACCAAAAGTTCATAAGTGTCAGTGCAATTTACCTTTTTTTATTTTTTTGCAGCATTATTACTTCAAGAATATAGATAACAATGTGATATTTATGTACAGTAACATATTTGTTTTAAGACAAAATACTGCAATTTTTAATGTGAATAATTTTACTTTGAGAATGTAATAAGTTACATTCTCGATATAATCTTTTGTTATATCATCATAACAAAATACAATACAATTCTTTTTTTTCTTTTTGTGAAATTAGAGGGGGCACTAAGACTCAAATAAAGAGACATTTGTAAGGAAGAAAATCTGGGTTCAAGCGTTATATATCATCAATGTGTCGGGTATATATTCGAGTCATATAAATGCTGTTTTTCTTTTTATTTCGTTAATTATAAATCATTAATAATTAATTATAATTACAAACCCAAAAAAATAATTAATTGTAATTCTAAATAATGAGCAACTTTTAAGAAAGTGTGTAATATTATTATTTATTAAAATTAATATACACAAGTCATGGATCAAAAAAAAAAAACAAAGAAAACATTGGCGCACATTTCTTAATAGGCAAAAGATGGCACCACTTTATACTGACCAAAAGGCAAACTGTGATAGTACTTATCAACAAATTATTATAATTGTTGTTTCTAGCAAACATCCGTCTCATTCTTAATTTCTCTTACTTAGTGCGTGTTCAAATCGATTTTATTATTGGACCACATGCCCAATTAGTCACAATCTCAAAGTCTGACCCACCTCATTGTTGCATCTGAATGGAACAACAATTGATGTTGATGGTTTTAATTTTTGTCACATACGCTATATAGTTGAATTAATTGCATGGAAAGCCCACGTCTTGTGTGCGCGTGATATATATATATATATATATATATATATATATGTATGTGTGTGGTTATAACTTAGCCATGCTGCAGCCGATATTCGTGTGATATCAACTCGACTCATCACCGTCTAGCTTGACTAAACTAGTGCTGACGAGCTCCATCGCTTGCCTTCGTAGTCCTGCAATGGCCGACCATGGAATATACAGTTGGTTACGTGTATAAACAGGATGTGTGTTTCTATTTTCTGGCTACAATTTACTAATTTCCTCTATGGGATTATATTCATAGGACTAATGATTGATAAGTACTACAAATATAAGCATGGTAGGTGTGCTCTCACTTTCACTTACTAGTACTCTAAATTCACGAATATGTTAAACTCTACACTGCTTCATATAACATCTCGATCAATTGAGGTGATATATCGTGGAAGACAATGACAGTTAATTAAAGAAATGAAATTTAAATTAATCTTTGTCACTCTATAATGGTTGTAGGCAAATTAAGATAGCTAAGTATTATCACTCGCATGTTAGTCTCACCACATACACATGAAATTCTTCTTTAGTTTAAAATAAATAATGACTTTCTTTTGTTTTAAGTCGGAGTAACAGTAGCCTCCTTCTAGTTATCCTAGACGTGTCGTCATGTTATGCGTGAAATTCTTTTTTTACTCAGTTAAATTCCTCATATATATATATAACATGCTTTTGACGTAAAATTTTAATATTTACTACATTAAACCATGTAATTTTTAATTTTTGGAAGCTTGTATATGGTCGGTTTGGGTTTCACATACTAAGAGCTGTTTGGCACGTGGTCCAGCACCCATTGGACTAGCCAGAGTGAAGATCCTGAAACAACGCTAGGTGGTAATTAACGGTGAATTATATATAATATACGCCGTTGAAAATGTCTCTCCACTTGAAAAAAATTAAGGTGTTCTGACAACACTAAATGTATTCATTGTGCATATAAAATTTGCTAACAACATGAAAAGTTGAATAGTGTTTAGATTCTCTAAATAGATTAATCAGATTTAACTAAGGAGAAAATTAAACTTATTGAAAGTCATTAGCTAGGGCTTCGAGATGCTAAAATGACATTTTTATTCGCGTCGAAAGTAGCATCTTCTACGCAACAATGGTGTTCCTTCATCCAAGAAACGACAGCATAACTAAAGTACCTTCTTTGCCGACACTGACAACTTTTGTATATGATTTTACAGTTCAAGCTCATAGCTAACTAGTGGATGATTTTTGTATGTAAACCATGTCACAAATTGAATCTCCATTAACAAGTGTGTCTTACGGAATTACACACACAAAAAAATAAAAATAAAATAAAAAACCACTTACACGTGCTTGAGATTAATTGTTTTTTGATATATATATATATATATATATATCTTGCATAAAATCATGGAAACCTTTTATTTACTGAAAAAATAATGGAAACATGCATTTTTGTTTTATTGCATGTTACTTTGCTGATACGTAGATCCCATGTATGCTCTGGTATCAACATAAAGTTTTAATCAAATCAGAATTAGGGTGCCCAGAATTTAATTTTGACAAAAATTATATATATATGTATATATATATGTATTTAGAATTACAATAAGATTGATAAGTTGGAAGAATATAATATAAATTATATAATCTGCATCAATATATGAGCCATTATTTCATCTATATATGGCTCCAATCTTAGTGGGCCAACTGGGATATGTTTTGAGCAGCCAGCAAGAGACCTTGTAGCCTTGTACGGGACAGACACACATACATACTTTACGCAAAACCAAATTCAATTAAGCCCACAACTTCTACATATGTATGTATGTATATACCCAAATCTAGCGGTTCACATTCCATCACAAAATTACCATTTCACCACTCCTACTATATATATATACAAACCATCGTCATTTTTGTCTAACCCATTGGCCATTACCCCCATTTCCAATTATCCCACCCCCACACACTCTACCTCGCCGGAAAAGGTAAGATTTGGGTCATATATATTCCCGGAAAATGCCGATCCTCTCGCAAAGCTCAAGTAACTGGATGTTGTCGATCAAAGTTGTGTTCTTATCGACAGGTGTTCTGTCCATGGCGGTGATTTTGAAGCTGTCTGTTCCGGTGATCACAGAGTTTGCGGTCTCTGAAGTTCCTTCAATTTGGAGCTTTGTGGTTTCGTGGCTCAGACCACCGTATCTCTACCTCATCATCAACTTAATCATCATCACCATCCTCGCTTCTTCTAAACTACAGCACAAGGTCGATTACTCGCCGCCGGTACCGATCAATGTTATCGGAGATGTTCGGACAGATTTTCCGGTCGCATACAACCATACTTATACTTCGCCGGAAGTAAGCCCGGAGTTTGGATATGGTTACGATGCGAATGCCGATGGGAAATCAGCTGCTTCCGGACTTGATGTGTACGGTCAACTTGATTCGGAGATGAAGACGAGTACAACGACGACGACGAACGCTTTGGACAACAATACTTATACTTCGCCGGAAGTAAGCCCGGAGTTTGGATACGGTTACGATGCGAATGCCGACGTGAAATCATCAGCTGCTTCCGGACTTGATGTGTACGGTCAACTCGATTCGAAGATGAAGACGACGACTACAACGACGACGAATGCTTTGGATAAGGAGATGAATGAGAGTCATGATAAGCTTGTGGTATCGATGTCGTCGAACACGACCTCAAATAAAAGGTCGGCGGAATATTCGTTTTCCACCGAGAAACCCCTTGTTTCTGCGAGATTCGGTCACCGGAAAACTATTAAAGCTAGTCCTCCTGAAGGTAACTCTCTATTTCTCACACACACACACACTGATCAATTAATCATAATCGCACTTTTTTACGACAAATCATTTCCATAGGGTTTTCAACGATAAAAATAGGGTCTTTGGAGGCCATGGCCCATGTTAGACCATAATGGTAGAGTAATCGCCGGTGAAGGTTCCGGTTTGTGTATATTTTCAGGTTTCTACATATTTTACCAAATTATTTTTTAGTTAAGATAAATCTAAGCATGCTATATATATATATACACACATTCAGAATGTCGAATTTACCCCTTGAAACGGTGGTGAAGAAGACAAACGACTAGCTTTTTCATTCTGGATCGCTCAGATTAATCTCATCCCATATGAAATTGAAAAGATAAGTCCAAATTGAACCTTAATGTAATGGCATTAATTCCTTCCGCTGGATATATATTATTTCAGGTGGAAGGACACTGGGAGTAGCGTCGAAGCCAAAGAGAAACGACACGCTGGAGGCCACGTGGAAGACGATAACGGACGGACGTCCGATGCCCTTGACGAGGCATCTCAGGAAGTCCGACACCTGGGAGACTCCTCCTTCTCAAGCCCTCCACGTCACTACTCCACATCATCACATGACCAAATCAGAGACCTTCACCGCTAACAATAACTCTCCGCTGAGTCGGTCGTCCGGTTCGGGGAAACTCAGGAAAGAACCGTCTCCGAGTCAGGACGAGTTGAATCGCCGGGTCGAAGCCTTCATCAACAAATTCAATGAGGACATGAGGTTGCAGAGGCAGGAGTCTCTCAATCAGTTCATGGAGATGATCAACCGTGGGGCCCACTAAAGATTTCTTTGGATAAATTTTGTAAAAAAATGAATGAAGGGTTGCTTTATATTCATATATATAAATAATATAAAATATTTAGAGGATGTTTACAATTTCATATTTTGCGACTATTTTATTGCTGCTTCATTTTGATATAAAAGCCACTTGAGTTAAAAATCGAAAATGTACGTCTCAATTATTTTCAAACCCATGCACCGATAAGTCTCACGGGACGCCAGTTGGAAAGTGAAAAATTGGTATTATTGGTTGGCAATGTCAATAAATTAGATGTGGCCGATAAAATTTTGATTAAATGTAAGGTTTATGATTTGTGTAAAGCTTGTCAAAGACGTAAAACCATGTGGGCTAATTAAGTTTCACCAACCTCTTTCTTTGCGTGAGAGATTCTGAGTGTATAATGACTTTCTTAGTCGTCGTTTACAGTTTTCGTTCTCGTTGACCAATCACACTCAATTGTCAACTAAATGATTTTTAAAAGACATCCACATTTGTGGAACTACTTTAAAAGTTATTGTTCTTGGTCAATATTAATGTACTAACCGGACTTTACTAGTGAGCTTGTAACACAGCTCGATGCCTTTCACAGACGATCGATACTTTCATTCGTCATAAAAGATCACATTTAGTAATGGGGTCACTATATGTTTCGTCGCTTGTGTTTACTTAGGTCATTGCATGAACAGACTGAAATGAATGCCCGTCGATCTTATCCGCTCCACCGGCTCTCCATGTCCATTAATGACACCAAAGACTACATTCAAAGGAAAATGGTATTTTTTTCCCTAACCCCATGGGTACTTACACGTTGTCCGCAGGGATTTTACACGTGGTACTTTGGTCAATGGACAGTCATGAAAACTATAAGAGTATCTCCAGCGATATGTTAAATTTTTTTGTGTAAATCTGATATGTCAGAATAGATTTACACAAAAATTTTGTACTTTTACAAACCTAGTTTATTCAATTTACTTCGATTAAACCTCACGTCCCAATCCTCCTTAATTAGAAAAAAAATAATAATAATTTCTCCCTATATTTTACTTTCCCATCCCGTCAATAGCAAACATTTCACGCCATTGCAATCACTATCGCCACCGAAAACTTATAACAAATAATAAAAATAAGATTCAAGTATGTAGAAACTATGTGATTAAAATATATATCTATTCTTTGGCTAGTACATATTTGTCAATATGATTGCAGAAGATAAAGATCAGACCGAAGTGATAAATCAAATTATATTTATTAAAAATATATATAAATAAATAAAAGATGGATGAGCAGTTCTTACCTTGCCGCTAGCTACAGATTCTTCTCTATTGCACTCTAGAAAGGTGGGAAACAAAGAGGCGTAAAGGAATGAGAGAGAAGAAAGAGAACTGCGAGTGGGAAAAGGGAAGGAGAGAGAAAATATGCTTACATGGCAGTGTAAAAGTACTCTGTAAAATACACAACCCTTTATACACAACCCCTTTACACATTGGTGATGTGGCAATATATCTTAACAGACTGCGAGAGATGAAAAAAATTTACAAATCATACGTGGCCGTGTATATTTTACACAAAAGGGTTTTTTAATATAGCACTGGAGAGAAGCTATTCTAAACAATTTATGTCAACCACATTTTATAGAAAGTCGATCATGGGCATCAATCCTATCTTTTGAATAACACTGATAAGATGCTGCTCTAAACAATAATGGTAGCTTATGGAAGCGAAATATATATATGCATATATATATTATGTAGCTTTTTGAAGACTGTGTAAACTCATATTCTGAAATTAACAATATACAACTTATCTGTCAACCACATTACATTTTACAGAAATTGTTAATGAGTACCCTTGTATGATTGACCATAAGGTTCAAGCAAATCTGTGTATCTAATTTCTACCTTGCACTGAAGTGGCTTAGTGGAACACTGATATTAACTTGTGCATTTCTATTATGGGTGTCATATGACCAATACAATGAGAAAAGAGGATGAACAGTGTTACCGCTGACATTCGGAGATTCTTCTCCCATATTGAGGTTCTTGCTGCATAATTTACTATGAAGATTCTACATCACCATTGTCAATGGGAAAAGCCTATCCAACAGAGTATAAACACCCCCACCTAACAAGAGCGCGCCACTGCAAGAAAATCAGATTTAAGCATGTATCAGGAAGAAAAATGCTAATGGGAGTTTACGGGCATAAACAGTTGTTTAAATATACTTGTGGTAGCTGTGGTTGCAATCACCATAGGGTCCGATGATATTAAATTAATTAAGCAATAAAAACGAGTTTTCGAGATAATTAAGTCAAAAGCGAAAGATGAATAAAAACTAACTGATGCAAAAGGAGTCTTGAAAACACCAAGGAAAACTTATGATTGAACTTAGTTTTCAGAAAATACCTCATTGGGTTAATCCATGCCGAGAACTTCCGGAATGAAAGCAGCCTCTGCACATATTTATGTGTTAGAAATTCCTAAAACAAACATAAATGACATCTATAAACTAAAATAACAAAAAGAATGCAAAGAACACAAAGCAAAATGCAAGGATAACACTACTACTACAAAAATTTTGGGCCTCCGCCTGCAATGGGGATAGAAAGATCTGGGACCTGTCCTAGTATTGCCTGGTCAGACTCCAATATCTTGCCTAAATTAGCTAGGTGTCGTACCGAAAATAGTTTGCCCAGCCCGGCACGGCAGCACCAGTATGTGCTATCGTGCACCACATATACCTCAGAAAATAGGAAAAAGGACCAGTAAATGTTGTACATATAGGGTTGAGATACAGGCATACAGCAGTTTGTTGAGTTTTATAAGTGAGAAAAGCATATACCTGCAATGCCCCTGCAAAAGAAGCTGCGAGAAGTAGAGGAGCAATATAGCCAGTTGTATATGTCAACAGTAAGCTGCCCCCTATTATTGGATCCTGTTAAGCGTTTCATGTTAGATATTTACTTAATGTCATTATTATTCGAAATAAAAACTTTGTAAACAAAAAACAAAGCAGTAAACATTATGCAGAGTATCAACTTACAAGACAACTCTAATTTTTTTTTTTTTTTTTTTAATGAGATTTTGATGTACTGTATATTCATGTAAATTAGTCATATAAAAATATCTTTCCACTAACGAAGAATGCAAAGCCAGTTTGTCTCTGTGCCATACCCTCCCACCATACCAAATGCATAGCATGAGGCCCCGCGCATGCCCTCAAGTGCGCACACACGCGCAAGCAATCATGTATACAAACACACACACACACAAGAAGTAAAGCCAAACCCATAATATAATGCCCAGAACCTATCAGTATTATGCATGCAGTCTAAAAGAAGATTAAAGCTCATATGGAATTCAATATCATATAGCATTTCAAAGTACCTTGGATGTTGCTACATATGCAAGCAGGGTGGCCAGCACAGGTGTGCTGCAAGGTGAGGCGGCTAATGCAAATGTAAGCCCAGCCAAATATGCTTGCACACCTGACAAGTTAAATCTTTTTAGAAGTCAGCAGAGCCACCTTGACCCAAATCATGTGTGCTTGAGAAGCTATGGATAAAACAAAAAAGCCCATTACTTGAAGGAAAATTAGCAGCGGCAGCACGAGGATCAAAGTTGTCGAAAAATGAGGGAAGTTGTAGCTCAATTATCTGCAACATTGGCCAGCAGGATGAGCCCACACAGAAAAGAGGGAGAATTAGACATGACCACCTACTCTAAGTGCATAAACAATACATGTATATATTTTTTGATAGGTAAGCGCACACACATGCTCTCAATATTACCCCAATGGGGTCTTGAACTCCATATTGGAAGATGAGGAGATTTCACTTGAGCTACAGCCTTAGTGTTGCATAAACAATATAAACGATATTATATGTTACAATTGAACTGATTTCATTGAAGTTAAGCGCGTGACTATCTTACCAAAAATACATTAAGCGCATAATCTAATCACAACCAATGTGGTAAAATAGATAATATCTCCCAAGTTTCTGCAAGCTGTAAATTGAAACTTGAACATACAGATCAAACAAAGGCCCTAACTTTTGGGGAAACCTCAGCCTTCTGAACCAATTAGGCCAGATGGAAAGGTAGGACTAACAACCTCAGAGAAAAAGATGCTAAGCAAAATAGTAAGGAAAGAGGAATAAAAAGATCTAAGGGAGAGAGAGAGAACAATTACTCTGGTAGCTCCTTTAATCTCTAGATTGGAAAATTGAGTAAAATCAAAAACTGAATCAGAATTTTTATATCAATCTCCATGCCTTCATAATTCATATAGGCTAAGTAAGCCTATTGATATAAAGAATTTCCATCGATACATTTATAGGAAAATATCAAATATCTAGAAGAACTATACATCTATAAAACCCATTGCATAGAAAGATTGAAATGAAATTCCAACAAAGCAAAAATTTAAGTAAAAGAAATACCCCATCAAAAGTAACTCATCACAAATGGTTGATATAAGTTATAACTAATAATAATTACAACCCTTTAGAAGCAAATCAATACCCAACAGACAGTGCATCTCCCAAGCTTAAGGTCTACAGTATATCACAGAGATGGTGTGCATGGCCAAGTCTGATTGCAGTGACAAGCATACAGACAAGATCACAGTTGACACATTCCAAAAATAATAACAAAAGCTAAATACTCAAATTACCAACAAGCACCTTTTATAGGAGTATTTTTAGCATCAATGCCCTATACCTTTTTAAGTTCAGGAAATTTACTGTCGGTACGGTCACAAAAAAAAATTAATAATAATAAATAAAAGAGTATCATTATTCCCTTTATAGAGTGGGCATGAAATATATATAAAAAAATACATATTCTATACAGAAGAAAAACACATAACAAAATAAAAGATATAACACCAGATAATCATAAAAACAATATGATTAATCACCTCTAGGAGGTTTAGACCCATGACTACAGCCAAACCAGAAGCCGCCACAGGTAGTCCCTGACCTATCTGTCCATATGCCTTCCCAGCAAATGAAGCTGCTATGCCAAGGACTGCTAGTGTAGTTGCCAATCCCAATGAAAATGCAACTGAGTCCCCAATGACCTGAACAGAAAAATATAAAATAAAGAGAAGGAAAAAGGAAAAACAGAACTTTTGTGTGTGTGTGAGAAAGAGAAACCATCAGTCTATCACATATTTTGTGCAGAGTTACTGGAATCATGTAAGCTAAAGTAGCATAAGCAACAGAAGATATACACGTGTCACTTTAATAAAGTAGCATAATAAACTCGACTGAATGGTTTTAGCGTAAAAGATTTAGATGACAGAAAAGACCAAAACCAACAACTCAACCAAGTTCTTGGACACAGCAGTTTAGCGGAAGAAGTTCTGACAGCATTCAAAAACAAATTTTCTATTATTATTTCTCTTTTAGTCCTTAAATTAACTTGGTTCAAAACACATTTCTAAACCAATGTCAATTTCCCGAAAATTATGAAGTTGTAGGAGAAGCATAGGAATAAAATTAAAATTAAAATTAAAAAACTCGTTTAACAAGTCATATACCTCTCCTCTGCTTTTCCCAGAGCCAAATGCTCCTGAATGATTTCCAGCAAGTCCAAGAATCAGCATCACACATGACAAGAAAAGCATAAAATCAACGACACATAATTTACATTATTTTACTACAAAATTTAAAACTAAGGATTTCTTACCAATATAACCAAGAGTCAGTGGTAAAACACTCAACGTACAAGGAGAAAGACTAGTTACAAGACCCGCACCAAATATAACTGCCAAACTGTAAAGAGGAAAACAAATGAACCAGAGAGCATAGTGAAATATTTGGTATCACATCTTCAAATTTCCAAATGCCAATGAAGAATCAGTGCTGGGACTTAAACCTAGTAAAACTGAGAGCTGATAACTGGTCTTGAACAGCATCATTAGCCTGTTGTCCTGCTGAATATAAAAAGCCTCCAAACGAATCTCCTAGGCTTCCATCTGCTAAAGAATAAACAGAAGCAGCTCCTTCCTGAGAAGAAAATATTGATTCTTGAGATTATATGACCAGAGCGAAACTCACAACTAGGATTTAAAGACAAATGGCAGATAATCTGATACGTGGAAACCTTTGATCATAATTGACTATTCAAAATATAAAAAAGGAGTATTTTTAAAAAAAAAGTGGGATGAAATTGTACAAGTTGCTACAAAAGGAATTTAGCTACAAAAGGAATTTAGACACCAAAAGAAAATAAATTCATTTTTTTTGGTTTGCCAAAAAGGAAATGTAACATTAAGCTTAACCTATCATCATCATCCTTGCCTTATTCCCATATAAATGGGGTTGGCCACATGAATTCTCTGTCTGTATTCCTTTCTATTACCTGCCATATCACCTACTATGTAAACTTTTTAAAGTCATTTCTAATAACTTCATCCCACGTTATTTTTGGTCTCCATCTCCATCTCTCACCCTCTACGGAAATTAAACTTCCTTTTCTCACTGGTGCATCATTAAGCATAACCTATAATTCCGCTAATTTATCATTTTCATTCATTTCTCTTTCAGTTCTGCTCGCCTATCGATTGGCTTTTATTTGTTTGTGGCAAGAATCTAGACCTATCAAAATTCTCATGCTTGTAAGGAATTTCTGCATTCGTTTGCCAACAACTATTTCTTTTAATCATTTTGAGTGTTAGTATTTATATGACTGCTGAACCAAACTTTCAATACTTAAAGAGGATCTTGTTCTCAAAAGGCTCAAACCTTATATGAACCCTAGGCTGCATCAAACATCATAATAAAAAATTTCAATTAAGCTATAAATTTCACATAAACATGTCCATTGGTCTGGAAAGCATGCAACCATTGAACTTGGTGTGGGTTCATGCTCGTGACTATTGGAGGGTGACCCCCTTTGTGTTTGGTGGAATCTTTGGAAAGAGCGGAATAGAAGATCTTTTTTTTTTTTTCCTAGTTGGTACTCACACACACATGCCTCCACCGAGGTTCGAACCCCTAACCTCCTTTGGGAAGTAGGGGCCTGCAACTGCTAGGCCACTTGCCCATTGGTGAATAGAAGATCTTTTGATGGGGAGGAATCCTCCATTGGGGCATTGAAGTTTTCTATTATTTGTTCTCTTTTTAGTTAGGTGATGTGGAGAATTTGTATATCTTTAGATGAAATCGTGGACTTTTTGGGTTCTTTGGGTCCATAGGACACCGTTTTTGGTTTCGGTATTTGTATAGCTCTTGGGATGCGTTCCCCTTTTGAAAGCTTTCTAATACAATTTTTACTTATCAAAAACAAAAAGGAGAATAATTGTTCAATCAAAATTTTGCTGTTTCTAAGCCACTAAGGATGTACTTTTACTTTCAATTTCTAATCTGTCTTAATCAAGACATGTCATTAGAAAAGGGAAACACCCAACATATGTACTGTCTATGCAGAGTGCTGGGTGGGGAAAACTAGAGATAAACCTAAACTATATTTTTAGCCCAAACTTTTACCATCACACCAAGTAATATCAAAATCTATCACAGAAGCATTAACCTGTGTGTTATTTAAAAAAATAATAATAATAAATAAATAAATAAACGGAAGAACAAGAAGAAGAAGTGCATAACTCAGGTAAAGAAAGTGAATCAAAACTAGTAGGTAAGATGCTGCAAAATCTAATGAATATTAATCTCCCCCCAACATACAACCCCCCCTGGGTTTCCAGAATAAAGTTCACAAATATAAAAAATAATAATAATAATAAATAAATAAACATAACACGAAAATTCTTTAGCTTGGACAGAGGAATCTCAGAGCACCCAGTATTCCCCCTCCTATTAAATATCCATCCAAATGAACAATTTACACAAAGCGGAGACTCGATAAATTCAAAGATGCAGCCGGAATCAACCACCTATTACATAATACAAATTGCTTGTGGTCAATATTACCATGAGTTTTGGTGTGTGTTAGCACATTCACTTTTGTGCATGTGCAAGCGAGTAGAAGACGTGATGCATTTAGGAAGTCCAAAGATTTGGAAATGTTGGAAGCATTTAAAAATTACTTCGTCATGAATCTCAAAATCATCGTCATTGTCATTTTTGTGGCTATCATGTTCATCAAATCATATTTTATTTCTCAAGAAACAATCTAAATTATCAGCAGAAAGAGATAGTTGTTTTCCATATAAAACAAACACATGCTACCTCCCATTCTGAGAACTAGGTAGAAGAGTAGTTATTGTAATATGGTTTGGATGTCCTTATGATAAATCTTACGTTAGGTTTTGTGCCTCAAATTCCTAGTCTAATTAGGTTTATATTTTAGAGTTGTATTTTGTTTGGAAATTTCTTGTTAAGCAAGTCTTTGGCTCTAAGGAATTGTAATCACTGTCCAACAAGGAATTGGGTTTAGGTTTTTATAAATAGATACCTAGGTTACGGATTGAAACTTAGAGATATGTAACCTCATGAGACAGTTGATGGGTGTGCAAGGGTCTTTAATCCTCTACCTCACACATCTGGTAAATATGTGGTTTATAGGATGGTAGAGTGGAGAGAACACCTCTGGCAAGCAGGGAATCTCATAGAGCGGTACATGGTGAAGAGCTCTAGAGCAAGAGCGTGTGTACACGGTCCGATGTTGGGTATTATCCACCGTTGTAATATCTGTACATAATTATAGTGGAATCTTTCTCATCTATGGACGTAGGCTGGGTTGTGCCGAACCACGTAAATCTTTTGTTCATGTATGATTGTTTTGCTTTTTGCATTGGATCTCCATGTTCATGCACTGAACTTCTGTTGTCCCAGCATCTTAAAGTTACCATCAATTAAATCCCTATTCCTTTTTCCAGATCGTAAACTATCACAGGAAATTATTGAATTTGCAAAGAAATTGAATTTTCCTTGAGTTGATTTGTGTTTCATCACAACAATATGGTGAGTCTCTACAAAATTCCAGATTGGAAACACATAGCTCGCAGTTCACAAGGTGACTACATAGTTCAAGGAGTTTCTTCATTGGAGGGTAGCCGAGTCCAATTCTTCCTTATTACCATGAGGCCTATAACCTATAGTCACCACTGATGCGCAACTTTTAAATCATACAGATTTATTAGCTGAATCTCTTCTTCAAATGGTTATCAGTGCTCATAAAATGATAACACGAAAGTACAAAAGAACATCAAAACAGAATTGAGATAATTATAAACTTCTTTCATTTCTCCAATCGTGCTCTATTTTTTTTTCATTTTCTACCTTGTCATAAAGAAAAAGGGAATTTCAAGGCCCAAAAAGAACACAGTAGGGGACACTTTGCAGTTCCATTAGGACACCAAAACTGAAAGTCGTCATTATTGACAAGCATTTCTCAGGAAAATCATAATAAAAGAAAGCATGCTTTAAACCGTTCTACAAAACTATCGTGGCACAGATAACACAATATTTATAACAAAAATGTTATTTGTTATTTATCATTTATATACTAATTGCCAAAAAATATATATCTCAGACTTTAGCATTCAGCAGACAAATAGCCATGTAACCTGTTTAATAGATAACATGCATCAAACTGACAAAACATTCATGTTGGTGGGTGAAATATATAGAGAAATACTAAACTACTAGATCTAACGAGTTCTCACCACAAAAATCCCAGTGTTCAAAGCCTTTGCTGAGTGTGTCACAGCCAAATTTGCCGCTGAAAACATCATAAATAGAAAATTCAAAAGTTGTATGCTTATTGTACACCTAACACCGAAGTAATGGATATTAATTTGTATGAATGAAAACAAAAACAAAAAAAGAAAAGAAAAGAAAAAATCAAATTGAACGTTTTGGGGGCCAAACAATCAAAAAAGAAAAGAGAAAAAACAGAAAGAATGAAAGGGCATTTACCTGCAATGGCAGGCAGAAATGTCTTAAATTCAAAGTGTGAACTCCGATGAGTCTTGGACAAAGACGTAACATCTTCCTCAACATTTTCATCCACCAAAGAGGACCTCTTGGGCGTCTTGGTAGGCACCTTGTATTTTCCTTTTTGAATACATACATACATACACAAATTCGAGGGTTTCTATTTTCGTTAGATATGATAATAACTTTGATAAAGGTTCGAATTGAACAAAATTTAGGAACTGGTTAGAAAACAGAAAAGACACATACATATATAGATACATACATACATATATACATATATAAAAGATAAGAAATGAAAATAGGGCATAATTGAGTCCTCACCGTGACTGGCTCTCTGGGTTTGATTGAAGCTTGAAATTATAATGGAAGAACGAATAGTGTAGCTGCCGGAATTGCTTATCACCGAATTCATCTCTTCAGATTTATTAAGAGAGCTGAGCTGAGCTGAACTGACGTCTGTGTACCACACTCGCTAGTTTAACCAACCCTTACCACATTTATGCGTTAGTATCTGCGACACCGTTTCTCTGAAAGAAACACCTTTTATGCAACGCACGTGCACCACAAGTCAAATAACCTTCCTTCCCTCCATAGTCACCCCGTCGTTTCACTCACAATTACTATTTTTTTTTTTCCCCCACCAGTCTAGGTTTGTTTAAATCTTCAATACGATGGAAATGATCAGGAAAAGAAAAGAATTAGAAAATGAAAGAAAAATGAAATGAATGAAAACAAAAGTTATTTTTTAGAGAGCATTTGGTTAGTATGAAAATTTATTCAGAAAAATTGTACGAAAATATTAATTTGTTAGTTTGGATAGTATGAAAATGAAAAGAAAGTGATTATGCATACCAATTTCAAATACTACAAAAATAAATGAATTTGTGTTTGATGATATCTATTTTTAGTAAAGTTTTAGTAAAATGATGAATTATTAAATTTAATAATATAATTATTTATATTTATTTATATTGTTTAAATTAAAATAATACGTCAAGACTTCTTAGGTAGAAGTTAACTATTAATTTAATAGAAACAGGGAAGCTTAAAAATACAAAAATAAAAAATTGGGCTAATGGACTCATTGGCTTTCAACCAAAGAATACAAAAAGAGCAAAATGTATATTATTCTATATATATATATATATATATTAGATGCAATGTATATATTCGAAACCAAAAAAAAAATCGTCATAGTACTGCCTTTTAGAAGTCCACTAAAATATAAATTGTTAGAGAACTTGTCTATTTGAAACTCAGTAGAAAAGTAACTTAGTTAGAAAAGAAAGAAGTTTGTTGTTTTAAGTTGTTGAATAAAATATGAATGTCAAATAAAAAGAATCACGAGAAAATATAATTTTCGCCTGTTTTGTGTGAGAAAAGTTTTGGGGGAAAATAGTCTAATGCGGAAACTATATTTTCTATTACGATTCTTTTTCCATTTATCCAAACTCTAAAAAATTAAAAAAAAAAATTCTTTCCTTTCTTTTCTAGTTGATTCCAACTAACCAAACGGAGCCTAAGGAAAAACAGAGAGCTAATTCAAGCTATAAAATTAGCTTAAACAACCACAACTCAATCCCAAAGAAACATTAACAATACGTCAAAAGCTACTGAATACAACTTGGAACAACCCTTTTATAAGACACAATGGGCGCCCTAGCAAAGATATAATCATATCCCTTTAAATAAATGTAATCTAATGGCTAGTATTCTCTCCAGCAGAATAAAGATCTAAAAATTACAAAACATACCTTAAGTAGTCATATGACTCACTTAAAAGGCACATTTCTTATAAAATAAAACCAAATGACAATAATATCCTAAGCATGAAAACAGATTAAAGAATTATAAATGACTCCAGACTCAAAAAAACAGTCACATACGAAGTAAAATATGCATGAATAAGTTATTTTTGTTAAATTTTAATTTTTTTTTTTTGTCTTCGTATATATTTTAAAATAACCAAACACCAAAAAATACAAAACAATATTGTACTATCAAACAAACGAAGCCTTGTGCCAAAAAAATCCAACACATTAGTGTTGTGCACTGTGACGACCCGAGCCCGGAGGTCCAAACCGTTAGCCGGGTCCTTACTCGAACCCGAGGTCCGAACCGTTAGCCGGGTCCTTACTCGAACCCGAGGTCATCTACATCAAACTTATCATTTTAAGCGTCAAAACATGGTCCTAAGGATTAACACTAGGCTCTCACAAAGTCTCTAAACGAATTCCAAGAATCAAGAATATAGTACCAAGGAGGAAGAGCAAAGAACCCAAAGCAGGTGCACTTCGGTCGACCGAAATGGAGCTTCGGTCGGCCGAAGTAGACCCTCCAGAACCGGTCGACCGAAATAACCCTTCGGTCGACCGAAAGGTGAGATTCCGAGAGTTAAAAACGATTCGGTCGATCGAACCCCATTTCGGTCGACTGAAATGGAAGATACTGAGAGTGTGAACTCAGTTCGGTCGACCGATGAGCTATTTCGGTCGACCGAAACAGGTCCCTCGAGCCTTGGTCCTGAATTTGACATACTGCTTTATGAAAATGAAAGGGAAGCAGTAATGGAGACTTAATAATGGTTTGAACTCATAATAGGTCTTTAATCAAGAATTATTCTACGATTACAAACGAAAGAACCAACCCATGATCACATTGAACATCATCGAAACCAATTTCATGAGTTTTAAACTTAAGCTTTACATCATGGACAATTTACATCAAAAAAAAGTTCAACATCTTGTTACATCATTTACATACCAAATGAACTTAATACATTTTGTTACATGTGCTTTATAAAATAAGTTCAAGCTCTACAAAAATACATCCAAAATGCTCTCTAAATGCCCTCAAGCATGTGGTGGATTATCATCAGCCAACTCCTTGCCATATCCTGAAAAAAATGTTAAATGTATTGGGGTGCGCTCAGTAGGTGGCACTTAAGACACGACTCTTGTGTTCCCGTGAATCCAACCAAAGAATAGAACAAAAGAGTTCGGGGTTATGTTATGTCAGGAAGATACGACATAATCATCAATCTTAACATAAATAATAGAATGTCATGGAATGCAATGCATGCCGATGTCGCTCCCCATTTTTCAACATTCAAATCCGTTACTTTCAACTGTTAATATAACCCGCCCTTTGGTGACCCCGCAGCAACACGAGAGAAGGATTGGCTAGTGTCCCTAACCCTTGGTACCCCCGCGGCGTCATTATGGGTCCCAGCTAGCTCAACCACGCTAGGACAATCTCCCTAATTCCCTCTAGGCTATATTAACACTCCAACCATTTGGTACCCCCGCGGCGACCGGGTTTTTCACAAAACACTTTTCATCAAAACACTTTCCCCAAAATTCCTCTTTTTCGTATCAAAACAATTCTTCCCCTTTTCATGCCCAATGTCAATGCATGAATATATCAATATCATGTCTACGCCCATCATTCTACAATCACTCAAAATTTAATTAGCAAAACACAATTCATAAAAAAATTTAATGAACCACAACATGTTTTTATACAATAAAATCTAGCACGATAGACATATAAAGAATCAACACATAGACATGTTCTTCACATAGATCATGTAATATCACAATTAATCAATTAGCAAATATACACATCAACTAAGCAATTGGCTTGATTCTATACAAATTAAGCATGTTAATAACCATTTATGAAGAATTAACTCACTAAAGTACAAGATTACATGGATTAAGGACCCCTACCTCAAATTGATGCAAAACCCTTAAAATGGGTCTCCAATTTCGAAATCCCTAAGGAGACTCAAAGCTGAAATTGTTGGTACTTGCGCGTAGAGCTCGTCGTGCTCTCCGTTTTGCCTCAAACGGCACTAAAAAATTCCAAGTATAAAGAGAGGAATCAAATATCAAAGCTTGACACAAAATAGAAAAGAAAAAGCAAGGAACAAGAGAGAGAGAAACTTACGGGAGAGAGAGAGATAAGAGACCAAAATGTGGTCTCTAGACAATGAATGGGGATAATGGTGACCACTTTTATTTTCTCTTTTCCTTTTTGCTTTAATCTACACAACATGAATACATGTAACACACCATCATACAAATGATACATAAACACTTAAAATAAAATGTATAAAATGCAGACGGATCCAACTAAAATCCCGTATGCAAAACGTGAAAAGACGAAAATGGGGCAACAAAATTCCAAAAAAAATGAAAAATGCTGAAAATTAGAAACATCACTTGCACAATGACCCTTCCTTTTTAAAAGTGAGCCTTGTCAGTCCAATTTTTTAAAAAAGGATGCCTATTAATCCCTATTTTTTTCTCCTTTGACCACTTTTGATATTTTTCTCTTTTAAATTTAGATTTAAGTTTTGGTCTTTGTAATTTTTTGTTTGTTGAGAGTTGTGTTGTATTTGTTACATTTACAAAGAATTCGTGGCCTGTATTGCAGTAATAAGAAGAACATGCAAATGAGATGGTCACTTTTTTTCTTCCTTGAAATAATTTTACATCATCAATTTGAGATATTCTTCTGTTAAAAAATAAATAATTTTTTTTTTTGATACATTCTAAGATTTCTTTCTATTCAAGTCCTTGAATCAATCTTTAATTCAGTTCTATTACATGAAATGCACTAAGAATTTTGGTAAGATACACTACTCACCCCCCACAAATGCTAGTTATGAGATTCCAACCATCTGGCTCTTCTTCTAAAAAGAGAGATTTCTTCCCAATACATAATTCCAACGCCAAATTAGAAATACAATTTGGGACACAATTCCTCACATGCCCAACAAGAACAATTAAATTTTTTAAATATTTTAATAATTTTGGTAGATTTCACCAAACAAACAACTTATAATTGTCGATCCACTGGAGATCGACGTACCATGTAAAGGATTATTTACCATCAATGATCATTTTATCTTACCTTATTTTTTTAATATTATTTTATTTTGTTAACAAGAAGATATTTTAATTTTTTATGCAGACGAGACGGGGTTATTTACACCAAATTTAAAGTAGATGAGTGTTTTATATTCCACGGGAATCTTTTGTATTTTTTTTTCTTTCACGATATCCATAATGTAGGGTTTCGCGTACTTAACCCATATTATTATTATTATTTTTAAAAACCCTTCTACCAGTAAATATCGTTTCACTTGCGATGATATCATGAAAATGACTGATCTCCAATTAACCGCACTAATCATCGCACATGTGATTACCACCTCTTCTCACTTTACTTCTGCCTTGAAATTGGATAAAGTTAATTAGGAAGCTCATTAGCTGACCTAACATTTTTCTTTTCCTTGCCATTTCTCTCGTACTTATGCAATACATATACAATTGAAATTCCATTTCCAAACACGACCAGATCATTTAAAAATAAATAAAAAATCATCACCCAATTTTCGTTTTGAATCATGGTTTTTTTAATGTACTACTTCGCAGTCCAAGCAACAAAGCATAGTATGTCAACCAGTTTGAACTTGTTTTAACATTTCGTAACGTCCGAACCAACAATATAATCAATTGCACCAACGTTGCCACAAAAGTGCACTTGATTATATTGTTGCAAAACTGTTCTTCAGCTATAGTAACTGACCTCTAGAGGTTCTCTTATATTGACTATACTACTGAGTTTGAGCCCCATACAAACCACCACACCATGGCCCTCACACTAGCCTTGCCCATTGAAACTCCTAATTCAATTTTTTTTTACACGAGTCACGGTTCAACCACAAAAGGATCAATTGTCCTGCAAATTTCTGAGGAGCTCTGTAGATTTGTGGTTTTGGACCGGAAGCATTGTCTAGCGCAGGACGTTCCTGTAAATGGTATAGACTATACTGTTCAGCTGTGAGGATTTTGGCTTCATTGTGATATTCTGTTGTTCAGAGCCCGTTAAATGCAGATATCCTAATCACTCGAGTGTATTCAAGGGGCCAAGCAAACATAAATTTTGTCTACGGAACAATCCTCAACTACACATTGCATAGCAAGTAAATCTACTTCTACAAAACATTCAAGGATCTGACAACCACCAAAAAAAACGAAAAAGAAAAGGAAGGTAAAGTAACTTAAAAGTTTGAGACGGGAGGTTCTATGACAGACACACCAACTGCCAGTTGGTTGACTAAAGACTAGTGCATCGAAAACCATCAATAGCATCCAGGGGGAAGCACAAATTTCACAATGGCTTTTGGAGAATACGATCTTGAGGCGAAATCTGCAAAAAGGAAAAGCACAAAATTTTTAGCGGGACTAAAATATTTGCATTGATTCAGCATTGAAGTTGAATACTCAAATATCAAGAGAACACCAAAGACATGTAGAGATTGAGTAAAAAAAAATTGTTGGACAGTATATTATTCTTAAACTTTCAGCCAAAAAGAGAATTCATAATTGATTTTCTATATTCCAATAGTATACAAGATAAAACTGGACTAAGTGGAGTCACAAATGAAAGTCATTCACAGAATTCTACAATTACTTGGTATACTTTTCTGCCCCCACTGATTGCTCTTATAGGACACCTTAAACTTCTAACTGGGAAGTAACTCGCTTCTCATGATTTTTTATTTTTTATTTTCCTAAGTGGCTTATCAAGATTTTTATCAGTCAAATGATCTCACTGCTGCATATGTCTATATTCCCTCTGAAAGAGAGAGACAACAATATTTTGTGATTACCAACAGGCATGTGGCCTAGCGGTACAAGGCTCCTACTTCCCAAAGGGAGGTCAGGAGTTAGAACCTCAGTAAAAGCAGTGTGTGTGAGTCCCAACTAGGAAATATATATATATATATTTTGTGATTCAAATTCAGTGGGTTGTGACAAGTCATTCATAAGAAGCTTGACAGGATTATGCAGTGCACAATAAAAAGATAACAGACGAATAAGAAATTTCACATTGAGTGATTTGAAAACCTTGTCTAATCAAGTCAATATTTAATATGAGTATTAATTTACAATTATTTTAGATTAATATATTGTAGGTACAGGTTGTTACGACAAACCAAGAACAAAGCCAGAATCACGACAAAAAAGCAAACACGCAACACAAAGAACACAAAGATTTACGAGGTTCGGTGTAAGCCTACTCCACGGTGAAGATCTGACGAAAAATTTCACTATGCAAAAAATAGGAGATTACAAGTTTCAGCCCCCAAACCCTAGCTTTCTCTATCACTCTTTCCTGTGATTTTCAGTGTTCTCTGGTTGTCAAACTTTAAACCCTAAACGCCCTTATATAACAGGTTACAAGAGAGCTCTAAACACGGTCCACACCCCACGAGTAAAAAACGGGTCAAAAAAAATTCTCGGGGGTGCCACCCCTAAATCCTGTGGCCAAAACAAAATTTGGGCCACAACATCATACAGTTTAATTTATATTTTCTTACAATTTAAAAAATCAAAGGTTTTAAAAGTAATTTATAGATTGTTGGACATCGTCAGCGCTATTTGGACATAGGAAAAAGAATCCAGTTATGTTATTGAGTCGTCTTTATTGAGTCTAGAATAGGTTTAATAATTATGTTTCAAAAGTTACCTATTTTGTAGTCATGGTCTCAATAATTGAAATGGTCTACAAGCCGATAAATAATTATGTATTTTATCAATTTAATAAATTTAATTTTTTTGAAAATTAAGAATTGTGTGATGTGTGACGCAACCTAATATTAGACAAAGAAACCTCTGCAACTCTATGCGCAACTCTTAGAAAAATCTTCTTTTCTTGCTTCTTTTTCTCTCAATATTTTTTCACCTAAATATGAGACTATACCTCAATAACCAATTTCAGCCTAAATTTTTTTTAATTTAATAACCTCAATCCTTTCCTCAATCAATTATTTTTTTTTTTATTAAATAAAAATAACATTAAAAAAGGCGTTCAAGAGGGGAACACGTCCCAATTACAGAATGGAACCGGGACTAAGGCCCCAAAGAATCCAAGAAAATAATTAAATCTTCAGAAGAGGAGCAAAAACTCCTCTTCACATAATTGAAAAGAGAGCGAAGAATAGTTTCACCATTGCTGTAGGCGACCCTTTCCCTTCGAACATTCTACTATCTCTCTCATTCCAAATGCACCACCATACACAATGTGGAACAATTCTCCAGAAATCGCGTACGTCTCTTCTCACACGACATCCTCTCCAAACATGAATTAATTCCTTAGTAGATCGTGGCATTACCCAACACATACTAAACAACCCAACAATAAGATTCCAACAGTTGTTCGCCACAGGGCAATGCATAAGGAGGTGATCAACTGACTCCTCATCATTCTTGCATAGACAACACCGATTAACAATACAATTGCCCCTTGTCCTCAAACTATCAATTGTCAAAATCTTACCCCAAACAACGGTCCAGACAAAGAAAGCCACCCTAGTTGGAGCTATGGAAAGCCAAATAGTTTTCCACGGGAAGTCTCGATTATCAAAATTAGACAAACATAAGAACAAGGATCTTACTTCGAAACGACCGTGGGAAAAAGGAACCCAAATCAAATCGTCATTATCTCTGCCTACACCCTCCTGCCGATACAGAAGATCCAGAAAAACACATACCTCATCTATCTCCCAATCCTGAAAAGAGTGCCGAAAATGCACATCCCACGTAATCTCGCTGCTATCAAGCCGATAACAGTCAACTACGTAGGCGTGTTTATCAACTGCAATACTGAATAATCTAGGAAATGTATGAGATAGTGGATGATCACCACACCAAAGATCTTACCAAAACCAAATGCGACGTCCATCGACTCCTCAATCAATTATTGAACCTAAGAAGATAAATTTAAAAAAAAAAAAAACGCAAGTTGCTTGGTTTGGGGGTGTGGCAACTTCCATGTAACTAAAATTATTTCTGTAATGTTATTTAGTAGTTTTTTAGGAAAAACAGTAGCCATAAAAAAATATGTTCCGATAACCGTCAAATTTGCATCTCCCATGCATTCCATAAGGTTCCCCAAAGCAAAGCCCGGGGATCTCTTAAGGTTACAAACTAGAAGAGGTGTATAATGCAAAACAAATAACTAACGACATAACAACAATACCATATGAGATCCCTCATGCAGTAATTGTAAAATAATGAACAGGCATCCAGAATGCACACATTCCACTTCACACACACACCAACAGATGATTTTTTTTTTTTTTTTTTGCATGCAATACCTCATCAGGTGGTGGCCCAGCTAAAGTCTTTCGTAATCCCATGACCAGCTTTCCCTCTGGTTCAATACGATAAAATGTCACTGAAGAAATACATCAGTGTTAGTCTAAGGTGAGGAAAATTCATGAAATGCACATGATTGAGAAATTGCAAGTTCAGAAGAGAATGTACAAGTGCCTTGAAAAGTTCAGGTTAGACAGCATATACATTTATGCTGTTGACTAACATATGAAATTGTTCGTTATGATGGACGAACTAAGATCCATGAAGAAAAACCCAAAAGTTGCACTCATATTTTTAAGAAAACCCATATACAGAGTAATCAAAATTGAAGTAATAGATCAGTAAAGTTGTCCGGGCAAGGAGAGTTTAACTGGAAATGACTACTTGACCATTTGACATGACTTTAAAAGGCATGGCAAAATACCACTCAAATACCAGTTCCAACAGAAGCAATTTCAACAATCAAAAAGTTGAAGGTCCTCTAAACTTTAATCTACAAATGATTGCGTAATTACCAATGTCACCCACTTGCCATTGCATCAAAATCATATAATCTTTAAGCCCTTCTAAAACATACATCTTGCTGCTACCATTGGGCCAATAACGGAATTGAAATTCCCATTCCTTGCCATCTGTATCCTGGATTTTGATGGGGAACCCATGTGGCACAGAAATGTTGGGGAAAAAAGCCTGTTACATTGTGAGTATTTTATTACTGAAGTTAGTATTAAATCCAGACTTTTAACATGCATCCTTACCTAATAACTTAAGTTATTTTCATGCACTTATATGGGTGCTAGAAACCTTAGGATGATTAATTGTCAAGACACAGAGGAAATCACGTATTAATGATACCATGTTTTAGCACTGAGTAGAGATAAAAGTACAACCCCCTCCCTACTGAGGTTCTGCACCACATTCCAACTGCCTTGGATTGATAATGACCTTGCAGATCCATTAGCCCAAAAAGAAGCTCAAAGTGGAGAGTTCTCTCTACCCTTACCTACTCTGTGAGAAAAGTTTTGTTTTTGTTCAACCTTTTTCAATATAACACAATTCTTACCTGGTAATGATAGAAAAAGAGAGATAAAGAAAAGAAAAGGAGGAAAATATTAAAAATAATTTTTTTTTTTAATTTTTTTTTTGCAACATATAGTAAATATATATATATATTTTGAAAGTGTTTAACATAGAAAACCCCAACCTCACACATGAACTTTTAACACCAATGTATCTTTTTAAAGAACTTAACGACCAATTTGACCTTTCAAACTAATATAGGAGCATGATGAATTGATGGGGAAAAGATAACAATAAGAATGCATTAGTAGGCATGAAAGGGGTCTCAAAATCAACATCTTAGACCTTTGTATGAGATGCCCAACAATCCTAGGGTATCAAATTTTCTTATCCCAATTTTTTAACACAGGTAAATTTCTTGTGAAGAAATTTCATTTGCATATAAGTGTTTGGTTAATGTTGTACAGTATTGTATGAGCTATCACACGTGTACGTGTACAGTTAGATTACATTGTATACTAAAGTTTTTTGTATTCTGTAGCCACCTTCACCTACCCCTCATTACCACATATAGCATTAACATGTAAAGGGTTTACTTCTTCTCCACTCACCTACCCCTGTAGCTTCTCCTGTATAAACACCATTGTATTATTGTATTACTCATTCAATAATATATATGTTTTCATATATTCTCTCTCTCTCTCTCTCTCTCTCTCTGTCATCATGGTATCTTTATTTATTTATTTTTTTTACAGTCTTATTCAGACTCCAATCTTGATTCCATCTTGGCTTTCTCTCAGCAATCTCTTCCCAGCAATCTCGGTTCTCGTCTCAGCAGTCTCTCTCGGCTCTCTCCTCGATTATTTCTCTCGGGTTCATCTCGGCTCCCTCTCCCTACTGTATCCCATTTGTTCGGTAACTCTTGTTATGGATACCAAGGAATCTCATCTTCTTGGGTCAATCATCAGCACCAAACTGAAAGGCTCGAACGACCTTCAATGGTCTCAAGCCATAGAGGTGTTCTTACGGGCTAGAGGAAAACTATCCTACCTTAAATCAACCAAACCCACCAGTGACGAAAAGATTATTGAGGCTTGGGAGAAAGAAGATAGTCAGATTATGACTTGGTTATGGAAAAGGTTGGAGCCTAAGATATTCAACGACGTGTCATTTCTCCTATTTATCAGTTGTACCTCCAACTGGGAAATCGTTCCGTTGAAGATTATTATTCAAAACTGAAAGGTATGAGGGAATAGGGGTGCACACGGTGCAGTGACGGAACCGGATCTGGAACTGTTCCCAACAGTTCCTTTAAATTAGAACCGGAACCGAACCGTTGAAACATGGAACTGAACCGAACCGAACCAAACCGTAAATACCGGTCCGGTTCGGTTCCACAGTTCCCATTATACACAATTTCAAACTAATTAAAAGGCCAAAATTTATATGTTTTCTACTCCATTGAACTTTCAATAATCAGAATATTATGCAAAGTTTGCAAACAGATTTGAGCCTGATGATAGAGAAAACAAAATACAATAGACAAAAAAAAAAAAAAAAATATATATATATATATATATACAGAATAGTAAACTAATTGTCAATAATATTACATTCCATGGAACCTTGAACAAAACACAACAGCAAAATCGCAAAAAGAGTGAATCAACTGATAACCACATGAACCAATTTCATTATGCTATTGCTACTTGAGTCACTTGTGGCTGTAGATCTGAGAGGGTAAGAGGAGGCTTCAAAGTTAAACCATGCAAACTTATCGAGCCAATATGAGATGAAGCATGCAAACTCACAGAGGCATAACTGGGATTTGACATGACGCAAAAACCACAAAAAAATCATGAGGCGATAACTGAGAAGTCTAAGTTCTGAGATGACGGCTGAAGCAACACAGAGTCTAGGTTTAGTGGTTTACAACTTTACAATTTACATACACAAGGTGATTGAGTTAAATGAATTGAAGATGTGTTTGGGGTCCGGCAGTGGTTACATGGTTGTGAGTCAATGACACTAACGCGGACAGTGGTGATTACTAGTGGAATGTGACGGATCTGATAGTGGTTTATATTAGCTATAATTATATAACCAAATATATATTAATATGTTTGGTTCGGTTCGGTTCGGTTCGGTTCGGTTCGGTTCGGTTCGATTCGATTCCATTCGATTCGATTTCCACAGGTGTGCAACCGAAACCATAACCAAACCGTTATCTAATGGTTTTAAATATTTGGAACCGGAACTATGAGAACCGGAACTGAACCACCGGTTTGGTTCTCCGGTTCCACCAATTTTTTGTGCACCCCTATGTGGGAAGATTTAAATGTCTACCAACCATTGACTATAGACGTAGAACAACAAAAATGGCACGGGGAGGAGTTTTGGGTGGCAAAATTTTTATTTGGACTTAAACCTGAACTCAGTCCGAATAGTTTGTAGATTTTGTCTGGCAAGGAGATACCCACAGCTAGGGAGACTTTTGGTCAAGTTCGAAGAACATCTATTCATGCCCCTGCGATTGAGAAGTACAACCACTCTGCTCTTGTTGTTCCTACTGAGCAACATAATACTTTACGTGGAGGACGAGGGAACAAAGGTCCTTCCAACCCAGGTCATGGTACTCGTGGCGGCAAAGGGGGTCGCGGCAGCAAGAAGCGTACTCCCGTGGAGGACGAGGGGGCAGAGGTCCTTCCAACCCAAGTAGTGGTACTCGTGGCGGCGAAGGGGTCGCGGCAGCAAGAAATGCACTCATTGTGGCCAAAACAATTACTGTGTTGACTTCTGTTGGGCTCTTTATGGCAAGCCAGCTTCGGCTAATCAAGCTTCGGTTCAGGAGGAGACTACTCCCACTCATGCGAATGAACAATTCGTTCTCTCCAAAGCCGAGTATGATTCTCTGGTAAAGCGTGAGCGTGCAGATCAGCCCTCCTCCACCGTTATTATTGTTATTTCAAGTAGTACCTGTCTCCATGCTTCATCTTCTGCACCTTGGATCATTGATTTAGGGGCATCCGATCACATGAAAGGTAATCCATCTCTTCTTTATGATATTTCTCATGTTTTCTCACCATCGATTGTTACTACAGTGAATTGTGCCAAACCACCTGTTCATGGAATCGATACCTTCCGCACTTCGGGTCTCAATTTTTCATCAGTTTTATATATCCCTTAATTTTCATTCAATTTATTGTCAATTTGCAAAATCATATTAGATTTAAATTGCTTAGTTATAATTTCTCCTTCCCGTTGTGTCTTTCAGGATCTCAAGATGAATAAGCGATTAGTGGGGAGTTTGAGAAGAATGGTCTTTATTACTTCTAGCCAACTACTGCTCCGACAACTCATACAATACTGTACAACAGTTAACATATACAATAACGGAACCTTTCAAAAGAAATCTTAAGATAGAATTGCTTACTCTAATGCCAAATAGTATGCGCACAAAAGATTTTAGTTCCTAAAATACATATCATCATCATCCTTGCCTTTATCCCATATGGATAGGGTTCCTATACATATATATATATATATATATATATATATATATATGGGAAAATAATAATAATAGTTCAAGGATTTAAATATTAAAGTTACGCCCTCTCTAACAGCTTAAGCTTGCAGAGTAGATGGTAGTTAACACGGTATCAGAGAGGCAAGGTCTTGTGTTCAAACCTCGCCGTCACCTTTTTTTTTTTTTCACCTTAATAATTAAAATTGAAACAAGTGTTGGACAAAAAGAAAGGCCACACACATGAGAGGTGTGTTGAAGGACTTGAATATAAAGTTATACCCTCTCTAATAGCTTAAGCTTTTAGAGTAGATGGTAGTTAACAATAATAATAATTTAAGTAACTCTATTGATTTTAAATAATTTACTGCATATTGTTTATATCCATATAACTATCTTAAATTATTATCTTACTAAATCTACAGGATTCAACTATCGACAATCGTGGGACTTTGATCTCTGCTTGAAATACATTGTAGGGGGATGTCCGATTCTGAATGTTCTTGAAGCCAATGAATGTGTAGATTCAAGAATTCAGACCAAAGATACTGGGCTTATTTGTATGCTAGATATTGAGAAAACTTAGATTTATGCTAACTGGGGATTTCTTCATTTTCTGTACTGTACAGGCTTTGCAGGCAAGTGGATAAGATGGATTAAAGAAGCATCTCCATGGTCCACTACTTTTGTTGAATGGTTGGGTTGAGGCAGGATATCCCATCTTTCCTTTTCTCTTTATTATGGTGATAGAGGTTCTAAGCAGTAATCAGGATGTTTCACAAAACAGTGGATGGGAACTTTTTTCACAGTGTGAGTTCTGCAGTGTGGGTGGAGGCTTACATCTCCTCTCTACAAATGATGCCATTATTTTCAATAGTTCTAAGGAGATTAAACTGATATATATATGCGATGTACTCTCAATTCTCATGTGCTTTGCGGCTATGTCAGGATCGAGGATTAATGTGGCAAAGAGTGAGATTACTCTTACCGAAGAAGATGGGGATGTTACAGGGTTGGCCAGATATTTGGGTTATATGCTGATATTTTCTGGTCAAGCCATCCTCCTACTTGGGCCTCTCATGCGGTGCCGTGCATCTTTAAAAGTAATACCAATCTGATGACACAATCATCAAAAGATTTTAAGAGAGACTGAACAGATTGAAAAAAAATAATAATAAATAAAGCAATATCTGTTAAAGTAGGTAAGTTGCCTCTCACCAAAATTACCTCATCGAGCTTGCTTAGCTTAAGTACCTGATGCGTATCTTTCCCATCCCAACTTTCGTGGCTCAAAAATCGTAAAAAATATATAAATATATAGAAAGACTTCTGGTGAAGGGATATGAGGGAAGAATTCAACCATTATCTTATAAATTTAAAAACTATGTTTCTTCCTTGTATTCAGATGGGTTTGGAGTGATGACGTTTTGCAGTTTAATCTGGCTTTATTAGGAAAATGACTGTGAAGGTTCGCTATGGATCCTAAAAGCTAATAAAGGAGGGCAACAAAGAATAGTTGGGAGCAGTTGCAGAGGGTGGACCTCTATGGAGGTTACAAGCTCGCATGGAGACGGACCTGTTTTGTATTATACTTCTACAACATTGCACATGTGTAGGACTAACACAGTTCAGAAATGCCACATTTTCTCAAAAGTCTATCATGGTTCAGAGTTGGATTCAGTGGATGCCCTGTTCAGGTTTGTGGAGAGCAGGAGGATGGTTTGAGATAGATATCTAATGAGGACAACCGATTAGGGGTTCGTTCCTAGAATAGGGTTTTGTGTGGTGGAGATAGACCTGACTTTCCTTGGAAAGGAATTTGGAAGATTATACTGTTATGTTAACTTCCAAAAGTTTCCTTCTGTGTGTGATGTTCGCTTTGGATATCTTAAAGATGAGGGGAAATATATCCTTAACTGGTGTTACATGTGTAAGAAAGATGAAAAGACCACTACACTACCATCTTCTTCTCCACTAAAGATGGCCAATGGATTGTGGTGCATAGATGTTAATTTATTTTGAGTGCCATTGGTAATGTCTCAATCTATAAGAGCTCTTAATGACTGTTAGGCAAGTGGATGTGAGAGCAAAAGAATTTATCAGGCTTGGCAAGCAGCATCTTTATGTCTTATGTAGAGCATGTGGCAAGAGTGAAACAGATGTTTCTCCTAGAAAATTTATCCGAACATTACTTACACTATGACTTCTGTTTGAAGTTATTTTATCGTTTCACAATTTTTGGAAAATAATACTACAAATTGGAATCGTTAAATAACATCAATCATTTTTATAATTACAATATAATAGAAATTTAGAGAGTGGTCTCTCTGGTGGGGAAAACATGTGCTGCCAAGTATGAGATGGCGAGTTCATGTCATGAGCAGTCATTTTGAGCATAATGAGGTTCATAACGCCTAAGGTTGGGAACGTTAGGTCAGTTTTTAGTTCATCCCTCCTAGTATCTTGCATAAGCAAGAGTAAGTAATGGGCTTTTGTAACGCAACTCATTTTTCAATAATTAACTTCATTTACTAGTTCCTATTGGCTTAACAAGTATTGTTGTCAGACTTCTACACTTAAAATTTGGTTAAAATGGAAATAGGAATAAGAATATAACTCAACCTAGAGGCAATAAGATGCTCACCATTGAGTGTATCTCGTCCTCAAGGAAATTAGATTCCTATTATAAATGGCACACACCAATTGTTAGAACAGACAGAACAAAAATGAAATTGCTATTCTTTCTTTTGACTCCCATCAACCAAATGTGCCCATTAAGATTTTGCAGAATGCAACTACCATACCAAAGAATATGATCCAACAGAGTTTGCATAAGATAACCATGACATGGATTGATACATCATTTTCCAAAGATGAAAAATTAACACAGAATCCTTCAATCATTTTCGAAGATGCTACCCTTCGCATTGCACTTGCACTGTTAGTAGTAGCATGTCCAGGCCATCAAAAAACATTAAAATTATAATGCATAGGATATTAAGAACTTAAATCGTCAAAATATTTCATTCAAAAATAGGAGTATATGGACTCACCTCCGCACATTTTTTTGGTATAACAAGACGAGCCAGCTTCTGGTCAGCATCACTAGCAGACAATGATTTCTCAAACAAAGGAATGACAATGGAATTTGAGCTTATATTTGGTCAAGGACTGTAAGCAGACATGACGTTGAGTTTGAAGTACAATTATGGAAAGCTCATATGAAAGTTATGCCCAGCTTAATAAACTATAAAAAATGAAATGGAGTAAACAAAACAAAATACTTCTATAATATCAATTGATAATATACCTAAAGAGTTTATAACACTACAAAATCAAGAAGACAAATGGAGAATACAGGATACCCTCTAGAGACCTGCTGTACCTCTAGATTAGACACCCGAGGACAATATTGAGGATCTATGTGGAGATCCCTAGCAGCATCCCCTTGAGGTTCTCTGTTTCCTATCTGAGTTTCAGAAGAAAGGCAACGTCTTCGTGCCTGAAATAATAAGCGTCGAAATAAAACCTTAGAACCCGAGGAAGAAGAGTAAGCAAATTAAATTATATGGCTGAAGCATCGCAGTTGGTTTTTCATTCAGAAATTAGTATTAATCAAGAAAAAAAGACCCCTAACCAACTAGGGATGGCATTAACTACAGGATGATAATATTAAAAGATTGAATATGCACACATGGGGCAGAAAAAGTAGAACTGACAAGGATCAGAGTAGTTCACTGTTACCCGAATAAAATTAATCTTTGAGCATTCCATGCAAATCACTCCACCAATGTCCAATAACATATATGCATGGAATGATGCAATACACCCACAGTGAACCAGCTGCAACAAAAGACTAAAGATTAACATATATAAGACAATGCTAAAACCATGCATCTTCAATAGATAGTTTATTTGTCCATCAATTTACTCTTAGGGAAGAAAAAAAAAGTGCGCATAGAGAATGGAAATTTAAACTCACCTTCCCACAATATTCACAATCCCTCCAACCATCATCATTTGAATGAAACATTTCGCAGAATCTTCCCTCCTCATACAAAGAACTAGATGCAAATACGAAAAAGTCACATACTAACAAACTATACTATAGAAAAATATATGAATCCACTAAAAATATGTTGCAAATATCTCTAAACTTATGTATCTCTATGTATATATTCTCTTTCCCTTTACTCTTAGGGCTTGTACTATAATAGTGTATTTATAAACAAATCAGAGTTAAAGAGAGAATAGGTTTTTAGTGTCTGTGAAAAGAAAATTGATTTCGTGAGTGGCTCAACCTATTGAGGAACATGTCAATTGACCAACATGAGTCCATAGGCCTTCAATTGATCAGTCGATTGATCAAAGTGCTCAAGAATCCTATACATAAAGAAGTTTCCAAAAACACTGTGATACATGTCACTTAGGATTTTCCAAATCAAGTCATAAATTCCCAAAATCCTAATGGATGAATGCATGAATCGTAATTCATTGTGATTGCATAGTAGCGTCAATTTACCTTTAAACCCGTGATGTCAAAAAGTACCCTTTTGCCCTTGGTTGAAGCTTGAATTCCATCTTTAACCATGATAAAGTGGTAACCAACCTTATACTAACTAACTTTTAAAATTCTAACTAATCTAAAAATAAAAACAAATTTACAAACTCTAGTTCTGATCGGTAAAATATGTCAACCTAAGTTCTATTGACCCAACATTTTGCAAGAGCACTATCAAGTGTGCAACTCACATCCAGTTTACTAATTCTGAATATATATTCAAAGTAAGCTTTTCTTCTCTCTCAGGTTGGTGTTGGGGAGAGGCTGTCAAGACTCAAGTTCACGTTTTGCTTTCTCTCATTGAGGATCATATTTAATGTGCCGGATTGCATCACAAGGAATCTCATTCTGTGATCCCTTGGTGACGAAACTCACAACAGAAAAGACAATCTAGGAGATATACGCAAATCTAAAGTACGCGGCTAAAAAGAAAAACTAAAAGTCACTTATTAAACTTTTCCATCATATTGACAGGTAAGTCATAAGAAATTTATTACGAAGATAAAGTTTTGCTTATAATAAATGTATCCAACTAAGTTCATAACTCTGAACTTCCCCATGTCCTTTTCAATTGAAATACTAATGGTACCCTTTTCTCATAACAATATTAATTATACCATTTACCTCCTTTTAAAACTTAAATCAATTTATTTTAACAACAAAAAGCATATAGCACTTATTGTCACCAAACATACATTTTAAAAAAAAAAAAAAAAAAATGACTAATTATTAGAATTTCATTATTTTTAGTGAACATTATAGTAACATGTTTAAAAGGAACATACTGAAAAAATGTTTAAAATTTTTCATGATTTCATTTTATGCAACATGTTCATGAACAATCAAATAATATTTTCAACTTTTTCAAATTGTTTATACTTCAGATTTTCTTAAAAATTACAACAACAACAACCAAGCCTTTTTCCCAACCACTTGGGGTTGGCTACATAAATCCTTTGTTTCCACTCTGCTCTATTCAAAGCCATGTCCTCAGTCAATCCACATGCTATCAAATCCTTCCTAACTAATTTCACATGTTAATTTTGGTCTTCCTCGATCTTCTCCTAGTATTACCCTCAATGTGGACAATGTCACTTTTCCTTAGTGGTGCACTTAAAGGTCTTCTCTACACATGTCCAAACCATCTTATCCGATTTTCTCTCATTTTATCTCCAATTTTTCTTTTCTTTTCTTTTCTTTTTTTTTTTTTTTTTCTAAATAAAAGATTGCTTCAATTCAAATAAAATTCTTGTACAATATTTTGGAGATTACTAAATCAATTCATCTACATACATGACAAGTCTACTTTATTTAACAAGATTTCAACCATTGTTTATGATTTCACTTTATAATTTGGATAAACTAAAATAATTAATGTCAAATTCGTAAGTTAAATCCGAAAAGCTGTAAGGTAGGACTGATTGGTAATTTTCCCAAAGAAAAATCAATTATTCTCCTTTATAAACAGTGCAAAATCATTTACCTAAAAAACAATGTGAAAAATTAGACATTGTCATCAATGCCTTCAATAGCATATATTTCAACTCCAAAGAGCAGACACGAACAAATGAAAGCAATAACTTGAAATTTTTCTATATAGGAGTATCAGATTATACCCTGACCTCAAAATACTACAAAAGCAATCTAGTTCACGTATAGACACAATAAATTGAACCCTGGAACATCCAAAGAGATCCACCAGTAGCTACAACTAATTAGACTCCACTGTCAAACAACATATATCCATCCATAGATTACTTGAGACGCAAGGAAACAGGAAGCACGTCTGCACTTGAAATTGATCGAGGCAAAATTGATGCATCCAAATTAAGATATTAGAAGAGACAACAACCTATGAAATAACCAATTTATACACATGATCACTAGCTTTATGACAAGGAATGTAACCTCATTGAAGCAAATCCACAAACACCACGCTAGCAATAATTCAAACAGATAAATCGATTATACACAATACACCGACACATATGTGTATAGAGAGAGAATAGAGAGGGAGAATGCACTGAAATGATTACCCGCATCGATCGCATAACTGAGCGAACTGGCCGCTGCGAAGACGCCAACCGTTTTTGAAGCGGACAGAATTGGAGTTTTCACACTGAAAGCAGGCCTTTCGAGACGATGAAGAAGCCATATATGGAAGGAAGCTCTGGAGAGAAAACCCTAGAGAGAGAGACAAATTAATATCGATGTTTGAGACTCAGATTTTTAAGAACAAATCTTTTCTTGAGGATAAAGACTCTAGAATAAGTGTAGAGAGAGTGGCAATGTAATTATGACATGAGTCGGAGCTGAGCTTTGTTCACACTTGGTAAAACTTAATAAGATATCATTTGTTGAAATAAAATGGATTTTAGGGCAATTTGATCTTGATCATGTAATTTATTTAAATGTTGAAACATTTTAGATATTGTGAAGCTCGTATCTTGGTTTATTTCTATGGCTGTGTAACAATCATCAAGCCACTGGAGCGTTACTTTATTGACTCTTCTGAATTGACCTGGCTCTATATCATTGTGTGTGAAAAAAAAAAAAAAAAAAAAAAAAAAAAGGTTAAAAACACAAAAGTAAATTTAGAATAAAAAAGATACCCAAAAAAAAATCTGTTTTTTTTTTTATTTATTATTATTATTATTTTTAATATGGTTGGAAATGAATCTCTAAGAGAAATTTTAGAAATTATCATTTTATTGAAGAGGCACTTATTAACACGTCATTATTTATAGCAAGGGTGACAAATTAGCGGGTTGGGTTGGATATAAACGGGGTTAAATATGGGCAGTCGAATATGGGTTGTGAACCATATTCAATCCGCTTGTAACATGCTAAATATAGGTTGAATGAAAATGGGCCGGATCAACCCATCAACCTGTTTTAAGAAAAAGAAAAAAAAGCTATTATTTTAGATAATTTCATTATTGTTATATAAATATTAATTAACATAAACAAAAATATCAAAACAAAGAAGAGAGGACAGAATGTAGAGAGCGAAATGTCACGGGCCTAGAGATTTGGCGCAGCGGCACGGCCCGTGCGGCACCAAGGCGTTGCTTCAGCTCGCGCAAGCGCCCTGGTCAGCCACCACGACCTGCCCTCCCAATGATACATGCTGACTGGTTTCGGCCTGCCATGGCCTCGTCAGGGGAACGGCTCCAGCTCCCGACCAGTTTGTGCAGGGATGGCCAACTCCCTTCTTCATAGTCAAGTCCACGACCAGCGACAAGCACCTCGAACTGAACCGAGTCGACCTGCCTGAACTCTGAAGAGGTACCATCCTGTGCTCCTGCACGCCCCTTCCCTGGAACCATTCCCAGTCAAACTCTGCTCTTTGCCAACCAGCATGCGTGTCTTCCATCCTCCAAGCGTCTTAGGAATCACTTCGTGACATTCTCCCCCACCCAAATCCTGCGACGTCCTCGTCGCAGTGCGGCGCTTCACTACTGCGTCCACTCCCTTCCAAAGTCTGCCTCCATGCGGTATGCTCGCCTTCCCACCATCGCTTCCTTGTGCAGCTCCCTGCACTGCACTCGCCCAATGATAGGCCTCGGACCAAGGGGACGTCCACTCCTCAAGGACGTGACTCTTCTCCGTCATGCCGCCTCCGCGACATCCCGAGCAAGCAATGGCCTTCTGCCGACTTGATGCTCGCCCTTCACCATGGTTTGCATCACCCAAGGACTAAGCACGAACTTTGGTGCGCGCGGCCCTCCGGCCCTTCAATGCGCAACTTCAACGGACGCTTCTTCCTGGGGAGATGGAGGCTCTCTCCCCCAACTGCATTGATTCCTCCACATCGACGCAACTTCAATGCACCGTCTTCATTCTCTGACCCCTCCCGGACCGACAAGGGGGCACCCCACCGTGCTTTACCCCAAGTCCTGCTCTGATACCATTTGTCACGGGCCTAGAGATTTGGCGCAGCGGCACGGCCCGTGCGGCACCAAGGCGTTGCTTCAGCTCGCGCAAGCGCCCCGGTCAGCCACCACGACCTGCCCTCCCAAGGATACATGCTGACTGGTTTCGGCCTGCCATGGCCTCGTCAGGGGAACGGCTCCAGCTCCCGACCAGTTTGTGCAGGGATGGCCAACTCCCTTCTTCATAGTCAAGTTCACGACCAGCGACAAGCACCTCGAACTGAACCGAGTCGACCTGCCTGAACTCTGAAGAGGTACCATCCTGTGCTCCTGCACGCCCCTTCCCTGGAACCATTCCCAGTCAAACTCTGCTCTTTGCCAACCAGCATGCGTGTCTTCCATCCTCCAAGCGTCTTAGGAATCACTTCGTGACAGAAAGCTTTCTTTATTTCCTTTTGCTTTTTCTATACATCTCAAATACACACCAATACCCACACACAAACACACACACACACACAAGTATGTATAGCCATAAGGCAAGCTTACAGAAGTTAAGGAAACAACTTGTTCATATATAATTAAATGTGGTCACATCTACAACATTATATATACAATGAAGCTTTATACATAATTCAAACTTGCCAAATTATCTCAATAGTGGGCCACGCTAGTAATTCCATTTCTTTCAAATTTTCATAAATAGTAAACCCCACGCCATATATATTTTACGGTAGGATATGTGATGAGGGTGTGTCCACAGCGAAGTCATTATATTTGGCTAAAAAACAAGTAAAGGTATTGAAAGAAGATGTAATGAGGTGTTGAAAGCAGATGTAATGGTGCCACACCAAAATTTACAGCAGAAAAAACGATCTAGTTTCATCCAATAGGATCTGCAATGAAATGCAAACCAAAGCAGATGGCGTGTGTTTGGTTCATAGCTGCCACATGATGAAAAAACAACCATGAAACATGGATTAGTGATTATAATGAAATTGGAAAGCCAATGACTAGACATGCATGAAGCTAAGATATATATATTATATGAAATCACCTATTAAGTTTTTTAAAAAATAAATAATTAAATGAATAAATCAGGCCGTCATATTTTGAAATATAGACGTAAACATAGATTTTTTTCGAATCATAGTATTACTTACACGAGGAGTCCATGATGCAGAGAGAATTTAAGAAAGAGATAGTGGGGGAGAGAGAGAATTTGTAATTGTGTGTGAGAATTTTAGAAAGGAAGAGGTGAATTTGAGTTCAATAGAGATTGTGAAACTGAGTTTCTTAAACATGGGTCAAAATGAAAATGGGTTGAATATGAGTCACTTATTTTTATCCATATTTTAATATGATTCACCTATATCCATTTTAAAGCGGGCGAATATAAACGGGTTGGTAGGTCATAACCCATTTTGCCACCCTTAATTTATAGTGAGCTCTATAAGGAGGTTGAGAGTTAAATTTGATGATTTTATAAATCATCAAATTAAATTAACTAATAAAAATATAGTAGGTATGTTCATTTGTCACCGATAGAATTTTACTATTTTATTTTTTTCTTTTAAAAAAAGAATTTATTCACCTCTTCCTTTCTAAAATTCTCACACACGATTACAAATTTTCTCTCTCCCCCACTATCTCTCTCTAAGATTCTTTCTACATCATAGATTCCTCGTGTATGTAATACTACGGTTCGAAAGAAACTTATGTTTACGTTTGTATTTCAAAATAGGACGGCCTAATTTATTCATTTAATTATTTATGTTTAAAAAACTTAATAGATGATTTCATATAATATATATATATATATATCTTACCTTCACGCATGTGTAGTCATTGGCTTCACAATTTCATTATAATCATTAATCCATGTTTCATGGTTGTTTTTTCATGATGTGGCAGCTCTGAACCAAACACGTTCCATCCGCTTTGGTTTGCATTTTATAGATCCTGTTGGATGAAATTAGATCGTTATTCTGCTTTAAATTTTGGTGTTGCACCATTACATCTGCTTTCAACACCTCATTACATCTGTTTTCAACACCTTTACTTTTTTTTAGCCAAATATAATGACCTCGCTGTGGACACACCCTCATCACATACTCTACCGTAAAATATTGGGACCATTATTACAATTCAATGAAAACTAATCTTATGCTGTTTTGGGATATATAAGGTAAGATCAACAGGTCAGTTTTTCAAAAAGAGGTCAGGTGTTCAAGTCTAGGTAAAAGTATGTGTACATGAGTACCAACTAAGAATAAAAAAATTATATATATATATAAGGTAGGTAAATTACAAACTTTCTTGGAAGCTGTTTTGATGTTTGTTTGGTCCATGCATCTACATGCTTAATCAACTGTCGAAGTGATCAAAGAAAATGACTACAAACTTCACGGTCGTTTATGGAGTTTGGCAGTGGAAGATATAAGCTTGAGTTTTTCTACTTACCCAATTAGGTTAACTTTCGTATTTTCATTTGAAATATCTATATATATATATATATGTATCCAATGCACCAGCTGTACAGCTTCAGTAACTAACCAGGGGTGCTATAAACTTTTCAGGTGATATGAAAGGGACTTTGAAAATTTCAGATTTTTTGTCAAAAAAAGGATAAAAAGAAAAAACAGAGGCAATAATATTCTTTCAGACTTGCACCAAACTAAGGACTATGGACAGGGCAAAGTTGGCAAACCCTTATTGGCTTTAATTGAAATGACGATTCAGTCATTTGAATATGCTGAGGTCAAGCCGCAAGTAATAAAATTACACTCAATATGGTAAATAACATCACAAGAAAATCGTTGTAGAAATCACAAAAATGATTTTATTTTATGCTACCGAGCCGTTCTATATATAGAGCACAAAGGAGGCCACAAAATTTAGTCATACAGCTTTTTCGCAGATTGGGTTCTTGCTGTCTTGCTCTCGTTCTTTGAAATTCTCTCTGAAGATTTCTCATTTTGAGATATAGCTTTTGCAATTGCTTTCATCTTTCGAACATTCTTCGATCTCTTCATTTGTACTCCCCTTTTTATCTTTCTGTTATGAAAAAGGATTCACAGTGAGACATTAAACGTAAAAAGTAAGGCAAAGAAAAGGAATTCAAAAGGAAAGAGAATTCACATAACAAGGGAATACATGCGAATTGTACAATAAAAGTGCTTGAAGCTATGAATATTTGAGATTAAGAACCCACAGTATATATATATATATATATATATATATATATATATGTATGTATGTATGTATGTATGCATCTTTGTGCCAATTAACTTTTTGAAATTTTTTTTTTTCTAAGAAGAATACATAGAAATCTTCGACTCCTATTCTCCTGTTTCGAGATGTGCCATGGACAATCATAGAGATATTCAACAGAATTTCTCCTCCTTAGCTCCAATCATATTAACAACTCCCCACAACAGTAAGAACATCCTACAGCATCAACCAAATAATATTGAACCAGCGGTAGCATCCAGACCAATTATTGTTTAAGGACCAAGAAGTTATAAGGTTATCAATGCTATTTCCATCATAGTTTAAACATGGAGCACCTGGTAAGGTAAGTCACCTGAGATTTCCATCAGCTTCTTCAAGACTGACTCATCCTGACCAACCCTAAAAGATCTAGGAAATAATTAATAAATTAAGATAACCGCAATCCACTAAAATATCACTTCCGCCACAATTAAGAAAGCAAACTGCCCTACAACATTACCTAAAGATTTTCCAACAACACATTTTGCCAGTCTTATATGTCATATGTTGGAATCTAAAAAGCTTTTTTACCTCAAAAGAGGTAACAATTCAAAGCACACTTGTCCACACTGGAAAAAGAATTCCAGGGTATACAGCCAAAACATCCTGAAACCATGTACCTACAGCTACCACCATCAGCATTTTCCCAAAAGGAGAAAGAAAACTTGAAACAGTCTTCTATAAGCCATGGAGGAGTAAAGAAATGAGAGGAATCCCAACCCCATAAATGTGAGAAATTATTACATGCAAGAAAATATGTCGGCTTTATTAGCTTTTTGCTTACGTGTCAACTAGTGATTGGTCGGGACTCGGGACCAATGGTCCTGGACTATGTAATAATTTCTCCACAAATGTACCTTATCGCTACACTCCTTTCCTTCATGTGCTGTTTTGACCTTCATCGGAACACATATTATAGCATTATAGTGCTACTCTTCCACACATAGCTAAACTGCCATTTCCTTACAAGCACAAATTAAGAACAAGAGTATATACTTTTCAACTCCCCAACATTCTGCAATACACAAAGACAAGCTATCCTGATCAATGGAAGAAATGTGATTATATTTTCATCAACTTAAGAAACTCTACTACCATCAAAGATGTTCTGAGAATAAAAGTCACTAACATATGAGGGCTTCATATTCAAGAATCATAACCTCATGGTTGGTAAGAGAATTGAGCAGAGGTAAGTGAAACAAACAGTAATAAATAACACCTCCCCAAAGAAAGAAAGAAAAAGTGAACACATTAAGGATTGAGGACCCTTTCTTTGCCCAGCAATAGTTCTTCATCCCAGCAATAGAACACCAAATGAAGACCAAGTAACATGAAATGGCTAGATTATGGTCTTGAAACATGGCACTGAAGCTACGCTTAACAGTTCAAAATTGCACTATATGATTCTTGGATGGTGAATATCAAGTAAATGTTTTGGACCCACTGGGTCATGCAATGTACACAATATATATGATTTTCAGCAAGGAGAAATCAAAACATCACCTTGAGCTACAATTCACAACCTAACTCGGAGAATTATTCTAATATTTGGAAATTAACAATATTATTTGCAATCATTCTAATATTATGTATTTATGGAGTTACATATACTTACACTTCATGTTTCTTCAGTGAGCTTCAGGAGTTGCATATACACCACAAAAATATAAAAATTGTCATATATATGATTTTCAGCAAGGAGAAATCAAAACATCACCTTGAGCACTACAATTCACAACCTAACTTGGAGAATTATTCTAATATATGGAAATTAACAATATTATTTGCAATTATTCTAATATTATGTATTTATGGAGTTACATATACTTACACTTCCCATTTTTTTAAGCAAAAAGCTTAAGAAAATTGTCATGTATCTTTAGTGAGCTTCAGGAGTTGCATATACACCACATAAATACAAAAATTAACCTATAATTAGTTAAGGGTTTTGAATAGTGACCTATTGGAGGCACTGAGAGTTGTGTTTGCAGCTACAGACTCTGAAGTATCCATTGCTGCACGTGCAGTGAAGAGAGATTGGGGCTGATAAATTATTTAGCAGAGAAAAAAAAAACGAAGTTTTGAATTTAGTAGAAAGAAGTGAATTACTATTACAACCTTGGAGATCAACGATCGTCTGATCAGAGGTGATATCCATCGATGCCAAAGCATTTCTCTTCTTGTTTCTGTTCTTCGCCATAGCTATCGGAGAGATTCGTGCGTCGTCTTCTTCGTGCTACAAATGTTGCAAAACCCTAGTCCTAAAACAGATACCCGAAAATAACCGACACGGCCCAATTTAGAACACACTGTACGTTTTAAGCTTGCAAAACTTTTGGCCCGCATTAAAATAAAAGTGGGCCGGGCCTATTAGGGCAGGCTGCTATACATCTTTTTCGTTTATCCCAAAATAAGAAAAAAAAAAAAAAAAAAGGTGAGCTATTTAATCTTACCACCAAAGTCTTATTGTGATGGTCAAGATCAGTGCGAAAAAAAGTATGTTAGGTTATTTTTTGACTGGTCGTTTACCAAAAAGATGACTAACATAGTTCTGAAAATCTTTTATGACCAGAAAATAAAGAAGAAATAAATGATTCAAAAGGTAAAAATGCAATAATCAAGTTTTACTTTTGCATTTAGATATATTAAGATATATTAAGTGGTATCATCAAATGATTAGTACAGATTCCTTTATCATAATAAAATGTTTATGCTATGTTTGAGGGAATGTTTATGCTATGTTTGGTGGCATCGAATTCGTCCATTGGATTAGAAAATATTATAAAAAATTTAGTACAAATTTTGAACCAAACATTCTCTAATCCCAAATTCAAGACACCGATTCAGTACTCCCAAAATATGACATTAATGTATTTCGATTGAGCAAGTAAAAAAGAAATCTATGCAAAAATCACGGAGAGCAGATTTTGGCTCAATGAGTCCGTCCATTAGTCATCTAAAATATAAGCCTTTTTAATATTATACCACCAAATGTCATATATATATATATATATTAGTCCAAATGATGTGATTTTTTCTTTCCTAAAAGGGAGCTTGAGTGTTCAAACCTTGTTAGGAATTATATTTATGGATTTGTGTTTGCTCAACTTTTGAAATATATATATATATATATATATGAGAGTATGTAATCACGTGTTATATAGTATAAAATACATGTGTGTGTGTTTTGTGGGTGTGTATGAATGGTTAATGCCATGTCTTAAAAGGGACGATTTCCTTGAGACCATTCTATCTTGTTTAGAAGCAAAGTTGCAGGGAGACCACCAACTTTGGTTGAGAGTGAGGGGAAAAGGGACCCTAGCGTAAGGCACCATGGAATTTTGTGGTTGCTGGGGGTTGAGTTTTGTTTTAAATTGGGACCTCTCATTTCATCCAATAATGCCAACTCTGTGTTATCAATGAACCCCCCCCCCCCCCCCCCCCCCATGGGAATGAATATATTATGGTACATATGGACACACTACTGAAATTAATTGCCAACACATCCATCCATTCATTGGGCATATAAAAGTAGGGTCCTTGATGGCCTAACCACTTTAAGCTGATGAGAGGTGAAAGCTTTGATATTCAACTTGGGAACAAAATGATTTATCAATACAAACTTTTGTGACACCCTTATAAGTTGCCATAACTTCTTCTTCGTGTCCCTGATGAGCAATCATTAAAAAGGCAACCAGGCACATGGAAGGAGAATAATAGATTCAATACATTTCTTGCAGCCCAATCTAAAATTTAAACCTATTTAGGGGCTATCTTTTATCAACCTCAATATCAATGGTTTAGTTGGTAAAGCGTTCAGCTCTTCGAACACTTATACTCGTTAATTTGTCAAAAAAAATAAACCTACATCACACAATATATTGCGAAGAGAAATTCAATGTATGAGGCTTTCGTCATTCCAAAGTTTGGACAAAATCATATGTAACTATGCAATACCATTAAATAAATAATATAATATATATATATTTTTTTCCTAGTTGGTTCTCACACATACATGCTTCTACTGAGACTCGAACTCCTGACCTCTCTTTGAGAAGTAGGAGTTTCGTACCGCTAGGCCAATGACATGTTAGTAATATAATATTTTTTTTATTATTGTTGTATTTTCGATTTTATAAAGTGACATGGTGTGGTTGCATTCTCCATTCTCACATGATAAAGAGGTCGTTTGGAGTTGTTGTTGGAATAAAAAAAGTCATTTTATTAATAGAACTATCAAAAATTTGCGATCACTAAAAAACATTTTAGGTGTGTGGTGACACACACTGGCACAATATAAGAAGTACTTTTCACAATTAAATTATATTTTAATTTATTTGGTAACAATTTTTTTTAAACACTTCTATTACTAATTTTGCAATAATATCATTTAATATGATGTTACCATATTTGATAATATCAGCTTTATTAAGGAATGAATGTAATTGTCTTTATAAAAAATTACAAGGATAAAATTGTCTACTGAAAAAGAATGACCTAAACTATTTAGAACGCAATTTTAAAAGTTCTAAATTGTAACTTCATTCAAACACGTTTTACTAAACTAAATTTAATAACCATTAAAAACACTTATTAAGCATATCTAAATGTAATTTTTCAAAAATGACCAAGAAGTTTGGCTCAAAATATAGTAAATAAAAGTGCACGCATTTATTAGCAGTGAAGCATGTTACACATCCAAACTGTCAAACTTGATATCCATATAAGTCGTACTGTTTTCATATATATATATATATATCATTTAATTTCCACATATATATAGCATTATTATATTTGTAGATCAACTTTTGGTTTAGGTGCCCTGCGATGGGATGGGGAACCGTTTAATTTCATTTTGGGGACATCATTAAGAGCCTTTTAAGATGATTTTGTTCATCCACATGCTCAATGTGGATTTTGATGCATCTACTCATGAGATTCGTTTAGTATCATAAAGATTTTTATTTTTTTGTTGGAGTTTTTTCATAAGTAAAATTGTGATAAAGGGAGTTAAAAGACTTGAAGCTTCCGTGACATTAATTTATTTTATTTATTTATTATTTTGTTTAGGTAACGAGAGATATAACCATTATAACGTGCAAGTATATTTTATAAATAAACATAAAAAAAAAAAAGGGTAAAAAAAAAAGAGGAACCATATCATATTGTGGGAGGAAGTGGGACGCAGTGTGTGGCAATACAAATAGCTTGCAACAAAAAGGGCAAAAACAAATATAAAGTTCCAACTTTGAACTTCCAACACCAAATTGGGATTAGGTGACTCTTGTCGGTTTTGATTGGTTGCAAATATATATATATATATATATATATTATAACTTTTTTTTTTTGGTTGGCTTGACCAATCCATACTTTTTCCCTTAATTAGTGGGATGTCAGGTCTCCTCCATTATTATGAACATTCCACTTTATTAATCAACATGGAAATTATTTAACCACCAAACCTTGTACAATTTTTGTTTTGACATAGTCTGGTTACTATAATATGAAAAGGGTTGTTTAAAGTGGATTTTCTTTTTTTTGAAAACTACTTGCCTCCTACTCCTCCTCAGATGCCTTCTCCTTACCGTTAGCATACTACCATATTAATATAATACATGTTTTTCAAATCAATTAATTCATAGTCCTTGTTTGTTAAATCATTTCAATCTCAAATCAACTAATCCATGTGATATATGTTGACATATTTATTGACGTGTCACATAAGGATTGGGCAAAGATCATTGATCTTAGGACAATGTAATAATTTTTTATAGTTTAATGGAGAAATTATTGTATGATCCCGGGACTATTGGTCCTGATCAATTACATGATGACACATAAGCTAAAAGCGGAATAAAGTCACCACAAAACTGATGCATTTGCATGTGTCACCATGTAAGTGGCCAAGGACCATTGGTCCTAGAACTATGTAATAAATTCTCGAGTTTAATGTATCCAATGTTATCTCTTATACGTTTGAGACGATTTTTCGTTTCGAAAGTAAACGTTCAAACTGCAATGTAGTAAAATTATCTTCGCTCCATGACCCGATTTGAGTAGGACTTTGGTGGAAAAAATATATATGAAAAGTAACAATTTGTGTTAGCGGGTTGCAACACGACATAGACACAAATATAATACTATTATTACACAAATAACACAAACACGATGTCTATAACCCATTTAATAGATGCAATTAGATTTAACACAACATGAAACAATACTATAAGACGGTTTTAAGTCATTTATGACACGTACACGACACAATTATTTGACACGTTTAATTAAACAAAATAATTAAAACACATTTAATTAAGTTTAGTTAAATGAGTTTACAGATTAAGCACAAATATGACACATTTAACTATGATATCAGCTTGAATTGACACAATTACAATCATGACACGTTCATGTTTTGTTGGAGCCGTGTTAGAGATTTATAATCTATGTCAAGTATTGTCACCCCCATTATGTATCATGGAAAGTATTGGATCCGTAATTTGATCCAAATATGGGACCCGATTCAAAAAAATTTCCCCCCACATTTATCCACTTCCAACTCACAGGTGCTGGTATCTGTTTAATCAGATCCATTCAGGTCCCTATACGTCGTTTTCCATATATATTATATTAGTTCAGTACATTTTATAATATCCAAAGCTTCCAACAATATCCCCATTATACATATTAGAGTCGTATTAGCATTTAATATATATATTTTTGTTTTTGAAAAAGGGATGCGTCATTTTAATACTACTACTTATTTAATATTATTCTTTTTTGAAAAACAGATGAGGTCTCTCTAAGACAAGACAACCAAAACTCCACTTTTTAAAATTTGGTTTTAACCATTTCTATTTCTGCCACTAATCTCTCTCTCTCCTCTGTGTCTTATAATTTTGTTACTCTGCGTTCTGAGTGAGGGTGACGAAAAAGCGACGTGCATCCTCAATTTTGCGAAAGCAGTTTCGGAGTCTTAAACAAAGGAAAACGTCTCCTCTCTTCGCCGACTGCTTTCCAAAATTCTCTGGTTGCATTTTTAGCTTTTGCACAAGGGTTCTTGTTCATGTTATTGACCCCTTCCTTACTCTTCATCACATTCAATCTTTTCAAAAACTAGGTTTTTATCATTTGGGTTATAGAGAAGTTGTTCTTCGGTGAATTCAATTTCAACCTCCCAATTAGAAGAATCAAGAAACATGAACCGTAATTTCGAGCTCGCAAAACAACCATGTGGTCCGTGTTATTTCAATCTCTGATCTGAATTAGGGTTTTGAATTCGATTTTCTTTAGCTAGCAATGTTGGCCGCCTCTTGACATTGTTGGAATTTGAAGAATGAAACTGTTGATGAGAATACTACAGGTTATGTAATTAGTCCGTGCTTGTGAATTTGAAATCGGGGAGTCATTGGAAATGGCGCATTCTTCGTCTATGTCTCGTAGTTCGCTGGAGGAAATGCTTGAATCTCTCCGGCAGAGGGACGAGAACGAGAGGCCCAAGGACTTGCCGCCGGCATTGCCTGCTCGGCCAACTTCCAAGGCTCGCCGTCCCTCTGCCAGGACCCAATTGCCAAAGAAGTTGGATCATGTTCCTGCGGCAACGGCAGCGACAAACCACTCTTCCAATTCCGTTGTTGGCAAAAAGCAACCAGATGTTAAAGCATTCAGAGGGAGTTTTGGGAGCAAGAAGGCAAAGGAAGTGCTGCTCGGGGAATCGCCTTATGATTCGGCGGCTTCCTCCAAACCCAATAAAATTGAAAACAGGTTAGAGGAAACAGATGGGTTGAACCTCCCAGCTGAGCCTTCAAGGGTTGAGGAATCTGAGTGGGATGACATCATTGGTTACTTTGTTGAGAAGGTGAAAATACCGTTAACTATTTGTTGTTCCATTACCATTCTTTTTTCCAGAAGGGTGGTCAGTTTTTAATCCTATTTAGCCCCTTCTGGTCTTAGATTAATTTCTTGCAATCTGAACGAATCTTAGACTTTCTATGTTGGACCGGACCATGATGAATATGGAGGGTTCAACTACTGTCTTTGAGTATAAATTAATGTGACAACTATATATCGAGTCCACAAGTAATCATTCGAACAAGATTGGAAGACACGGTTGGATGTGTTATGAAGTATCTAGGTGCTAATACTTGCATAGTGTAGAGTCCATATCAAGTCCTTACGTAGTTCTGGTTCTGCATTTTAGGTCTGTGTGTACATTGTTTTTTGTTAAAATTCTGTAAAATGACCAGACTTTCAATTCATCCTCTGAGGTTGTTGCTTCTTAACTGTTTTTTTGGCTGCAATTTATATGTGATCTCAGCATATTTATTTATTTGAGTTCTTCATTAATGTGGCAAAAGATTAGGATAATATGCCTGTTATTCTCTTGTCAGTAAGCTTTCAGAATGGTTTATGTGCTTGGTAACTAGAATAGATGTATGTTATGACCTTTTCCTTTTTTGGCTGTTGAGACATCGTGTCTGTGTCAGGTATCGGCACCTGTCTCCAACTCTGTTTGCATCTCACCCTTTGGCCTTGTGCCAGACATTTGTGCGTGCGCGCGCGCGCTCAAGTGTTTAGTTGGTGGTATAATAGATGTTCATATTGTAGGCAGTTACCTGCATGATCTCTTTGTACTTTTAGCATTGGTGCACTTTTCCTTTTATTTTTATAAGTTTTCAATTACAATTGTCACAGCTGATCTCTGTGTGTAATGCTGCATCTTCTGAGAGTTCTTATGTCCTCATAATTTTTTTCATTTGGTCAAGAAATACTTACACCGAAGTACTTCGTTTCAGAAACTTAGTGTATGGTGCATGCTCCCAGATGGGCAGTGGGAATCAGGACTTATACAATCAACTTCAGGGGAGAAAGCTTCTGTTTTGATCTCAGATGGAAGAGTGAGTTCATAAGTTCTGGTTATGTTCTTAAAACTTTCTTTGTTTTGTTTTGTTTTTTTTTTTTTGGTTTTTCTGTCCTTTCTTTCTCTAAAGCACTTAAATAAAATGGGATATCCATGCACCCACCATCTTATTACTACAGGTTGTGGAAGTGTCTACACTCTTTCCTGCAAATCCAAATATTCTTGAGGGTGTGGATAATCTTATACAGCTGAGCTATTTGAATGAGCCATCAGTTATTCACAACCTTCAGTACAGATATTCTCATGATAAAATTTATGTAAGTGTGATATAACATCTTGTTTTTCCCAGTAAAAGTGGTTTTACCTTTACCACTGCGTTGACCGCTGATTGCGTTTGCTTCTTCTAGAGTAAAGCAGGGCCTGTTTTAATAGCAATCAATCCCTTCAAAGATGTCCAACTTTATGGAAATGACTTTGTCACAGCTTACAGGCAGAAGCTTTTTGACAGCCCTCATGTTTATGCAGTAGCAGATACTGCCTATAATAAAATGATGAGAGGTGAATTAAACCATAGTTCGAAGAATTTGGAAAACTATTATATGTTATTATGAATACTATATTGTTAAAGCATTCATTTACATTTATTTTGCTTTCATTGTTGCTCTTGCAGACAAAGTGAATCAATCCATCATTATAAGGTTGGTAGAAATGTCTTTGTTTTAGTTCCATGAAGTGAGAGCTGTGGCTTTACTGATGTTTCTTTCACGGCATTCTCCTACATTCGGTCTTTAGGCTTACTTTTCATATAAATGAAATTACAAAAAAAAAAAAAAATGTCCATTTTATCTTATCTTATAGTGGGGAAAGTGGAGCTGGTAAAACAGAGACAGCTAAAATTGCAATGCAGTACTTGGCTGAAGTTGGTGGTGGCAGTGGTGGGATAGAGCACAAAATCCTTCAGACAAACTTTATACTAGAAGCATTTGGGAATGCAAAAACATCCAGGAATAAAAACTCTAGCCGATTTGTGAGTTTCCTCTCTCTTCTTTTTCTTTTTGCACACAATCAATCATAGATTCTTTTTGAGTTGCAACTTAAACATTCTTGATGGTTATTACCACCTGGTTTGATAATCTATACGTAATTCAGATAATTCAAAAAATATTCAGTTTAAGTCAAGTATTCTCTTAATGTGTTGCAGGGTAAATTAACTGAAATTCATTTCAGTGCAGCAGGGAATATATGTAGTGCTAAAATCCAGACCTGTAAGTATGTTTACTTCGAGAAGGTACAAATATTATTTATGTTTACCATTTCATGTTTATTCACTGACTTGATTCATTTCTTAAATTTGTATGTTGTCAAACATCAATTCGTGCATTAATTGTGGATAGCTATGCTTGAAAAGGTAAGTACTTTCCCTTTCAAACTCGTGCCTTTTTCAAATTAACACATCCCTGTCTAACAAAATATTGTGCCTTCTATGAGCAGTCAAGAGTGGTTCACTTGGCCCGCGGGGAGAGGTCATACCATATTTTTTATCAACTTTGTGCTGGTGCTCCTACTGTTCTCAAAGGTTGTTTGCATTCGCTATTATTGCATTTGGAAGTCTGGTGCATGTATTTATTTTTAATTATCTATAAAGAAATTGAACTGGGTGTTAAAATTATGATACTAATTTTAGGTGTCATTGTCATCACCCCGATATCTAAAAATTGTTTGTAACATAATGATCGATGTTTGCTACATGTAGTTCAAAGTATAAAAAGTTGTGTTATGTCATGTAGCTAACCCTCCAGAATAACTTCACATTTATCCCCTTCCAGTCTTCCTTGACTCTTGGCTTCCCCACAATCACCTCCGTGCATCTCTCTCATAATCTTCTCCTCGTCTTTTCGTAACACATCTCACTAATACACCAAAAAACTTCTTCGATATAGTCTGTATATCTTTTATGGTCAAGTTTGAAACTGTCAGAATTCACGTGCCAGCTGAGTGATTATACCCTGAGGTGATTCATAGCCTGATGCATGAGAAAAATTCAGGGATGGGAGAAAGTGAGGGTAAAGAACTGAGAAGGAAAAGGATATATAAGAAGTATAAAAAGATGTTACTTGAACTCGGGTACATATATTGGATACGGGTATGTGTCTAAATGTCAGATCTCCCTGAATCCCAAATATTAGGATATGTGGATTTTGCTTGAAATGCATCTGAAACCTAGATATGGGTACTTGGACACGTCTTGCACGCTTAAAAAATAATATGGTACATAAAAGTTAAAATCTAAAAATGTACTTAATAATAATCAAAATTAAATAATGAAAAATGAGGGATTCCATCTACCTCAGAAGTAGGTAACCCTTCTTTGCTAGGACATTTGAGCTTTTCTTCTTCTTCCATTGTCAAGATTAGAGGTTCCAGGTAGGGCTGCAAATGAATTGAGAGTTTCAGTGTTTTCGGGCTTAGCTCGTCATTTCTGGGTTCGGCTCGGACTTGCTCGGATTGTGATGAGCTCGAAAAGTTGAGCTCAAGCTTGGCTTGTCATTTTTTTGAAAAGTTCAGGCTGGACTCGGCTCATTTAATAAAAAATCTCAATCTCATTATCATATTCGCATTCGGGGTCAGTTTGAGCTCATGCTCAACATAGCTTTGGCTCATTCATGAACGTATACGAGCTTATACAAGATAATATTCACGAGCGTTTGTTCATAAGTAATGTTTTTATTTTTTATATTTTTTTATACTTATAAAAAAAAAAAATAAGTAATGTTTTTTATAAGCCTATGCAAGTCTATGTTTATGAATGTGTTCGTGAGCCTACGTTCACGAAGACATATGACCCGAGCCTAACAATGTTTGAATTGGTTCATTTACTAAATGAGCTAAAAAAATTGAGCTTGAGTTTGGTTCCTTTACTTAATGATGAGCTCAAGCTGATCCCGGACTATTTATAAATAGCTAGATTCATTTGCAACCCTAGATCCAGTTGTCACGTGTCTGACATATATCCCATACCTAGACCCATGTTGTGTCGACAGTCACACGGGTACGTTAAGGGGAATAGGAGAACCTAGGTAACACAAGACTTTTAAATAACTTCCTTTTTTTTATTTCCCTGTGAACTTAAAGCGTAAATTTTTTATAGAAGGCTTGACATGTGATGGTTAGTTAGGGAGTCCTTCAAAGGCTGTTGGAGATCCACGTGTCCTTCCCTGGATTAACCAGTCAAGATGAAATCCAAGGTGCTCTGTGCATGCATCCTTTAATAAGGAATGTGAGGCACAATGTAAGTGATTTAGACAACACCTTGACTGGCCTCTAACATTTCTCCAATCTACGAGAAACCAAATATCCCAATATGACAACAACACAGCACATTATTGGGAACATCATAGCCACAACAGTCACAATGCTTGAGCTTTCACAATATGATATGATGATTAGAATGCGATATCATTGATCACATCATAGTTAAATGGACCATTACGGACCGTGACATACATCACAATCACAAAATTGTGAATAATAAAGAATTACAAAATTGCACCATAATAGCTGGATCACAACCATGCTGCATATATGGATACATCATAACTGTGGATTTAAAACACCACACCGGAATGCTATAACAGAAAAACTGAAAAATTCCCCTTGGTGTGGTATATTTAGCTAAAGGCAACTGAGTACAGCGTACGGATTCTTATTGACTTCATGTAATTGACATGTTTACTTTCTTTTTTATTGAACACATCATGATGGAGTTTGACTAGTCCACTTCTTTTATTTTCTATTTTTTCCTTTTCTTTTTTTCACTTTTACAGATAGACTGAACCTAAAAATGGCAATTGAATACAATTATCTCAGTCAGAGTGACTGCTTGGCAATTAATGATGTTGATGATGCCTCGAAGTTTCATATGCTCATGGTAACTTCTTAGCTTAGATTATATTACCACCACTCATGGAATGACATACCTTCTTTCAGTTCATCTATGCCTCCTGCGATATACATGTTAAAATTTCTTTGGTTTCCCTCCCATCAGGAAGCTTTAAATACTTTGGAAATTCGTAAAGAAGATCAAGAGCAAGCCTTTGAAATGCTTGCTGCAGTGTTATGGCTGGGAAACATAACGTTTCAAGTTATTGTCAATGAGAATCTTGTAGAGGTTGTGGCTGATGAAGGTAAGATCTGTATGCTTGGTTTTGTATAATGTTACTTTCTGATGGTTGTCCTGCACCTAATGCTATTTCTATGCAATCTCAACATAACTTTGAGTTTATATTACTAGCTTCTATAATCTTGGAGTTTCATAAATGGTTATTGTGTGAGAGCACTGATTTGTATCTCTCTACTTTAGAAACAAACGATTGATGGCTGTGAATAGGTATACTCTGTTGGACATGTATACATTGAAGGAGTGGGCTAAATATGTTGACTACAATGTACTAATCATCATGTGCTTTTTTAGCGGGCAATGAAATAGTTTCAAGTGTTTTCAGTTATCATAAGTTCTTCTAGGCCCTGCAACTTTGAATCTGGTATAGAAAATGGTATCCACGATTGGAAAAAGAACTTGAATGCGTAAATACCATGAATTAGACTAGGATTAACTGATAAGTATATGGAGGCATCTCTCTGAACTTATTCTAGAACTTCAAATTTGGTTAGAAATTAGTATCAATATGGTAAAAGAAAAAATATAGCAAAACCATTAATTAAACCATGTTAAACTGTTACATACAGAGGCATCTCTTTGGTCTTTTTCTTGAGGCTTAAAAGTTAAAACCATGACAGCAACATAATGTTAATGTGCGTGATGTTAAATTGTTAACTTAATATGGCCATATTGCGAAAGTGACTATTTACTCAGTTGAGGTATACTTTGTTGTACATCCCAACTGACATACTAGCTCAAGCAATTGTCCTATTATTGAGAGTATCTATAGAGAAGATCAGTTTGTAAAACACTTATCTTAGTAGTAGGGCCAAGTCTACTCAAGCAATTGTCCTATTATTGAGAGTATCTATAGAGAAGATCAGTTTGTAAAGCACTTATCTTAGTAGTAGGGTTGAGTCTGCTGTATGCTCTGTTGTACACTTGTACATCATACTACCCAACTAAATGCAACCTTAAGAAGTTTGTGTTACCCAAACCCGTTCTACTTCATGTTGACCTCTTGCCAATTAATATAAGGAGACTGATTACCAAGTAATTTGTGTTGGTTTAGATTCAAGATCATAACTGAAGTAGTACCCCTTTTAGATACTCTTTGAGCCCAGTTTTGGTGTCGTGTTCTATCTGTCACCTTGTAAGCACTGTCATCTGTTATCAGCGATGCCTTGGTTCTTATGCGTGCTGCCAACTGACTTGGTCAGTCATTCCGTAAAACCCAGCATACATTATTTGGCAGTTCCAATGACACTAATGAAGTAATGTTTTTATTCATTTCTCTGAAATTTGGATAGAACTTCATTCTTCTTCTTCTTCTTATTTTCAATAGCGTCTTTAGCTTCAAAATGTGTAAATTCATTAGATAATTGTTTATCCATGCCCAAGTATACGATAGCCAGCTGCACATGAATTCCTTCCATCCAGGCTATTTCAAACTTGAAGATATGCTCTCTAATAAGGGCCTCACTTTGTTTCAGTGCAAAATCATGAAATCCTGCAAACTATCCATTGGGGAGTGGGATTCTGAAAATGCTTTTCCATATTTTCTTGATGGTATTGTGAAAAGGAATCCACAATTGGAGACAATAAAATAGGAAGTGAATATTTAAGGTGGCATTTACTATATTTTTTTTTTTGTTTGTGTGCGCGTACGTCATTTTTGTGGCAATATTTTAGTTGCAAGTTATGTATCAGCCAGGTCAAGAATTCTATCCCAACTAAGATTGTTTATTTTGATTGTTATTTCATTTTATGTAGAAACTCCTTTAAATCCTTTTTTAGTCTGTGTTCATGTGTGCTTTTGAGTTTATGTATAGATTAATCTTCCGAAATTGAAAAACAAAGAAAAGGAGACATCTAGTGATGTTTATATTGAGGTGCTATCTCTACCTTCCCCCTTTATTTATGTCTTTTTCTTTTTGGCAGCTGTTACCACTGCTGCTAGCTTGATGGGTTGCAGTGTGAACAACCTCATGTTAGCATTATCTATCCATAAAATACAAGCTGGGGAGGATACTGTTGCCATAACATTGCAGCAGGTCTGTGAAGTGCCTATATATTAACACTCCCTCTCTCTCTCTCACACACACACTCACACACACACGCACACACATGCACACACACAGCGGCATGCTGTATCATTACGTATGCATGTGCATGAATATGTACACATATAAACATAAATGTGCATATGCATACTTACATTTATACCTACTCAGTGACATACTTGTAACATGGAATTCTATTGTTTCTCTTTATTTTTAGATGATTGATAGACGAGATTCTATAGCAAGATTCATCTATGCAAGCTTGTTTGACTGGCTTGTTGAAAAAATCAATAAATCGCTTGAAATTGACAAACAACATGCTGGGAGGTCCATTTTTATCCTGGATATCCATGGATTTGAATCATTTCAGGTATATAGTTTGTGTTTATTTGTTCAGTGATGTTTCAATGCAATGCAATGTCTCCCCTGTGACGATATCATCTACTCATTTCCAGAAGAATAGCTTTGAACAAGTTTGTATAAACTATGCAAATGAGAGGTTGCAACAGCATTTCAATCGGCATCTACTTAAACTTGAACAGGAGGTGAGCATCTCAGTTTTATTGGAAGCTATGCAACAAGAATATTTTGCCCTCTTTTTTTTCAAAATTTTCTTTAGTAAAAAATATTTTGATTGAGTATTTTTAAATGCTGCACTTCTGAATTTATCTGAATGCATTATACTTGATGAGAACTGCAGTTGAAGCACCCTTTGTGCGAATTCTAGGACTTTTTGCATTATTTTTCATGCTCATACATTTAAATTAGGAAGACCGAAGCACATTGCGTGCTTCTTAGCTCTCTATGATAATGAATTTCATTACCAGATGCATGTTTCCTTGTCCAAAGCTTTCTTGTTTTCCAAAGATCTTATAGCAAACTGAACATTGAAATACTAATGTCACAGTTTCTTGTTCTTGTTCTTCTTTTTAATTTTTATATATTATTTATTTATTTCAGGAGTATGAAAACGATGGAATTGATTGGACAAAAGTAGATTTTAAAGACAACTATGAGTGCTTGAATCTATTTGAGAAGGTACTTCTGTTTTTAGTCCTTCAATCTCATTCATTTTATATTCGGGATTACTTCAGAGCCCCTTGCTGATTTTGTAGTGCTCTGGACTTTATTTCATGTGTTATGACGATATAGAGCATATCAGTCTTCTCTACAGTTTTGGTGAACTTTACTTGGTACATATTGTTTTATAATCTTCTTATAATATAGAGCTTTAAAGCAAAAATCTAAAGATAAAAGTTGAAAAATTGTTTTATAGTCTTCTCATAATATTGAGCTTTAAAAAAAATCTAAATGATTTTTTTTTTTTTTTTTTTTTTTTTCCAGTTGAAGCACTAATGATGGATTAAATTCTCCTGTCTTTCCTTGTCTGAAAAAAGTTCTCATTTCCTTGGATATTTTATTGTTATATGAAACCAAATTATATGCTTTTCTATTTAGAGTCACTCTTTATTGTATGGAGGACTTCATACTCATAATTTTACTGCAATGCATCTTGCAGAGCCCTATAGGGCTAATATCTTTATTGGATGAGGAATCAAATTTGCCCAAGGCCACTGATATGACCTTTGCCAATAAGCTGAAGCAGTACTTGAACTCTAACGCTTGCTTTAAAGGTGAAAGAGGTGGAGCTTTCAGAATTCGTCATTACGCCGGAGAGGTCAGTTGTGAGATGGCTTAGCTTAAATTAATCAGAAACTTACAGCTCGATGCTCGTGAATCTATTAGGGTTGTGCTCTATACAGAATAATAAAGATGAAAGAAATATATTGTTAAGAATTTTATGACGTTATGTATATCTTGCAATAATACATGTATGCAAGTAACTTGTGCACAAATCTCAAATTCAGTAATGGAACTCTTGGGCATAGATCCTTTTCTTTGGCCGCATTCCTGTCTTCAATCATATCTGGGACAGCTAATGTACTTTGGTTGCTTGACCCATGCTTTAATCTTATACATTGACCTATTCACTTCAAGAGCACCTCTATCATATACCAGCCATGGTTTCAGATATTAATTGATTTATAAGGGTCAACAAATTTTTTATTAAGTTTAAAAATTTTAGAAATTTGAAATGATGGCCAGGTTAACCTTATATTGGAAATATATGGGTGATGATGTTTCAATTTTATTGTGGACTTCCTGAATCGGTATGTAAATACTAAGAAGATGTCCGATGAATGGACAAAGCACTCAGACACCTATATATAGTGATAAAGCTGATATTGGAGCTACACCACCTCTGATGGTATTAACATGTTGCACAAAATAAATACTTCTTAGCTTCCAAAAATTTATCTTTATGTTTTGGAAGAAAAGCAATGTCCTCTGTTGCGTTCTTAAGAAGTAAATTTGAGCTTCTAACCAAAGCAAGACTTTCAAAGTTTTGACTTTCTTGCTTCTAAATCAAAATTAGTATTTCCTAATGTTGACAAAAAGTTCTTTAAGTAATTTAATAATCCCTGAATTGAGGTAATAATGTATATATTAACCACAAACGTTAGGACAAACACAATACCTTTAATCGACCTTGACAGTTTCCACATTTTTATGAATTTTCTTTTCTTGATAGAGGTAGTATCCTTACAATATCAGACAACCATGATGCTTCGAACATAGTACTTAGGTGTCTGAGTTTACTTGATTAATACAATATTTCTGATCTTTCAAGCCATAATATCCGTAATACGCATTTGAATTCTACTAAAACTTTGTGCACATCTTTTTAGGTTTTGTATGACACAGGTGGCTTCTTGGAGAAGAACAGAGATCCACTGCACTTAGATACCATCCAACTTCTGTCATCGTGCAATTGCCAACTCCCTCAGTTGTTTGTCTCCAATATTCACAACCAATTCCAGAAGCAAAGTGTTGGCACAAATTTCAAGGTAAAGAGGCTTTAGTATTTTCTTTTTGAACTGGATATATGTGAAGATGTATTGTATGGCACTGAAAACTATCAAGTTTATGATTGCAATTTAGATTAATTTTGGAACCAACAGTGCTCTTGAAAGTATAATGTATTTGAATATGCAAATAGTCTAAGATCCGGAGCTACTTTTTCTTGATGTGGTTACCTCAAATATTCTTGCTTGTGCATGACTCTTTTAATTAAATTTTTTTTTTTGAAATGTGCTTTCTATTACATGACGAAGTCCATTATGTCAACATAATGACACGAATATCTAACAATAAATAGTAAATTAAACATATAAATAGAAACCGTGTTTTGGTGCAATTTAGAATCTGTTTGCAGAATTTATGTTATTCAAAATTTGAAATGAGTTAATTTGATAAGATTTTCTTGTATTCTTGCAGGCTCAATTGTTCAAATTGATGCAGCAGTTAGAGAACTCCAAACCCCACTTCATTCATTGCATAAAACCAACTACTAAGCAGCTTCCTGGCATGTATGAGAAAGATCTTGTCTTTGAGCAGCTCAGGTGTTGGGGAGTTCTAGAGGTTGTCAGAATCTCTAGATCTGGGTATCCTATTCGAATGAAACATCAAGAATTTTCAAACAGGTGGAGTACGAAATCCTCCTTTAATTATTCAATGATTTCTCTCATGAATTCTGAGGAATTCTTCAAATATGTTTTGATGAATTTTAGGTATGGTTTCCTACTTTCGGAGAATAATGGTTATCGGGATCCATTAAGTATATCAGTTGCCGTTCTGCAGCGATTTGATGTTCCCCCTGATATGTACCAAGTTGGTTATACAAAATTATATATTCGAACAGCGCAGGTGAGTTTATTTATCTCGCGCAGGTCTTTAATGTTATCATATGCACTTTCCCATGTAGGTAAGTTAGATGATCATTGGCGTGCTGGCAACATCATAATTAGTAGTCACATCAGTGAGATCTTTTCCACTTATGGACATGTTCTCATTGTTCTGTGAGTTTTGAATCACTTTTGAAAAATCTTAACAATTATTTTGAAAAACAATGGAAATTTAGAAAGAGAAATCCAACTCAAATGTGGACCAAGTAATTTCACCAATTCCAGCCATCTCTATAAGACTATATGGTTACTTGACAACTTGGATGCTTTCCAAGTTAACAGGATGTGTTTTGGAGCAGTAAAACATAATTCTTTCCACTTGAAGCAAAACTTCCTCTTAGATTGGTTTCACTGCCGCTGTATTTTGTTGTTAATAGATTCGGGCACTGGAGAATATGAGAAAACAAGTTCTGCAAGGCACACTCAATGTGCAGAAATACTTTCGTGGTCATCGGGATCGTTCTCACTTCCATGAACTCAAGAGAGCAGTATTAACACTGCAATCATGTAAGTGATATGCATTCTTCAATTCTGATATTTATATAGAATATTGACTTTGCCGGTATCTTCTTTTTAATTAATTTGTGCATTGGTATATTAATGCTTGTTTAAGTTGTTATAATGCACATGTTATTTCAACAAGTGTTTTAAATAAATAAAAAAAATCAACTAAGGGCAAAACTATGCTTTCAATTATATTTTCTTCCAGAACATTCTTTTATAAATCCTTTTTTGGTCTTTCTTGATTTTGAAAACAATCCATGAGTATGATTAGTAAGATGATTGTTGTTAAAGGCTCAAGGATCACTAAGGTCTTGTGGAGCATAAGTGCATGGCACAATATAAGGTGTGAGTCTGATCGAAGTAAGGCACGCGTGTGATAGTAATGTATATAAAAAATAATTAAAATATGCAATACAAACTAATCATAATTAAAAAAAAAAAAAAATCTTTTTTTTTTCCCAACATATTTATTCAATCAATTAGCTAAATCAACATACATATGTCTTCTCAATTTGTATATGAATTCAATTAAATCAATGTGTTAATTGAACAATTTAAGATATGCAAAACAACTAATAAAAAATTGTCTAAAAGTGGAATTTTTGATATATCAACTAAGAGGATCAGTAAAATTAGTGTTCATAAATCCTTTCCTATGCATATGCATTGACCAAATTAAATGTGTTTACAAATGTCAACGATAAAAAAACTATGTTGTGTAAAACTTTAGACATATATTATCATAAATATTCAAAATTCAGCACTAAATGCAATTAATCTAAATAGTCAACCATATGTTTATGAAATCTGTTAAATATTTCATAAGGTTGAACATTATGATCCGCTAAATATGATTGTGGCATGATATAAATTAGTCTGATTTAATGGTCATTAAATAAAAATATGATATGAATAAATGATTAATAAATAAAAGTTTTTTTTTTTTTTATTTTTAAAAGATTTGTCATTTTCTTGAATTTCTTAAGGTCCACTTAAGGGATGCCCACAGTCGCCCTAGGGCTTGTTTCATTATTTCTAAAAAGCACATAAATAATAGTAAGTATCTATAGAGATGGTTGGGTCCCATTATTACCGTAGGTCCCTGTGGAGAAAGTGGTAAGGTTTGTTTGCAACTAGACCCTCATAGATGATGAATAAGCAGTTCTATGCCATCTTTAGAGAAGAGATTGCGCGGTTGGACAAGTGTGCAACTGGTCTCGCATTCTCATTGAAGGCCATTGGTTTTGAGAACTCACAAGATAGAGGATTTAGAGATAAAACGATAACATGCAAGTTATTAAATAATACAAAATTTGGGAATTGCTGTAGAAAGTTGTTACACGGTCAGGGAGGTGTGCAATGAGATCCTGTTGGAGTCCATAGGTTTCAAAAATTCATAAATAGATAAGTTGGTGAAGGGACATGTTCTGAGAATGATCATCTACAAGTCACTTAAGCCAATTGGAAATAAATTTGCTATGGTGGTGTTCATTAGACTAATATAAAGTCAATACTTGACATATTAAAAAGAGAAGAGATAGACAAAATGAAGTTATGGTATCCATTCCTTATACGATACCCTTTACCTCACCTATCAGTATCAAGATTGTGGAACTTGGTCAATAAGATCAATTGTTGTTCTGATCTATGTGGAAGGTGTGGCATGTCTTTTTACAAGCATGACCAGAGAGCTATGCAGGTCATGCCACAAAACACATGAAAATGCCATGTAGGTTGCCACCTTGATGCCACCGACAAGGTATAATGTACCACTTTGGTGTCACATGTAGGAGGGAGGGAGGTTTGTACCCACAAGCTGTTTGATGAAACGTCTCAGCTGACCTTTTGTTACAGTGTCATACCAAACGCCTGAAAATAAAAGAAACTTACTATTTTACATACAACAGAATTCTACCTGAAAATTTTCTTGGTGAATCTCGTGTTGAAGCAAACAGTATTGTCATCTGCACATGTTCCATTTTAGGCTGGACACAGTGTTCTTCAGGATCTTATTGAATATTTATCCTCATGATTGTTGTATGAAGCTCGAAATAGAACTTTACTTTGTGGATTGGAGTGTTATAATGATATTTATTTCTCTGGCTCTTAAAAAATGTTCCTTTCTTCTTCTTCTTCTTCTATTTTTTTATGATAATATATGTTTTCTATTATTTGATGATTCCCGCCCCCCCCCCCCCGGTGCAGTTCTCCGTGGTGAAAATGCTAGAAGGAACTATGATTCTTTGATAAAGTTGAGACAGGAAACCATTGATGAGCAAGGGGCAGTTGTACATTTACAATCGGGTAAAATTTATGTTATTCGTTGGACAAGGTGGCTATTTAATTGCATATAATGTTCTTATCCTTGCATTTTCTTTTCTGCAGTTATCCGTGGGTGGTTGGCTCGAAAGCATTTTAGTTACCTGGTGAAATTGAAAAAGTTACATCAGAATAACACAAAACAGAAGCCAGGCAGGAAGATTTATGGAGTGAAGGTGCTATCTTTATGCGCTCATTACTGAGAATTACTATATATATTTACTTCATTTCTTATTGCTAATTATTGCAGTCAGTAATTAAAATTTCTTCAATTTTAGCCAAGCAGTAGCCTCTTTTCAGGTCCACAACACTTTGTGTATTATACCTTAAATTCCTCTACAATAATCATTTAATGGTGGTGACTTCCATTTCTGTTACCTCACTAGAACATTAAGTTTTGGATTAATAACATAAGAACTACAATATTTTTTTAAATGGAAAAGGTCAATCAGTGGAGCCAGTTATCAGATATTAAGTTAGTTTGAGAGAATGTCTTTCTTTTGTCTTGAAGCATCTTGCGAGCTTATAGCAATTTTTTTTTTTTTTTTGAACATTTTCAAGAAACTCACACACCCATTTGCCCTTACGGGGGGCTTGAACCCTCACCATCCACTTTGGGAGGCAGAGGAGATACCATTAGGCTACAAGGCCTTTGGTTGCTTATAGCAACTTTGCATTTTAGTTTTTAAAATTAATCAATAGTGGAGAGAGTAAATTTTTGTTTTATTTTTATTATTTTTTCCCCCAGAAGTTACAATTATTGAATTGGACTGATTGAAGTGAAACTGTTGGTTTTTACTTTTATTTTTAAATTCTTTTGGTTTTGGGAGCAGGGGTTTGGGCGAGCTGTAGGTGCTTGATTATTCCTTATTTGGATTTATGTATTAGTTATTTGGTGCTTTTTTTCCCCAATAACCCTATTATTTTCCTATTTTGTAACCTGAATCCTTTTATTTCATGGATGTGAAAATCACATGGGTAATGTGAAAAATAAAATAAGTTGCTGAGAACAACATTGAAGTATTTAGTTCATTTTCTGTCTCAGTAGTGTTACATTTTATTCTCTTTCCCCTTCTTTTTCTTGTCGATAATGAGTGCTATTATAAAAAATATAATTATGTGGAGTGGTTCCTCCAAAACGTGGTGAAAATAATGAAACGAAGAGGTTTGTAATGATGGGTTCTCTTTGTGGCAACTGTGGTGAAAATTTAGGACTTTTTCCATGTTTGCTAATTACTTTCTTGGAAAGAGTTCTAAATTTTAAATCATGGGTTTCTTTGAATTTTCCAGACTTAGTTGCATGTCAAATACATTCTTCCTCTCTTGAGATATATATATATATATATGTATATATATATATATATATATATATATATATGTCTTTGGGTATGTTTACAATGGATGCTTTGCGTTGTTGTGTATCTGACCTTACCACTTTACGTTATTAATTCATGTGTCACGCTGCAGCTTCATAAGTGGTTCCCTCAATAGGAATGTATTTGAGATCTCCTTCCCTCTCTGCACTGTCTACTGTCTGTATGCATGCATTGCCACCTTTATGATCACACCTGCAATGCTGCTCGCCTGCCACATTCTATCAGAGAGCCCCAGTGCATGCGGTGGCATTTCACTGGACCACGGTAGTGTGACACATGGCATGACTTAATTAGACCCCCGCATTGGCATGAGCACTGCCCTACTCAATGGATTATAAATAGGCCTCTGTTATAGAAGAAATATAAAAAGAAGAAAAATGAGAGAATTGTGTAAAGGCTTGAATGAGATATATCACTCATTCACAACTCTAGTATTTATAGATAAAAGGAGCATATGGTCACAAGAAAGGAAATTAAATCAAATCTAAATCAAATCACATCATATTCTATGGCATATTATATGCCATGATTCGTGACTATCAAATCTCTCCTAATATGGTAAGTCATTCCATAAATCGTGACTATCATATCTGCTAACACTCCCCTTTTAGTTGGTGAGTGGATATCTGAAACGCCCAACTTGGACAATGTATCCTCAAACACAATCTTGCTGAGGCCCTTTGTAAGAATGTTTGCAAGCTGAGGAGTGCAAAATAAAAAATGTCTCCTCAGACCATAAACAACCAACCATGTCTAACCAAACCGTAATCAATCAACAATGTCTCCTAAGCTCATTTCCCTTTATACACATTTAAAATATGTAGATAGAAGAATCAACATTGTCTCTTCAGACCATTCCTCTTCATACATATATTAAAAATGTAGATGAAAGAATCAACAATGTCTCCTTAGACCATTCTCGAATGGGTGGTGCCGAACTTGCAATGCCCTCATTGCAGTCGGACCACCCTAGCTCTGATACCAAGAAGAAATATAAAAAGAAGAAAAATGAGAGAATTGTGTAAAGGCTTGAATGAGATATATCACTCACTAACAACTCTAGTATTTATAGATAAAAAGAGTATTGGTATTAAATTTTTTATGATTGTGTGAAATCGCTTATCTGGAGTGCACAGTTTGTTCTGAATTGCATTGTTTGGCTGGGTTTCTTCATGTAGATATCCTATTAAATGCATTTGATGTAATCCCTTTTCCTTCTTCTTGTCTTTGTAGTTTTTAGTAAGAGAAATTTGTGTGTAAGTTCTACTCTTATATCTAGATTCTTTTGGATTTTATATATTAAATTTTAACTCTACAACAAAAATTGTGTAGGAGTGCATTAAAGAGGCTGTAACTCTGTGTTTTTTACCATTAATTGAGGGTGTTGGAAGGAGTGGACCTTATACAAACCTGTTCATTTATATTGTTTGTCTGAACAAAACAGTGCATATATAGTTGATGTCTACCTACCAAAGAAAATGATAAATCATATATTCTAATTACGGTTGCAACTTGGGCGGGTCAACCCAAACCCAACCCAATCTTTCATTGGCTTGGGCAACCATTTTGACAATTAGGGTTGAGCTTGGGTTGAAAAATCTCAACGTAAACTTAGTTGGAGTTGGGCTTGGGTTGAGGTTTTCCAAGCCTAACCCAAATAATTCTACTTTTTATATAGTTAAATATATTTAAAATTATGATCAACATTTTTATTTCAACTTCTTTTTCGTCAAATCTTAATTTATTATATATTACTTATTTGGAGAATTAATTATTTGGATTTTTTAAAATACTTTTTGAGAAATTTTCATTTTATTATTATTATTATTATTATTATATTTTTAATGCATAGGAATAACCTAACCTGTGCCCGATTTCTCTAACCCGAGTAAAAAAAATTGAACTTGGGTTGGGGAGCTTGGCTTGAAGGTTGCATTGGTTGGGCTTGGGTTAGTCCCTCAACTCGTCCAACACCCCCAAGTTGCACCCTTAATTGCAACGCCTACAATCTATGTTATAAGTGACATGTACAAATTCTTCACTAGAAAATAAATGTAATGTCTCCTAGTTGCATGTATAGTGCTAACAAGGTGTTTGCTTAAGCTCGCTTTGGCATTTTTACAACTATACTTTGTCTATAGTTTGGGTTCTTAATTCTTTCCGTTTTTATTCAGGTGTATTACACTTGAAAATTTTTGAATTGAAAATAAAATAAGAATTTTATCTTCATCTCTCTCTCTCTCTCCCCTTTCCAAATTTCTTATGGATATTGGATTCTGAGCATTTTTAAAGAAATGAAATTCCTCTTCTTGGCTGAGCAGGACTTGTCTCAAGAGCATATTCAGGCTCAGCCTCCAGTTTTTGCAGAGCTTCAAAACCGGGTTATGGAGGCTGAAGCAACCCTGGGGCAAAAAGAAGAGGAAAATGCAGCTTTGCGGGAGCAACTTCAACAAGTTGAAGCAAGGTGGTCAGAATATGAAGCAAAGATGAAATCGATGGAGGAGATGTGGCAAAAGCAGATGGCATCTTTGCAAGTGAGTTGGCTGTTCATGTATAGATATGGCTAAGAATTTATCCATATATATTACTGCCATCCATCGCATGTTGATAGTCCACTGTAGATTTTAACTTTAATTTATATATATTACTTCCATATGTCCCATAGTAATAGTCCATTTTTAGATTTCGCTTATTAGATTTGATGTGATTATTATACTCGTGTGGTCTCCATTAATCAATGGTGCTGGGAGGGGTAGACGGGATACCTAACTTTTGGCATTATTTGCACAAAGAAAGGAAGTATGAGTTCCAAAATTCACCCAACAAAATTTAGAGTTTCACTTTTAGCTTGTGGGAACCTTTCAAAATTATCCATGCAATGGGGGTTATCTTCATCAACTTTATGAAATTTGGAAAATTCTTATCTGCTCTAGACTTCAATCAGAAGCCCATCTGTCATCTTTCTGTAGAACATTTACTTCATCTAGATACCATGAATGTACGATTAAAGTACCTGAAACCTTGGATACACTTTTTTCTGTCAGGCAGCATTTTATAAATGTCTCTCCTGTGAAATACTGAAGCTGCATAAACTTTATAGAGCTCACTGGTTTTGGGTTTCTCTACAGTAAATCCAAACCTTTATCATCCACTTTCCTATACTCCTGCTCTGTTGCACAAGTTTGTATCTACTGGCACTCTAGACCTTATAATGACCTCCCTAGGACAACAGTATCAAAGTAACACAAGTTATCCTATCGATTTTGTTTGCTCTCCACAATACGTCCCATTTTAACATGGTCCATTAGCAATAGAGCCGCATCATGCCAACATCGAAAGAGAATTGAGAGTCTGTTTCATGAATAGACATCATCAATCACCCGTACTAATGCAACTAACCTAGTAACGGTACCTGACCTTGATATTGCCGCTGGTTTCTACTGTTGGGTCCTGGTACAGGTCTTTCTTCATTTATTGAGAGTCATTAGCTATTAGAGAACAACATAAATATGCAATATTTTTATTAATTCTATTAGGTAAAAGCTGCTGAACTGATGGGTGGAAAGAAATTTTGATTCTTTGTTTGTCGTCTCATACCAATTTTAGCCATATATATGGCTGTACTACAGATAATTTAACTCCTGGGATGACTGGGGATAACTAATGTAATATCAATGCAGACTAGTCTGGATGCAGCCACGAAGAGTCTTGTCGCTGACAACACCACATGTCAACCTCGAAGGCTAGATGGTTCGCCATCACCCTACTATGATTCTGAGGATACCGTGTCCATGGGTGTTCAAACTCCTGGTGGAACCACACCCCTCAAATTCTCTAACATGGCTAGCGATGTTGGAGCAGGACGAGAGACTAATGGTGGGGTGAATGCTGTCAATAGTTTGACAAAGGAGTTTGAGCAGAAGAAACAGAATTTTGAGGACGACGCCAAAGCCATTGTTGAGGTAAAATCAGGACAATCACCTTCCACGAATCCTGATGAAGAACTCCGGAATCTAAAAATAAAATTCAATACGTGGAAAAAAGAGTACAAAGTTCGGTTACGGGAGACAAGGTCAAAACTTCACAAGTCTGGGCATTCAGAAGCAGAAAAAAGTCGCCGTAAATGGTGGGGATTCTAGTTTTGGATTATTCAATATCTACTTTAGGGGTGTAGTGAAAGATAACTACAATAATTTCTGGAAAAAGAAAATGCTATCGAAATCCTGCAACTTGCAATCTCCTGAAGCAGTTTTGTTCCCTGTAAAAAACCTCCCGTATGATACTGTAGCATGAGACTTGTGGAGAACGGAGAGGAGTCTTATTTGTATAAATACCGATTTTTTTAACTTGGTGGAAGGATTGACAAGCTTGTTCATTGCCAGATTGGAACTGTTAAAACTCCTTCCACTTGGGTCTTTTCTCCTCAGAATAGTTTGTGTGAATATGTTGTTGTCGATGTATTGTGAATCTGTTGTATTTTAGTCGCTAGTGCTGAGAATCTGGAAGAGAAATGTTTGTATCGTCTCTCCTTGTGTATGATAGGTTATATTTTGTAATTCTATAGTTTATACACATGTTGTAAATTTCGACGTTCTTTGGCAAAATGAGCATTATATGTTTTTTCACTTCCAAATTTGAAGCTTCAATGATAAAGTCCATACTCTCCACACCACTTTACATTGTTTATCCACATTATTTCTTCATATCATAAAAAGGTGAACTGAACCACTTCTCCACTTGGACCAAAATTTACTGGAAAATATCTACTCTGTTGAGTTTACCATATAGCCAGTTTCTTTTCTGGGATGGTCATAATTCATAGGTGTAAATTGCTTTTATCTTTTGGCTGAGTGATGAATAGATTTGCCCCTTTAATTAGCTGATAAATTAACAACCCCATATTCATCTAAATAAACAAGACTCATAGGATGATCAATCAAAGTTTTAAGTCAAATCTCACAGTACATCATTTTGAATGAAAACTATCCATGATTTACACAAGCTTCCAATTCTCACTCACCCACACAACACAAGATTGATGAAGCCTTGTCATAAATTTATGATCCAGGCACAAACTTGGTGGCATAGACCCATGCATTGTTGGCCACAGGGTTGTCAAGATGGTCCAGTAGGTTCTCAAGTGGTCCTTTGCCGGTGACGATGGCTTGGACAAAGAAGCCAAACATGGAGAACATGGCTAACCTGCCATTCTTGATTTCCTTGACCTTGAGTTCAGCAAAGGTGACTGGGTCATCGGCGAGGCCAAGAGGGTCGAAATATTGTCCACCAGGGTAGAGGTTGTTACCCTCCCCGACACCGGGTAGGCCGTTTATGCGGAATCCCTCAACAAGCCCCATCAGAACAACTTGGAAGCCAAGTACTGCTAGAATGCTTTGGGCATGAACAAGATTAGGGTTGCCCAAGTAGTCCAGACCACCTTCTGAGAAAATCTGAGCTCCAGCTTTGAACCAAACTGGTTCCTTGAAGTCCACTTTCACCCATTTTTCTAGGACCTCAGGTGTGATGCATCCTAGTGCTCCAAGCATTGCCCATCGGCCATGAATAACCTGACATTGTTAAAAAAAGTGAAGGGTTATTGTCTCGGTCTCAAGAATAATGATTCTCAAACCTAACAGTAATGCTAGCCGAGGGATTCCAATGCATCCAAGGGACAGAAATCCCTCAGCTTTGCATTCTCGGTTTTATTTTTTTTTACACCACCATTGAATTGTCTAGTGTTTATTCAAGTCTCACTAGGGGCATATTTTAGTTATGGGTGTGTGTTTGTATTAACTTCTCAAAATAAAAATAAAAAATAAATTTTCAATTTTTTTTTTTTTGGGGGCAGAAAATGACTTGATCAAATGAAATGATTGGAGCAAAATAAAAGAGGAATGAATAAAAAATCTCATGTAGTGTGTTAAAAGAAAGTATCACTACATATACTATTATAATTAACTGATCATTGAACAAATTAATCAGCATTTTTGTTGATACAAATATAACAGGTAAAAACCATTTTTCTAGTGAGAGAGACACACATATAATACAAAAATATAATTACCTCAAGAGCCCTGTTCCTGGCAAAGGCCTCTGGATCAGCAGACAAACCAGCAGTGTCCCATCCGTAGTCACCGGGAAATTCTCCGGTCAGGTATGAGGGAGTCTGAGCTGAAAAGGGTCCCAAGTATTTCACTCTGTCCGGCCCATACCACAATTCATTCCCCTATTCAAATCACAAGCAAATAAACACAATCTTAATCACCTAATCAACATATACATATATAATATATATATATATATATAGAGAGAGAGAGAGGGGGGGTACCATGGTGATTTTGCCAGTGCCCAAAGAGACAACATCTCTAAGAGGGTTAGCACTTGATCCCCTGGTTTGACCCAAAAAAGGGGTTGGGCTAAGGACAGTGCTGGAGCTAGCAGTGGCTGCCATTAACATTGATGCCATTGTTATTCTCAAAACTTGGGGAGTTTTAAACAAATGTTTGTGGAAAGAGTGAGAGTTGGTATCTGAAAGTGTGTAGAAGGAAACCCAGGTGTATATATGCGTGGGAAATTAGAATCAATTGAAAGATTGGTGGTTAAAATTGGATGAATGGATGTGGTGGTGATGAAACCTGGGCTGTTTCGCATCAACCAATCACAAGGCTTCAAAAGATTTTTGGTATCTCCATTTCATATCCTTCTATCCACAATTTATCTTGTGTCTCAAATATACTGTTATTTATTGGGAGAGATATGTGTAAAAATAAATTAAAAAAATAAAATAAAATAAAAAATTATGAGAGAAATCATCATGTGTATGCCACATGGACAATTTTTTAAAATTATTTAGGGTATTCGATTAGTTGGTATAACTTTTTTTTTTTTTTTTTTTTTTAGGGGTGATAAAATGGGTCACAACCTATCAACTTGTCCATATTGGCTCTTTTATTAATAATTTTGGGTGAACTATATTTAAAATATATCAAAATAAGTTGGTTAATTTTCGACCCATATTTTACCAATCACATAATAAACACACATCTATTCTAATTGCACTCAACTCATTTCTCTATCTCAAATTCTCTTACTCACTATCATCTATTTCTCTCTAAATTTGTCTCTTATCAATCTCCTCTTTCTAAGTTTCTCTCTCTAAAAATTTTACTCTTTCCTTTACTTCTTTCTCTCTAAAATGAATTGATAAATATTGCTGAGTTTAAGATTGTTTTTCTTATTTGTTATTTAATAAAATTTTAAAATCTTTCTAAAAAAAATAATTAAAAAATCTTAAAATAAAAAATAATTAAATAATTTTAAAAATAAAAAATAATTAAGATAATTAAAATAATTTTAAAATAAAAAATAATTTTTAAAAATAATAATTAATGTGTTTACGGATCATAACAAGTTGATCCTATATATTTTTGACCCTTTTTAAAAAAGTTGAATATGAATCTTGATTCATATTTAACCCGCATATTTTTAATCCAATCCAATTTACCCATTTGCCACCCCTAACTTTTTCTCAAAGGACAAGTAAGGGTACCAGTCTCATCTTAATTATATGTGAGTATCTACCTAAATAAAAAATTCATCTGCTGTGATTGATTGTAATTGTGATTAGTTTTAAAAGAATGTAAGCTGCAAAATTACGTGTATTATGTATATAATGCATACAGGTCAAAACCTGAAGCATTGCTGAATTGGGCTGGGCTGGGCCTGCTTGCAAAAAGGCCAAAAGTGAAGAGGAATAAATTTGGGTTGGGTTGGGCCAGTTGGCCAAAAGAGGGAAGAGGAATAATTTGGGTTGGGTTGGGCCAGTTGGCCAAAAGAAAAAAAAATCCTGATTGCGGTGAACGTGGATCGAACACGTGACCTTCAGATCTTCAGTCTGACGCTCTCCCAACTGAGCTATCCCCGCAATTTGTTTTATAAGTTTTTCTCTTAATACTTATATCATTTTGACCTTTCCGCACTAGGATGTTCCACAATACATATATTTTTTTAATAAACCATTCACATAAACTGCAATAAAGAAAGAGACAAAAAAGGAAAAGATAAACGAGTACGCGTATGTTTACTTAATCCTATCAAATAATTTTTACAATATTTTTGGAGAGACTAGAAGCCACTACTTTTATATTTTGAAGGACAGTGATGCCATTATGCCACATAACCCCTTAAAAATAAAAGGTAGCCTTGCCAATTGAATTTACCTTGCAGTCGAGCACTACCTTGAAAATGCTTTATTTTTTTCAAATGAAAAAAAAAAAAGACTACTAAAATAAAATAAAAAATGAATGGACTATTTAACTAGCACTTCCAAATTATATTTGAGCAATGGACTTTATAAAAAGCACTTCCAAATTATATTTGAGTAATGACAGTCTCTTTCTTTCTTCTTCTTCTTCCCTCGATTTTTTTTTATAACCTCTTAGATGAGAGCAAAAGCAATACTAGAAAACGTCCATGTTTTGGGCATTAGCATTCTTTTTTTAGAAAATGTCCTTTTCCTCAGTTCCGTTCACTTGATTAGGAGCCAAAAATATGTTAAATGTCTCTTTGCGACCATAGAGGAGGAAAAAAACAAAAAAAAAACTCTCATTCCAAAAATAAAGGGCATTGGCGTCCAAAAAAGAAGAAAAAAAAATTGGTCGGCAATCCAGAGATATGTTTTCATGAAAGGAGAATAATAGAAAAATACGAATACCAAATGATAACATTAAGTAATTTGGGCATCAAATCTCCAAAGTCCAAAGTTCTGTAAATAAGAAAAAGCTTAAAGTAATGTTCATAAAATGCTACCATCATTACATTATTAATGTCACCGGGGAGAAAAATGGACGAACTGCAGCCCACGATGCTCAACAGCTTTTTTGTTTTGTGTCCTCAACTTGCACCATTAGAATGTACACCAGAATGGCTTCTAAAAGGTTTCTCATACAAAATTATGCGGCAAGCCGGCATCAGTGAAAGAGACCGGAACCCTAGTCGTAATTACCTTCTTAAAGCACCATAATTCCTTGTGACCTACAAACAGAGTAAACTTAGGGTCCAACTACGGATATGTTGCAAGAGTATAAATGATACCAACGGTGTAATTAGAACATGCTCCAAACAGATAAAATATAAGACTAGATCTGTTTTGGAGTTGTGTAACTACTACTACTTTTCAAGATGGTGATACCATGACCAAATTATGTAACTAGACTACGTTAAGCTAATATAGTGAGATTTTTGCTAATGGCAACTTAACACAAAGAAGCATTTCCCTAATTATTTACAATTGGCTACCCGAAGCCATCACAACAACTTTAGTTAAAGAATAGACTACCATATACTTCCTTACTATCTCATCCCGTGTTTAGTTTTTTCTTCCCCTTCCAGTAACATTATCCCAAACATGTGACCATCAACTAGTTGTAGAAGCAAAAGAAAAGGCAATGAGTTCCCAGAAAGGGTAGGGAATCTTGAAAAAGAGAGCAGTCATAAAATAAGCCCTCTTGTGGACATATGTCTAATATATTTCTGTATACATAAGAATTAAAAAATAATAATAAAAAAAGATGCTTAAAAATCACTTACTCGAGGTGGAGGCTTATTCAGTCTCTTTGCCATGTCGTCATCATCATCCTCGTCATCTTTATTCATGAGCATTTTCTGAAATGAAAGCGAGGAGTTATCTGATTTCCTTCCCCGCTTAGAAGATGATGTAGAACCTCTACCCCTTCCCCTTGGAGCAGCTCTCTTACGCCCTTTGCCTTGAACACTTTCATCATTATCCTTCAAAGGAAATAACAAATTGGCTAAATAAGGGTAATAAGTATGTTAAGATGAGACCAACGGGTCAGTGGTCTAGCAATATTAGGCCTTTACCTCCCAAAGGGAGGTCAGGGATACAAGCCTCAGTCGAGGCATGTGTGAGTGAGTACCAAGACAAAAAAAAAAAATGTATGTTAAGATGAGTGTCAGCCTACAACAAAGGTCTGAGGTATCAACATGGTTGACTAGCAAATGACTGATGCAAGTGAATCAAGTGAAGGTGCACCAAACAGTTACTGACTCATAATGTGCTAGTTACACAGTCAATCGATTCAATTATAAGAAAAATGAGGGTAGTAACTTCTTTCCTCAGTTTTTCTTCCTTTTTCTTATTCTTAATTCCTGTATACCAGATTAACGGGCCAAAAAAGCATAGATGAATGTTGAAGTGGCAAATGATTGCCCAAAATTGTAGTGATTGTCTAAAATCTGAAATGATGATAAATGACACTCTAAGCCTAGAACCAGAAAGTCAGTGATATACTTAAACAGAAATTATTTATTAATTTATTCCAAACAGGTCTACTGAATGTTTAACTCATAAAACATGAAAAGAAAGCCAATAACTGACTTGATGGTGAATAATATGAACTAATTAAGAAGATAATTCATACCGAACTATCATTGACCTCGTTTATATTATATTGCCCTTCTTCATCACTTGAAGCAGAATCCACATTATCCTCATCATCAGTGATTCTTCGAACTGAGGCCGTTGCAGCAACTGATGCAGATCTGCAATAACAAGGTCATCTATGAAAGTTCTTTTCCAAGCATGAATATCATATCTAACTTCACACAATATATACTGAAAGGTGCAGCAGATATTTCTTGCATATGGATATATTCCTTCTTTGGCAGGAGTCCATACTTCCTCACCGTGTAGTCTTCTTGAAAATATATACTCCCTCCATCCCACAATAAATGTCACCCTTTGGAACTCAAAGCGTGCAAGTTCTAAAGCAACTGGGTGAATTGGATAGGGGATTATGGAAATTTGATTAAAAATTCAGAGTCCACTTATATTATGTCGTGGGAGAAAAGAAACCAGAAATGTACTATTCTGGAATTTGAAGGAATTGGACCAGACAGCAGCTTCACAGAAACCATTGCACATTAGAAGTGCCGACACTTCTCCACGACCTTATCAACAGAAAGAAATCCCCACACCCCAAAACTAAAAGCCCTATTTCTCAATTCATACGCAGACACGGGTAAGCATACACACAATGAGCAATAAAACTCATATCTTTTTATTTCTCAAAGAGCAGTATCAGGAATATTAATGTTAGACCAAAAAGCAACCTCTGTGACTGGCGTGATCCCATAGCTGCATCAAGAGTTGTCTGCTTCAAGTTACTAGAGCCCCTGCCCCTGCCCCTGCCCCTGCCTCTGCCTCTGCCCCTGCCTCTTGAAGAAGCCGTACCAACTTCAGAAGCATCCTTAGAGGACCTAAAAGGTATTGCTGACCCTTTCCTGCTTTTAGCGGTGGACTTTGAATTAGAGAATGTGGTATCATCATCATCGCTAAAGGAAACCGCACTTCCAACTCCTCCAGTACTTTTACTTCTAGTTTCCTATATAAAACCGAAATCAGAAGCTCTGAATACGGAACAGCATAAATATTGGACAAACAAGTATAATGGATGGAAAATTTTCTCCAGTGGAGATCAGTGCAAATCTGCACAGCAAGCTAAAGGCTGAAGAATTACCTCCAAGGCCTGTGCACTAGATGTGAACTGAGGAGCATCCTTAGTCTGCACTGACCTTTCCTTGACACGTTCCTGCAGACATACATCCATTGTCAACATGTCAGATAATTCTAGTGAGTCAAGGTTATCATTCCTTCCTAGATGCCCATGTGACGCCACAGCGACAACAGGGCAGAAGAAAAAAATTGTTCACTGAGTTTTCTGTGAGTTGCTTCTATACATACTAATTTCTACTAAATGCATAAAAAAATATCAAACACAAGAGCTAGCATGAAAGGGAAAATGGCAGCTAGAGAGAGAGAGAGAGAGAGAAATGCCTTCTCTTATCCACCAAAACATTAAGCCTACTTGATTTTTCTAGTAAAATGCCATCTTCATGGTTAAAAAAATTATAACCTCCCACGTAAAACGCCTCTCATTCATTTCTAATATATAGCAACAGCTGCAGTAGTAATACAGATGGTAAAGACAAATGACGAGTTGGCAGTTACCAAAGGCCCCAAGTCGCGCGCGTGTGTGTGTAACCACAGCTGTGCTAGACCCTAATGTAAGCACCACGCCCTCTATTGAGGCAAAGAATTGCCAAGACAATGTTCAGACTCGAAAAAGTTAGCCACCCTTAAAAGCAATATTAAAACAGAACTTGCCTCTAAGCATTCTCCAACTTTTAGAATCAAATCTTCCTCCCCAAACTTCACAGTCTCTGAATCCCGACCAATTTTATTCTGCCAAGTAGAAAAGCATACAATCATTAGCACACATTGACAATATCCTTACATGTGGCACATGCATAAAAAATCGAAACATTCTAATTTTTAATTATGTAATATTTTTAGTGCCATATAGTTGTGATCTGTCTAAAATTATGTCAAGATAGTATCAGCAAGTTTGTCGCAGCAACTTGGCGATATAAGATGGAATACTTACACGTGTTTCTTGGATGTTATATTGCACACAAGAATAGAAAGCCGTTTTGTCATCCTTGTTAACAAAATTGTGTAATGCAGCATCCAAATCATTGACTGGAAGGATCTCCATTTTCTGTAAAATTGGTCACTAATAAAAAAGAGGCACATAATGGAAACAAGAAAAACATAAAATTAACAACTTTACCAACATTACTTCTAATCTTACAAGTTACATGTCGTTTCAGTTGTTGTCTATGTAAGTTCTCCATGATCCAGCATTAGAAATACAAAAATATAAATTCCAAAAGAAATATATTCTAGTACAAAATGGAAAACCGGAAAATCCATAGTCGTAGATACAATGCCCAACTGGAGACTTCAATATATTTTGAAAATTCTATTCTAGTTGACCAAAAAGAAGGTTTTTCTTTTCCCCTCTTGGTAGCTATTAGACAGCCACTTGACCCAAAAGCTTGAACTAATAGAAGGCTAAACAATGAATTATCTCAAGCTCAAACCCTCCCTCACATAAGACCCCTCACACATGGAGAAACAAGCAGGCAAATAGAACGAACATTGAGTGGAAATAGACAGAAGCAGAATGGAAAAACAAATGAAAACAAAGAGACTTGAATCCAAGACTCTTAAAACAAAAACTGTTATACCATTTTAGATAACCACTTACTCCAAAAGTTCAAACTATAAGAGAATGAGCCCAACAATGTATACATTAAGCTCTCTTAGGTTGCTCATTTCTTTCCTTCTTCTTTTTTATAAAAAGAAACAAATGAGTTGCCTGTAAAAACTCTTTGACCAAATATCTAAACATATGTATTGTCAGTGTTCATGACTTACCAAAAAAAAAAAAATGTATTGTCAGTGTTCATGATGCACAAATGAACTGATGAATCTTATAGTTAAACAACTATAACAGGATGAAACTTGCTTCAGTACCAGATTATTCTCGGCAACTAAAGCCTCTATATTTTGCTGATTTAGTTCTTCTGGTCGAAGCCGTTCAGAATCATCAATTTTAGCTGCAGTCAAACAAAAAAATACATGTATTCCATCACGATGTAAGCAGCCAAACCAAACACCTCTAAAGGGGAAGACACGTAAACCATGACTATATGTATTAGAATCTAAGAACAATATATTGACGCTGGATATCTAATTTCTAGAAAGAAAAAAACAACAACCAGGAGATGATAAAAAGAATAAGGGACAGTTCCAGATTCCAACATTCTCATAAGGAGTTTAATTTCCAGGAAAGTTCAAATAAATAAATGCATGTTTGATAAATCAGTAGCATATAATTGTTAGGGTTTGGTCGATCAACTTCAACTGTTGTAGAACTTAATTAAAATAGAAGGAAAATGAACAAAAGCTGCAGCTGAATATGCATTGAAAAATCAATGATTTCACCTTCTATTGCATGTTGCAGTCAGACCGCTCCATAATGTGAACAAATTCAATGATGTCAAAGAAGGTTAAAAACAAAAGCACAAAGTATAGGTTACGTTAAAAAAAATTGGACTGCTGGTAAGCCAGTTCAACCTATGGACTGACCTTAGCCAATGGGGGCTTGCTTTCATGTCTAATGTACTTCACTTCTGGAAGAGTATTGGAAGTTAGAATCTCCCCATAATTTGCCTTTGCATTATCTGTCAACCTTCCTTTTGAATCTAGAAATCTTACTCATTATACTCTCAGACTAATCCTTTGTTCTTTTCCTACCTGTATTTTACTATCTATGTGTGAATGAATGCCTGTGTGTGAGAGAGAGAAAGAGAGAAACAGAGAGAGAGCAAAGGTAGTTCCTTCTGAAGTGACAAGCTGTGGGCAGTTCGATTATTGAAAAATAAGGCATCAGATATCTTGGGTTTTTTTTTTTAATAATTATTTATATATAAATATATATGCAATCCTCCATTGGTAACTATTTGGTGGAGCTCAAAATAGCAGCACTGGTATATGTGGTATTAGGAAGCAAAAGGCTGGCAAAGCCAAATTAGGTTGGGAGGGAGGGTTGCCATACTTAAAGGGCAGTTAGGAAATACTAGGCTATCTAAAACTATTTTTGGGGGATATAAAAAAACCATTGGAACTGCCCAGTTCACACGGTTTAAATTTTTTTCAAAAGATACACAGCTTTAAGTGACAGAAAAAAGTTAATGGTGCAACCTACCCCCTGACATGTTAAGAGAGGACAGAACCAGTCACACCAGTTCTGCTCTAAAAATAATTAAGGTATACAGGGTTATAATCAATCTCTCTCTCTCTGTCTCTCTCTCCCCCCTTTTTACTAAGTATAGAATGTTTTAAACACATGAATGTTCTAGAATGGCAGAATTAACCTGTGAAAGTTTGCAAAACTCTGACAATTACAACATTACTATAGGCACATAATCACTCGTAAATATGATTATTAAATACTTGTAACTTCTAAATTTTGATCTCACCAACTCATATTAAGAAAATCATATGGTACATCGAGCTTGTTTGATAGTTCACAACAATTTAGTTTTCAGACAACACTGCACCATGCACAGAGCAATAATTCGTGCAGAAATACACAGGTACAAAAGCAAGGACAGGATACGCTTGGTGTTACCCCTTGATAAATATAGTCTACTCCACTTGAATCCAAATTGACAAATAGGAGAAATCATTTTTTTTAAGGGGAAAAAAAATAAAGGGTACCGAATTACCTCCACTGTGACCTTTCTTAGAAGCCTTTGAAAATATGAGAATATCCTGGGGATTTGCAACCTACAAGAGATCTAAAGAGAGTTATTTACCTTTTGATTTAGCATCATATTCATTATCCATGATTAGTGAACGAAATAAGTTACCTTCCCTACATACTTTTGCCCAAACCTTTGAGGATTTATTGTCATAAATCCAGAGTAATCTACCTGTCAAATCAAACAGTAAAGCTAAGTAAAACAGATTGGTAAGGAGTTAGTGGGAAAATCAGATGTGCCAAATTTGAAATCATCTTCAATTGTAGTATCACTTGAAAAATGTAGGGAAATGTTACCTTCACTCGCACTAACGGAAGCTTGGGTTCTGATCCGTAAACAGCCCTTTGGCTAGACTTCTCTATCAGATTTCTAACCTAAAACAATTTCAAGGTACAAATTTACACTTACACAAGGAATAGCACACTGTCGCCAGAGAACACTACCATATCAGCTGATAGATGACAAGTTAACAAAAAGTCTATTTCTTTGCCAACTTGGGGATGAAACTTCTAAAAAGGGGCTTACCACTTTGTCCAGATGTTCAAGAATTGAAGTTTGATCGTTAGGATCAATGTCAGATTCTTCCTTCAGCACAATCTGCATCATGATAAGAGTCGTTCAACAGAAGTTCTTTCACAGATATCCTAAATGACATGAGCTTACCTCAGTATATTCAAAATGCCTCACAGAATTTAAAGGTATCTTGGTTGGGCGATATTGATTTCCCTGTACAAAAAATGATCAATATCAAATTCAGTGCGATATTAAACAAATTAAAAAATTGAAACACACACTGCGTCAAAAAAAATTAGGGAAAAAAAAAAAAAAGGAGAGGAGAATGATCATTGTAGGAAACTAGAAATCGCTCACAACCTTAATTTCTAAAAGAAGTACGTGTTTTGGCTTTGATTCTCCATCAATGAGTGAAGTTGCAACAGAAGAACCTGGTTGAGTAATGTGAAAACCCATGCCCGGGACTTCCTGTTGTCACGATAAACGTGATATGAGATAGTGTAACTAAAAGTAAATTCATGAAGAAACATCCATATCATTTTGCACCTGAGGATCAACAAGACATTCATGTTCATGCCCCCACACTACGAAATCCAGGAACCGCGGTAAAAAATGCTCGTTTATTGCATTTTTAGGATTTGTCTTCACTCTGTAATGCACATGAGAAAGCAAGATATATAATTCAATACATAAATATCTTAAGTTTACATTAAAGGCTGTGTACTCAACTCAGCTCAATAAAGCATTTTACTAACTATTTAAGGTCAGCGACATGAATCTTGTTTCGCCATTCCGCTCAAAGTCCATAACGTCAATTAAACCACATTTTATCATGTCATCCCTATTTCAATCCATGTCAGTTTTTTGTCTTGCCCTACCCTTACCAATACCCTCATTGAGGACCACATCATTTTTATATTAAAAACTGTGTAAGCACCTAAAAATTGAACATTTAATTGAATTTTCAAGATCAATCAATATCTTCTCTATTCATGCCTGATTTAATACAATTACTGAGAAATAAGCACAACCTGTTTTGATGAAGTACCAGAATATTGAACCAGTCTGGAACTTGACATCCTTCTTGAGTTTCAGGTCGCATCCACTGTACAGCATGTGGTGTCTGAGGAATAAAAAATAAACCCAGCTAATAAATAAGTTCTAGTCAGTAATCAGAGCATCTGAAAGCAGTTGGTCCAAGACAAAATACCTGAAACATTCTATTAAGACGTTCATCTCTAATGTTTCCAAGGCCATATAGAGCAACAGATGTTGAACCCTGTGATCCAAGTTCCAAGTCATTCTATGAAAAAATTAATGAATGGTCCATACTCCTCAGCCTCTAATTAATGGAATCTACAGACCCACCTTCTTGATAAGAATGGGATACAGAGTGATCTGTCCAACACCAGAACCTCCCAGAACCATTTTTCCAAAATAGTTCACAAGATTGCATGCTGAGAGAATATCAACTGCAGAAAGGTTGTCCTGTACAACAGTAGACAACAACCCATGATTAATATACTTAACAAGATCCAAGAACTCTCCTATTTTTAGGCAATATTCCTGCATTCTTAACTTCTTTCATAACCAAATTATATCTTTGATAAATTTCTCTTTCCTACCGTCAAACTTTGCAGTAGTCTTGTTTAGCACCAATTGGAGTAATACTCCTTTGAGGATGGAGGAGGGGGATCATACATTTCATTTGAGTACGTAGAGGAAGGGGATCAGCAAATCATTTGAGTAAGGGAGTGAGAGTAAGAGTGAGAGAGGGAAAGGTAAAACTAGACTAACTAGAACTTAAATTCATGACCCAAAACCAGCAAGTTGTGTGATTGATGCACTTATGTTTCATGGTTATAAAATAAATAGAATTTCATGGGTTGATTTAAAAATTAATAAAATCAGAATACTTGATTTTTAGGAGTAGCACGTTCAAAATTTGGTCAAAGATTTTAAAAGATGCTAATATGAGCAAGGGAAACATGAGAGAATAAACAAATTGTGTGAAGAATATAACAGATATATATAAAGATTGTGTGGTACAATCCATACCACTCCAGCGGGATCATCATGATTTCCATGAATACTGAACACTGGCAAGCCAACGTTGAAGTGAGGATCTTCATAATTTACATGACCAAATCTGTAAAGACCAACAATTTGTTACGAAGTGAAAACTGCCTTTCAAAGGCTGCTTGATGACTAATACAAATACATGCATACCTGCCAAAAAATACCCACACTTACACACACATATGTAAGTGTGTCCGCAGTGCTATCAAAGGCCCAAGGCGCACTAAGGCGCTAGAGGTCCTTTGGAGCCTAGGCACAAGGCGAGGCGCACAATTGAAAAATTAAATTACTATTATAGCATATTCATATTCAACATTAAAGGCGCAAATGTTGTTAAAGGCGCACCTGGCCCACAACAGGCGCAAGTGTTACGCCTGAATGAGCCTGGAGCCTACGCGTGCCAGGTAGTACTTTCATGGTTTTTTATTTTTGTTTTTGTTTAAAATAATAAGAGTTCATAAGAAATATTAAAACATTTATATATACACTTAACACAGAAACCAATGCTTGGGGGGGATGTTAAGCTCCACATTTTCTCAGAGTTTCAAAATGAATAGTTGAACGAAGTCAAAACGGGATGCATCCTTAGCATAAATTGGTTTCATAATAAGAACTCTGCAAACTCAATCCAGAATAATTAAGATCTTAACAAGCAATCACATTGACAGTGTTAAGAAGACAGGAATCAAGTTGAACTGAAACTTATCAACCTTTAGTAATGAAGTATCAACTTTCCCAAAGAAAGGAAGGGAAAAATATTTTCAAAATCAAAGGCTGTCAAGAGCAAAAATAAATCATTACGAGTTTGCGAAGTTCACAATCTGATCACTGACAACTTGAAACTGTACCGGTCGATCATTTAAACAATAACGCCGTAGAATCTCAATGGCCTTCACTAATGTTGTCCTTGAAGGCTTATTCTCGTGAAAAAGATCACCACCAAGGAGTAAGAAATCCACCTGATGCCACACTGGAGTCAATGTACAGTGATCTTTAATATGCACAAGCTAACAAAAATCCATTTAATTAAGTTTTATAATTTGTGATAATCAACTAGTTCTGCATGGAGTCAATATTTCATAATTAGTTAAGAAAATAAAGCAGAAACTGTAACATACTTTCTGTGTCCATCTTCAAACATAGATTTAGTAATGTAAACAACATATCATCATTTGGAAGAAAAAATGGAAAGAACCAAGATTATTTGAGTGCAAAAGCAACTTGTCCAAGAAAACAAAGAAGAGGAGCAGCAGCTGAGGGAATAAGCTAGCAAAAACACAGGGAAAATAAACAAGAATTAGTTGGGACAGGAGTTCTTGAGGGGGCTACAGCTAACAGCTGTTGGATGAAAATTGAAATAGTGGATGCATGCAGGAGTAGAGGGGAACAAACTTGGACTGAAAAGCATAAGATTGGCAGTATAAACATTTGTAATGTACAGAAGATATATCAATAATATATTAAAGTGAAGTTGAAAAAAAAAATTATCACCTGCTTTTGCTCTGCTATTGCACATATCTCTTCAAACGCTAGGAATGAATCATGCCGACGTATTTCATCCTTCTCCATATAGCCCAGATGGCAATCTGTAGCAACAAGTACTCGAAGCGTATCGCTGATATCCTCCCTGAAATTTTTAATCGTTATATATGACCAGGAATATTTTTAGCAAAACATATGAAGAATTCCATACTACCTGAAATTTCATCCTAGGTACCAACTCAACAAACATGCACATCATCATTCTTGTTGTGATCTAATAAAATGGTGTTTCCCAATGGCCATGTGGATTCTGTTATTCTACTCTTTTCTATTACAAATTACCTCTCCTATTATTCTAATATTTTGAGGTATGTTCTCATTACTTCACCACCCATGTTAATTCTGGTGCGTGGCCGTGGGATGCGTCCTGACAGACTAAGAAACAAACCAAAATCGATTATTTCTCACACCACTTCTATTGATCCATGGAGTATATGTGCATACCTTTTCTGGTTACTTCTATTTTCCATTTCAACATTCTCTGTTCAAAGACATGGAGGAGTGGTTTTTTTTTATTTTTTTTATATTTTTTTTAATTTTTTTATTTTTTTTTACGTATTACTGACCAGCATTTAGTTCAATATAAGATAGTTGGACAACTTTATTAGCCAAGGCACCATCAGGTGCTTCCTTTGTTAGCACAAAGCCTTTAACCAAGAACAATCTAGTGATTTTAATGATTACAAACCATTAATGGTGTTTATGGACTAATGTTTTCTTTGAGTGTTATAGATAATTCATATTCCAAGAATGACCTCAATAAAGCAATAACGATCACATCAATGGGAAGGAATGGATGCAAAGAGACGTGAAGTTGCAAGAAACCATATGCAAGAGACTACAACAAGCAAGCAAGTAACTCAAAAAAAGGAAGAAAGCAAGAATACCTCAAAGCCTAAGCAATCATGGACAAAGCTTAAAGAAAGGGGTAGATAGCTCGGTGAGTGTTTAGGATTCAATGTCAAAGTATTTATGAATCCATTTGAAGCTCATCTCTATAGGACCATTCATATCATATCATCATTCATATGTTCCTATATCCATTGGCAATAGACTATGAACTTCATCATATATATATAATTGAGATATAAAATCATTGCTAAAGAATGAGTTAGTTTTTTTTTTTTTTTTTCCTAATTGGGACTCACACACACTGCCTCCACTGAGGTTCGAACTCCTGACCTCCCTTTGGGAAGTAGGAGCATTGTACCGCTAGGCCATAGGCCTGTTGGTGAATGAGTTAGTTCAAGCTTGCATAAGTTTTGAAAGAATTCATCACTTGAGTTAGAAATGCTAGGACCATACACATCAATCACATGATTCATATTGGTCACTAGAATGTAAGGGTTAAGGCATATGAAGCCTTTGTTACCATGACTTAGTAACGGACATTAGGACCCTTGAATGCGCCTCATGAAAAACTGTGTTTTTGGCTAAGTGTGAAAAATGAATTTTTGTAATAATGATTATTTCAAAATAATTTTTTTCGGTAATTACTCCTTATACTTCAATTAGCCAAATTTGATTTTTTTAGATTTTTTCATCAATTCTACATTGGCCTACACAGAGGATCAAGTTTTACCAAATCTGTCAAGAACCCCAATTTGTACTAAAACTGAATTTTTACATTTTGATTTAGTTGGATTTTAATTTTCTTGTATTTTTTATTGAATCCAAATAAGGGGTACTTCCTTATTTACATTGTAAACTTAAAGTAAATGGACATATAAAATAGTAAAAACATTTACAGTGATTTACTAGATGGCACCATGCTGTCGATCAGATGACCAAAACAGAGAAAACTCATTTTTTCATTTACTCATCTAACCGATCAGATCATCCGATGTGTGCGATCAGATCAAAGAAAGTGATCGCCCAGATCAACTCATGTTATCTATAAGATGAATAAAACAGTGAACTCACGTCTTTATGAAGTTCGATCACTTCAATGATCTAACCGATCAGATGGGTCCAAGTGACCGATCAGATGCTTCATGTATTCGATCAAATGACATTTGGATCTGATGTTAACGATCAGATCATTCATCTAATCGATCAGATGACTCCAAGTGATCGCACAGATGGTACATGTAACCGATCAGATGGACTAAAATTTCAGATCTGAGAAAATGAATTCATATTAAACGGCTATATTCTTCAAAGGGGTTATAAATACACAATGTTTGGACATTGTGGCATTGGAAAGAAATAGAGAAACCTTCTTGAGTATCAAAGAGGTTTTGTTCTTCATCTTCTTCATCCTCTCACACATATCATTCATAGAGTATTGAGCTTCATTTGTATTCATTTATACTCTAGTTATGAGCTTTGATTTGCATATCAATCTTTGAGAGATATATTCTTGTGCAACAAATTTCTATCTACAATCAATTGTAAGGGTTGGTGTGACCCAAGGATCGGTGTGATCCAGCAAAATTCTAAGGGAAGATTGTTCTCTTAGCAAGAAGAATTAGAAGCAGTGTGTGTCTTATACTGGTTTGCTCTCCTCCCATAAAGAGGTGCTATAATGGGATTGAGAAAGTCTCAAGAGGGATCTTGAGCCGAGGAGTAGGAGTTACCGAATCTCGCTAAATCGTTGTGTCAAGTGTTTGCATTTCTCTTCCCTTATCTCTTTTACAATTGTGCTATTAATTGCTTAAGTTTATATCCCGATTATTGCATAATTGTTATAAGGTGTTTATTAGAATTTGCAAATCAATTAAAACCGAAAATTGGCCAGTGTTTACCGACCACCCCCCCCCCCCCCCCCCCCCTCCCTCTAGAGTCAATACTTGGGTAACATCCTTATTTATTTATTATCTCATTAAACAACTTGATTAGCCAACCCACCATCATCATTTAAACGATCATGAGCATCTTTAACTTTATTGAATTTATGTTTCATATAAACTACTTTAGTTATACTAATTTCTGATCCTTTTTACTTTAATTTCTTTCTCCAACTTTACATTTTTATATCAAAGGTTTCCTTAAAAGTGTCCAAAAAACTACATTATCAACAAACAACATTTCAAAAAATATTTTGAACTTATATGGACTTAGTGTCAATCCTTGGTATAATCCTATTTTTAAAGAAAAATCATTAGTTTCTCCACGTATATCTAATATATCCTAGACAATTTTAATAAAATTAGTAAGAATTATTTCTTCTTCTTCTTTCGTTTCTTTTTGCTCTATCATGTGCCACTGTAAGTCTGTCAAAATCATGTTAAAAATATTTCTTTTTGCCTTGTGCAATCTTCAATCAATTGTCTTATATGGTCAATGGCCTCCATACTCCATAGTAGATCTATGGGACATAAATCTAAATAGGTTTTTAATAATGTGGATTCTTTCCTTAATCTATGTTCTATTACCCTTTTCATAGTTCCGTAGTACGAGTCACTCGAATGTAATTCATCAATAGTTAATATATGGATGAAAAAAAATTGATAAGTACATAAATATTTTTCATAAGCTACCATGCATTCATCAATATGTGTGCTTGTACATAGGGTTCGAAGAAAGATATTTGTAAGGAGATCTATGAGAATTGTACAGTTTTTGTACTGAAAACAAGATATTTTTTCCATACATGGGAATGCATACAGGACAGACCACTAGTTTAAAGCTTTCCTTGGTGAATTGGGTATAATGTGCCAAATGTTATCCATGATCCTAACCCAAATAGTGAAAGATTGTTTGACGGATGACTTGTTGTCTTCCCACTTGTCAAACAAACCAAATATTGAAATTAGGTTCACCCGAATCACTTCCATTTCTAACATAATTTCTATTGAAATTATAGTGAACATTTAGTAAACAAGCAGGGGATGTTTAACCGTGAACAAATTGTAATTTGAAGAAGTTTCTGCATTAGCCACAGAGAGGGATTGACATAACTGCATCTAGAAATAAACAAAAATATACCCATCTTGTATTCTAAGGAACATGTTTTACCTTGACGAATCAGCCATGCCAACAAAGCCTCACCTCCTTGAACCTACAATTACACAGTGACAAAACATGATTAGCAGAAAACAACCACTTTATAAGGGCCAGGCACAACTCATAAGCCACTTTTCTTTGTACTAGAAGTATGGCACACCAAGTGAGTGCGGTACCGACCTAGACTAGAAAACTGCAATTCTCCCTTGGGGCAACAAGAAAAAACTCAATTTAGCTGGAAGCTGGAGGTTGTAAGTTATAAAACATCGTGTAGCTTCAAATCTTAAATTAAACAATTTTGATGCAGAGAAATAGTAAGTATCACCACAAGATCGTGTCCAGTTCATTAACCTTGATTTTTTTTTTTTTTTTTTTTAAAAGGTTCAAAATTAAAGTCACATAGACATAAAAAAGAGAGAGACCAAAGAATGTGAGAATAATGAAAAAGACAACAGAAATACTAATTTAAAGACTTTGCATTTAAGGTATAAATGAAAAACAGAACATTATTTAAAGAGTATTTTATACAAGGTGAAAAAACGGAAAACCCTAGAGCAACCGCATCCGATTACATAAAAGAAACAGCGAGCGATAATCGACATAAGTAAACAGCTAACTCGCTCTGTTTGATTGATTAGAACTTTGTGAGAAAGGAAATGAAATTTTGGAACCCTAACGACGGCCACTTCCACCCCCAGCCCTTGTGAAAACTCCAATATTTCATTTTCTTTCCTACCATTTCTCGGCAACCAAACACAGGCGAATGTTCAAAGATACGTAGAATAAGCATAAAAAGAAGGAAAAACTAGTACCTTCTCTTTCTCAGAACCAAAAGGGGAACGATTTCAGCAACAGCCAGAGCCGAGCAGTGGAGGGAGTGATAAAACGGTGGCGGGGAATTTAAAAGAGCAAACGAGTACAAAAGGGGAAAACCATGTTGACAAATTATTACATACGGAGTACTTTACATAGTTCCCTTTCTTGTAGGGATGACAAGATAGCCCGCTCATGCCCCGCCCGGCCCGGCCCGGCCTGCTTACAACAGTTAGAGGCCCCTTTAAATAGTTTTGGACCGGACAGGTTTATTATGAAAACCCATACGGGCGTAGGGCCGAGATGGGAACAGAGAAAGGTCGATAGCATTTTCCTGTGGTGCCCCCCCCCCCCCGGGCTCACCCACTTGCCCTTGTGATGTCTTATATAAAAAATTATTTTTTATGGTTGGAAGAATGTTGTATCATACCACTTCCTTCCCATGTTAGAATTAAAAATTTTGAAATAGACATTTAATATAAGTACGGAGATAGTATATAAATATATATATAAAATATAACTAAAAATAACTTCAAATAACTTAATAGACAGCTGATATGAGACATAGGGAGTATTTGGTTGGGACTAAGGAATGAGCAAAGAAGGGAAGAGAAAGAGGAAGATAATTTCTATATTTTTTATAAATATATAATAATTTTTATGGAGAAAAATCAAATAACCCCTTTTACGTGTAAAAAAATCTCCACTAAAATTAAACATTCCCTGAACTAAAGAAATACCATCAAGTTACTATGTACTCGTGCTAGACCTATTTATTAGGTTGTGAAATAACAAAATTATTCTTATAATTTAATATTAAATTTAAAATCGATAATTATAATTTTTAAATTATAAAAGTACCCTTTATAAGTTGATATTCTTCTCTTTTCACCCACTTTTTCTGAAAGCCCCTTTTGTATGGTCTGATAACAGGTCGTGTAGACCATTTATGTGAGCTTTAGCGCACGCTATACCCCTCTCTAAGTTAATCTCTCTATCTCTATAAGGTTCTCGCTCGCTGTAATCCAACTCCCTATTCCCCGAGATTGACTATTGATGGCTGAAAGAAGAAATCTGAGAAACGAAGGTGTTAGAAGCATAAAGATTGATTTGGGAACCAATTAACCATACTAAACCATATTCAATGCCCGCTACGGCGTCGTCGTTCTTCTTCGTCAATCTTCCACTACGTTGCAAGCTTAGGTTGCTGGGGAATTATAGGTGGTGGGTCGTGGTGGAAATGGGTCCAGTTTTAGAGAGAGGGAGGGGGGTGAAGAGGAACTAGGTTGACTCAGAGTGTGAGAGGAAGAAGACCCACTTTAATAGGGGTATTTTTGTAATTTAAAATTTGAAATTATCAGTTTTAAATTTAATATTAAACCATAAGATTAATTTTGTCATTTCACAACTTAATAAACGGTTTGGACACGGGTATATGGCAACTTGATAGCATTTCTTAAGTTCGGAGGTTTTTTAATTTTAGTGGGAGATTTTTTACACGAAAATGATAGTAAAAGGAGGTTATGTGATTTTTCTCTCAACTTTTATTTACTTTCAAAATTCTTGTTAAATTTTAGTGAAAATTTTCCGTATATAATGATATATTAGTAATATATATATATAAATACTCATTTCCTTCTTCCAATCAGATAAAAAAAATAAATGCATTTCAGTTCCAAATGATGCATCATTCATTTTTCACTTGATTTCATTCTTTTTTTCATCTCTTCAACCAAACAAAGAATTAATATTTATTTAATTATTTTGATTCAATTGTATAAATTTTGGAAAAATGTTTGTTTGATATATATTCCTAAATATGAGCTTCTAAAATTAAAGTAGAATTTTAAGAGAAAAAATCTCTTGAGTTGGAATTTAAAAAGAATATACAATTGTGATTGTTTGTCAAACAATTTTGGGTGGAAATGAGAATTTAAAAGGGGAGGGGTGGGAAATGGCCCTCACAGGTTGCCATCTCTACTTTCTTGTTCTCAAAATATTCTTCAAAGTAGCTATGGATATGAGTTCAAGTTTGAAAGCGTTCGACTACAATGTATAAAGATTAGAGGCAATGGATATAAAAACTAATGTCAAATGTTATTTTTTTAATTCACTTTCTCGTATAGCTATAATTTGAACTGGCTATGTAATGTTTTCAATTTTTACCGTTTTTCATTTTCAGGACTTTCTTGATTTTTGGAGAGTATTTTCATCTCTTTTCGTTTTGCGTGCCGGATACCGTGGAGTATGCCGGTTGTGTCTGAGAGTTGGTTGGGGGCATTTCATTGAGTTCAGGACTTTTGAAAATGTAATGATTTTTATTTCGACATTTTTCTATTTTTCAGGCCGGGAGGTTCCACATAGGACCCGCCGTCGGTTTAATTGTATACGTGGATTTTATTTTAGGTCCATTGCATTTTATTTATTATTATTTGATGTACATTTTATGTGGATGCTTAATTATTATTGTTGTTATTCGATTAATGTATATATATATGTTAAATGTTAAGTGAGATATTTGTTTTTAGTTTGGGCCCCACAAAGCACTAATTTATTACATTGTTGTATCATCTTTTGGCTGATCAGTTTTCTCCCAAAAATTGTAACCAAGATTTCTCTCACTACCAGAACTCTCTCTCTCTATCTACATCCTTAAAGCCTTGATTTCTCCCTTTTCCATTTGGATTTCAACTTTGCCATTGAAGGCAAAGTTAATAAGCTTGACGAAGCCTACGTTTTGATCGGAGCTGATTTTAGTTTGGAGCACTCTACCATTTTCGAATTTGGGCTGTTTTGGGACTGAAATTGGGTTTCCTTTGGTTTGCTTTTCAATTTAAGGTAAGGATATTCTAATTCACAATTTCTTTGATTCTTTGTGAATTTTCAATTCTAAAGTTGGTTATAAGCATGCTTAGTTTTAGTTATTTTGAATATGGTGATTGTATTTAGTTATGTACATGATGATAAGTGATGTTGTGTGTTAATTGAGCCTCTGAACTTAATTAATTTATTGTGATAAAAAGCATGCTCAATAATAACAAGTTGTATGTAAAATGTTTGCCAATTGCTATGTAAATTTGAGATTATTAGTTGTGGAAATAAATGTTTAGAATTTCTTTTCAAAATGTGAATATGACGTTGATGGAATGTGTAGACTTTAATTGTTAGATTTAGGAATTCAAAGTATGTAAAATGCCATGATTTAGAAATATGAGAATGCGATATTATGTGGAAATTTATGTTTTAAACATGCTTAAATGATGATGATGATATGTATGAAATTTCTATATTGTCATGGCATTGAAAAAATTGCATAATTCATTCATTGCCATTGGGAAAGTAAAGGGAAAAGTTTGATTTAAAAAAATAAAAAAAAAAACAAATGAAATTGTTTTTGGAAAAAGTTTTTGAAAAGTGTTTGCGAAAACCGGACGCCTAGGAGGTGCCTAGTGGTCCGTGGTGTTAGTGTAGTCTAGAGAGGACTAAGGAGAGACCCTAGCGTGGTTGAGCTAACTAGGCCAGATTCGACGCCTTGGAGGTACCTTGTGGTCATGGATGATTAGCCAATCCTCCTTTCGTGACGTTTTGGAGGTGCCTTGGGTCGGATTACATTAACGGTTTGGAAGTTGAAACGGTAGTGTTTCAGAAATGGGGAGCGACATTGCATCGTATGGCATTTCATTGACATACATTGCATACTTGGTGATTGGACGACTTGCGTATGTTTCTGTTGATATTATCGTTGCTTTGCTTATTTTCCCCGAAATATGATCCCATTCTCTCATATCGTATTTGTTGTATGGATTCACGAGGTCGTAAGAGGTATGTCTTAGGCGCTTCCTACTGAACTTTATGCTCACCCCATCATTTTAACATTTTTAAGGTCACGGGAAGGAAGGGGCGGATGACGTTCCTCCATAGGTTTGAATAGGTTAGTGGACTATTTTATCATCTTTTTATATTTGTGATCTCATTTGTTTTGTATAAGCCTTGGAATGGCACGTATATTATGTATTAACCTTAGAATTTACTATAGTGCCCTTAGATGACTACGGGTTCGGGTAAGGACCCGGTTAGCGATTCGGACCCTCTGGTTCGAGTTGTTACAAATTTGGTATCAGAGCGTTATGTTCGAATACCTTTTAGATAACGGGTAGTGGCTTACCTAGATGAGGTATAGAGTTAACTTGCATCATTTATGTGCCTATGTGTTAAAGTGCTTACTGTTTAAGAAGCATGTTTACCTGTTACCGCTTACGTGTTTAAATGCTAGTATATGTAAATGAAGTGTATACGTGATCTGAAAGCATGTTAATTGTGATAAAATGACAATTATGAGATACATGACAGTGGCAAGTGGTAGGCACGATGTGTGCAATTTTATTTTAAATTATGAGATACGATTGTATCATGGTAAGGGGCACGGTTATTATATATATGTGTGTTTATGTGTGTGCATATGGTTGAGTACGGGATGGTTGCTAGTACGGTATAGTACTTGTCACGGCATAGATGGTTGTGTAAGTTTTGACCTGAGTAAGCAAGGAGCTCGGTTGCTCCAGGGTTGTTGGATACTAGTTCTTATCGAACGATAAATGTTGACTTCTAACTCGTGTATTGAGCTATTCAGTGTGTAGTCATGCTAATTTTCTTGTTACATTTTGTGCAGTGCTAAGGGCACGACTTTAAAACGGGTTCATATTTCATGGCGTGGTGTCTTTGTTGTGTGTGAGTTTCATGCATCGGTGGATGGGTTTCTGTGACCGTGGAGGTCAGGTGTGCGAGTGAGGGTTTCGAGGGAGAAATGTATGACTTTAAGAAGTTAGTGTTTGTGACTTGGGTCATGGTTTGGTGCGAAGTTCTTTTCGAACCGGTTGTGGTAGGTGTGACAGAGGTTGTTTGAGTCACGAATGTAGTCTGTGGGTTGTTGATGTGTATTATGGGTGTTCTGGTATGGTTTAAGAGAGTGTGCTGGTTACGGTTGGTTGAGATGTGACTCCCATTTCGGGAAACTGCAGTCGGGTGCTACGAGTAATCGACTCTCGGTGAGTCGATTGCATGGCTCGGTCGACGAGCGAGGTTCTGGGTTGGTACGGCTGTCTAAAGAGTCTTGAGGTGGTGTATAGTGGTTAGTTTTA